GAGAGAGAGAGAGAGAGAGAGAGAGAGAGAGAGAGAGAGAGAGAGAGAGAGAGAGAGAGAGAGAGAGAGAGAGAGAGAGCTAGGGAGACATCTATCTACACTCAGGGCTCGGGCGATACCATCCCTGAGACACAAGATTAGAACATCCCCCAAAGCGCCATCTTCAAACAACCTCTCTCTCTCTCAAACACCTTGTATATTTTTGTTGATTTTTTTCACATTTTTCAGTCGTCCATTGGAAATTCGCAAATTCACCAGTCCTCCGGGCCTCTAGGGCTCATTCCCCCCCTCTTCTTCCCGGTGTCGTGGACTCATTGATATAACCTCCCAATTCCATGAGGTAGGTGAACGGCGCAACAGGCACAACATGCGTATCGGGGCTCAACGGCATAGCCGGCGTACTCATAGGTGCAACTGACGCAACAGGTCCAATGGTGTAAGCACTGACGTAACACTGGCGACTGGCGACTAGTTCTGGTTCTGGCATTGGCTCTGCCATTTGATTGTGGCTGCGGCTACGGCTACGGCTACGGCTACGGTACGGTCTTGGCTTTTGTCGTTTGTGAAATTTGAATGTATTGGTCGACGAAACGGGTTGGATTTGACGAAGCGACGGATGGTGACTGATGCGTTCACGGCGCAGATATCGATCATCGAAGCAGGTGGGGTGGCCCAGGCGCGTACGCCCGGGACCCCGGGTGAAAACAGATGTTGATTCTCAGAATATGCGTGTAAAGGCTCATAACCCCCTGAGCCTACCAGAGAGAAGAGAAAGGACGGAAACGCTCGATTCTCTAGGCCCTGGCCAGAGAGAAAGAAAGAAAGAGAGAAATGGGAGCTTCCAACCTATCTCCACGCGAACCCCCCCCAACAGATGGACAAGACCGTCATGTCGTAGCCCAAAACTTGAGCGTCGAGGGCATCCGGGAGGCTCAGGGTGTCATCAAGTCGAATTTGTTCCGCAGGGTAGCCGTGATTGGAACAGGTTACTCCTGGGACAAGGTCCAAAAACAACACAGCGCGATTCTGCTATGGAGGACAGAATTTTAGATGACTCCAGTGGATAAATCTTCCGAATCCCTCTCTGTTTAGCCCGCCCATCGGATAAGGCCGCCCTGGCAGTGGTGTTTCAGAACTTCCAGCAGCCCTGTATCGCGTACCTTGGCCCCTAAAGTTGGGAAAAGGAAAAAGAAAAACCGCAACCAAGTTAGAGAAGGGTTTACTCTCCCACAAGAGCTCAGGAATTTGACAGTTTCTAACGGCGACATCGAACATAGATCGTGATTGTAACCGGTAGGGTATGGTTTGCCGTTGTTTGGGGTCACCTGGTTGTGGATAAAAAACGTTTCTGCACCGGGATCAACCTGTCGCTCCTTCGAACCTGATACTAGTAGTAGTGCCCACTCCGTCAGCTGATGTCCTCGAGTCCAAAAAGTCTGCACACGGATACTTCGAGGATGATGTGAACGAAAACTGATAGGACTGATGAATCTGACCAGAGATTCCAACTTCAGTTAGGACGAGAGAAAGAGGCTTCCTGGTAAGAAATGCTTGTTCCAAGCTTTCAGTAATACGCCCAAACCAGGAATAATGGGTGGTCAACAATCTTAATGATAAGGTTTTCGTGTGCAGAGCTTATGTTATTGTAATTCTGTCGATGTTCGAGATCAAATTGTGAAACTAGCCTTGTCGGCCAAAACATGTTCTCGAGGAAGTGAGTGAAAGTGGTTCGACGTTGTGGGTTTGCGTATAGCAGATGGTGTTCTCGAGGGAATGAGCAGAAGTAAAACAGATAGCAGCGTGACCGAGATCAGATTGTGAAACAAGCACTCCAGTCCTATGTCTCAAACACATGGGTATCAGTTGTTTCCTTCACTGCACACCCGTCGTAATACATATCACGTAAAACCATTTTCCATCCTGGCAATTCCACCTCCGTGTCCACCGCTATCTGTATGGCGTGCACGTGTTGAATTACCAGGAGATCGAGTAGAGGTAGCGACAAGATAATGTCAGAGCGGTTTTACGGATGGATTCGGGACAAGTGCGCAGATAACTCGATTACTGGTTGAGACGAGCGTGGCGGGATATGTAAATCCTTTCCGGGAAGCGGAGATTTTCGTGATGTCAGGCTAATTATGCCCTTTGACTTCGGAAAGCACACGTTCGAACGTCGCGATGCAGGTTTAGAGGGTATCTAAAGCCTCCTTCATAAGGCTACATTCCGATGCAGCATTGGTCCTCGTGATGACCCTAATAGTAAAGGCTCCCTTCGAATCGAAGGCCTCCGGTGACAGAGCTGATGGGGTTTCGATTAAGGTTACGGGCTGCGGGGCATACTGGCCAATCGGTTAGAGCCGACGCTGAGGCAGGTGCGGGCCGCTCGTACCTAAAGTAGGTAGAAACTCGAACCAGAAAAACGGTCAACTGGTGGGAAATGAACATCAAAGCATCGCAAATCCTTCTCAATCTCTCTTTTCCTTTCTCTCCACCACCATCAATCCCGCCCGACAACGGCAGCTTTCGAACTCCTAGTGGTCCTAGTTCTTTCCAACAACCATCTTAAGACTTCAGGAGTACGCCCTACTAGAATCCGACTAAATTTGAAAAAGAGCTAGCTATAGTACCGTGCCTGGCACTGTACGTCTTGAAAGCTGCCTGGTCAAAATCAGACATCAGGATAGGTAAGTAGGTGAGTATTTTGAGTATCCACCTAATAGGCCTTAGTATGGTATAACGCCTCAGGACTATTAGATTGCATGCTTCCCAGGTTACTTTCATGGTGACTCTTTGGGAGACTTGTATCACTTCGTTGACCCAAGAACAACATCAGAGACTATTCCGATAGCTGCAGGGTTCACCACAGTTGACGTGTCTCCAATATTTTCCAAGTCATCACTGAGAATCTTTCTCAAAATCCGCCGAGTTATCTTTCCCGAGCGGGTTTTCGGAATATCACTGACCAAATGAATGGTTTTCGGAAGTGCTAAAGACCCTATACTTCGAGTAATCTGCTTTTTCAAATCCTTGCGGATGTCTCTACCCTCGGGTTGCTCTTTAAGGGTCACAAAGGCAACCAGGGATTGTCCGGTGATTTCGTCATCCACGCCGACAACCGCCACTTCTGCTACAAAATTGTTCTCCAGAAGAGCGGCTTCGATCTCTGCGGTAGAAAGGCGGTGGCCAGAAACATTCACCACGTCGTCAATTCGGCCCTTGATCCAGTAGTAACCATCCGAGTCCTTTCGAGCCCCATCACCAGTGAACTAGATTCAGATACTTTAGCCAAACAGATTTGAGTGGGAGGCTCAGAAAACATACGTAGTAACCGGGGTAAGGCCGGAAATATGTGTCCAGAAATCTCTCATGGTCACCCCAAGCCGATCTCGCCATACTTGGCCATGGGTCCTTGAACGCCAAAATCCCCTCAGGACACGGCGATTGGATCTCTTCTCCCGTGAGAGAGTCTAATATAACTGGATTGGCGCCAAAGAATGGAAGGGTGCAGCTTCCCGGTTTGGTAGGGGTGATGCCAGCCAGCGGCGTAAGGACAAGTGAGCCTGTTTCGGTTTGGAAGTAGGTATCGAGGACATGGGCCTTCCCCTTGCCTACAGCCTGGTGATACCATTTCCAGACCTCGGGTGCAATGGGCTCACCGATGGAGCCAAGAACACGCAGAGAAGACAATGACTGCGAGATCTCAGAGCTGCTGAATCTTTTTAGAAGACGCAGAGCGGTTGGGGCAACATAGAATTGGGACACGTCATGCTTCTCGCAGATTTCCCAGTACCTTGATGGGGTTGGAAAGAGCGGGCTCCCCTCAAAGATTACAGTCGTGCAACCCAGGAGGAGTGGTGCGTAGAATCCATATACCAGCCCCGTGATCCAGCCAATGTCACCTGCGCAGAAGAACGTATCAGAAGGTTGGATATCAAATACATATTTACCGGTCGCCGCTGCACCGGTCAGAAAACCGGCCGTTGAATGCACCAACCCCTTGGGCTTTCCTGTTGAGCCGGAAGTGTAGAGAATGAAGAGAGGATCTTCCGAATCCATGATCTCCGGCTCGACAAACTCGGCATTTAGGTCGACGACATTGTGCCACCACACATCTCGGCCCTCAGTCCAAGGCACCGGGGATTTGCAATGCTGGTACACAAGAACTGTACGGACATTAGGACACCTGACTAAGGCCTCATCAACCCCTTTCTTCATGGCGATTTCCCGTCCATTGCGTTTTGCCTGGTCGACCGTAATGACAATCTCCGCGTCCGCATTGAGGATCCGGTCGGCAATCGAGCTTGGAGAAAAGCCATCAAAAATGAGAGTATGGATTGCTCCCAGTCTGGAAATCGCGAGCACAGCAATGAAAGCCTCTGGAATCATTGGCATATAAACCACGACACGATCGCCTTTTTTGACACCGTGAGCCCTGAGAGCAGACGCGGTGCTAGAAACCTGGGCTAACAGTTCACCGTATGTCACAGTTCGGCCTTGGTCTGGCTCATCGGCCTCGTAGATAATGGCATTGCGATCGGGATTCGACTTTGCATGCCGATCGACACAATTGTAGGTTGCATTCAGACGCCCACCCAAGAACCAAGATATCCCTCCTTCTAGTGGACTTCCTTCACGAACAGTAGTGAAGTCTTGATCGAGTGTTAAGAGCTCTCGACAATGTTTGGCCCAAAAGGTGTCTGGGTCGTCTAGGGATTCCTTGTACAGCTTGGTATACGCATCCATGCCTTGAAGACCTGGGCCATCCGGTTTGAGGTTGGAACTGGTCGTTGGTACTCTATTTGGATTCAGTGATTTTTCTTCTCATGATTGGATCCATGGATGGTCTAACTTACGGATATGTTTCGTGTTCTGTCATTTTCGCGTCTCGGTGATGAAAATCAAAGATTACGAAGAAGAAGCAAAAATTGCTAGAACAGTAATCATTGACCGGAAAAGCGAAAACAGACAGGAAAAAGAGAAAGACAGAGAGAGAGAGAGAGAGCGAAAGAAAGAGAGAGCAAACGATCTACAGACCTGGCAAACAAGGCCACGTGACCCGGGATAACAACACAAGGTTGAAGGCGATGACGACCTAGTATGCAACCTGGTAATGGGATACAGAAGAAAAAAAAGCTTTGCACAACATTCAAGCTACGTGATCCATACTAAGTGAGGTATTTTTAGGAGCGGATTCAACCTGTTCCTATGTAAGTAAGCTTGCAAGACTTTCCCGAAACCGAGCGATCGAGAAAGATCGTTATACGAGTAGAGATCGACAAAAAAGTAGATCACGATTGATCAAGTTTCGAAATGCTGCTCGAGAGTGGATTTTTTGAGATTCACCGCTAAGTTCCTTACCAGTGACGTAACTTAAGGGGCTCACCCATTTTTTACGTTTTACGTTTCACGTTTTATGTGTTGAAACAGCCTTTTTGACCTTTTCCAAACCACGAGTAACATCTTTGAACCCGAAGGATGATATCTCCACTCTGTACCTAGGCACATATAGCTAGCCAAATCAAACAATATGACGAACTCTCACTACTCCGTATTTGTGGATATAGTTTCAATCTAGGGAGCAAATCGTGGGTACAACATACGGGTGCCACAAAAATAACCTCGGAATGGAGAATGTTCGTAGGCCGAGAAAGGCTGCCCGAGATACCTAATATGTAAATACTCGTATCTAATGTATCACCTTCAATGGATCCATCTTTTCATACATACGAGTACATACTATTATGTACGCGAGAGATCATGAGGGACAGCTTAGAACCAATAGATGGATCGAAGGTGGTGGATAGCCCACAATTGGCAGATCTATGACCGAATGATCGTCCAGATCTGGATCTTCTCAACATGATCACTTAGCATTGTTTAGCACAATATTTTAGGTCAGAGTTTGCATGTTCTTTCGTCCCCCCAGAACGGAAACTCAGCGCCTTCAATCTAGAAAGAAATTCAAGAAGCACCCTGAAAAGTGGTATCGGTTACCTTGTTGTTTCCGATGGATTCGCTGCTAAAGTCCTTATGGGCTTCCGTGTTGGAAATCAATGAGCACTATGTTGAAGAAGATGATAACTTTTTCGAGGTTGGAGGCAATTCAATCATCGCCGTCCGTCTTGCAGCTGCAGCTGAAAAAATTGGAATGTCTTTGCCTGTCACAGACATTTTCCGCTATCCCGAGTTCTCTGAAATGGCGAGAGTGATCAAAATGTCCGAATCACACTCGAAGAGGGATACAGGTCCTTTTCAGCTCATGGAGTCTTCGGGAATAGAGACCACCGAGATTCTGCAGCAGATCAGCAATGCCCATCCTGAAATCAATCAGTTCTTGATTGAGGATGTTTACCCGAGCACTCCATTACAAGCAGGATTGATGGTCGTCTCCACCAGACAACAAGGAAGCTACATTTCTCAATTTGTCTTCCGAATTCCCACCGCAACCGATCTGGAGTCTTTCCAGAAGGCCTGGGATCAGGTTGTTGAGGCGGTTGATACCCCCCGGACCCGAATGGTCAATCTAAGCAATCCGGCTGGTTGTTTCCAAGCCATTGTCAAAGAGAAAATTCGATGGCATAAAGCCGTTGGCTTGCAGGACTATCTCCAGAAGGACAAAGCTACAGCCATGGGATTCGGCGATCCGCTTGTACGATTCGCAATCGTGTCTGACGCTACAAGCAACGATCTTCATTTTGTGTGGACGATTCATCACTGTATCTGGGATCGGTGGTCAGTTGATTTGCTGTGGCAAAAGGTGGCTTCTGTATACCACGGAGCCGACAAAGGAAGCATAAAAGCCCCAAAATACAGTGGCTTTGTCGCACACGTTCTCAACGCGAACACCTTCGATCATGAAAACTTTTGGAAGTCTCGTCTATCCAATATCAACACCAAGACATTCCCTCCATTGCCTTACCAAAACTACCAACCAAAAACCAGCGCGTCTTCGAAGTACTCGACTACCATCTCTCGCAGAGGTTCCTCAGAGGTCACTATCTCTTCCATAATACAGGCAGCATGGGCTTTGACGGTTGGCAAACATTCGGACTGCGAGGATGTCATATTTGGAACAGTTCTCATCGGTCGAGACACACCCGCCAAGGGCATCACTGAGGTGCTGGGACCAACAATTGCAACGGTTCCGATAAGAGCACATTTGGATTATGCACGTAATGCAGAAGAGTATCTCAAGGAAGTACAGGTACATGCCACAGATGTGATTCCTTTCGAGCACATGGGACTCTCAAGTATTAGCAAGCTGAACGAGGATACAAAAGCTGCTTGTCAATTCCAAAACCTCCTCGTCATTCAACCTCATAAGACTGGAGCCCATCCACTTCAATGGAGCCAAGTAAAAACCCACCAAGCCGAAGCTCATCCGTACGGACTGGTCGTTGAATGCACTTTGGGGGCAGAGCAAGATACTCTTGAGATTGAAGTTTACTTTGATCCCCACCTTCTCTCAAACATGGAAGTGGACAATGTGGCACACCACTTCCAACAGGCTATCTCCAGTTTGAATGGCGAATCCACCAAACAGCTCCTGGGCGACATCGAAATTTCTTGTCCCAATGATGAGTCGAACATCGCGTCCTGGAATATGGGGGCAACTTCAAATCCTGTCGATGCTTGCATTCATGAAATATTCCAGCAGACTGCTCAGCAACAACCTGATGCCCAAGCAATTTGTTCCTGGGACGGAACACTTTCCTATCGCAAATTAGATGAGCTATCTACCAAGTTAGCACAATCCTTAGCAGGGTGCTACGGAGTTGGTCCCGAGACATGTGTGCCATTGTGTTTTGAGAAGTCATACTGGTCTGTTGTTGCTACAATAGCAGTGCTCAAAGCGGGAGGTACTTTTGTCCCACTCGATGCGTCACACCCCCAGACCCGTCTCTGTGAACTAGTCAAGGATGTCAAGTCCCGGGTTGTACTTTCCTCGCCGCAATTCTCGAATCTTTTCACGGAAAGTGTGGCAGAGACTGTCCTCAGCATCGACGAGCAGCACTTCGATCAGCTGCAGATCCCTCGGGACGACTTTGAAGTCGGCTATGCCAACGCAAGCGGTATTGCGTATATAATCTACACCTCAGGGAGTACAGGAAAGCCTAAAGGAACCATGGTAGAACATGGGGCATTTCTTTCAAGTTGGAAGGGTTTCTCAAAGTCCATTTCTATGAGCAAATCTTCCCGCGTTCTCCAATTTACCTCCAATAGCTTTGACGCGAGTCTAGTGGAGACTTTGAGTACTGTTCTTTGTGGAGGATGCATTTGCATCCCCAGCGAGGATGAAAAATTCAATTCCTTGCCACAAGCCATGACCCGTATGATGGTGAATTGGATGCTGTTGGTGCCATCCTTCGCCCGAATTTTGGATCCCGCCTCCTTACCCCATATAAAGACGATTGTTTTGGGAGGTGAAGCTGCCTCCGAAAATGACTTTACACGATGGATAACACAAGGAGCTCATGTCATCAATGCGTACGGCCCGACCGAATGTTCCGTCATCTCCGCCTCAAACATGAACGTGGAGCCCGAGTCAGATCCCACCAATATCGGAAAGGTAACGTGTGGATCTTGCTGGGTCGTTGACAAGAATAATCACAACCGTCTTGCTCCAGTTGGTTGCCCTGGTGAGCTTCTTCTGGAAGGTCCTCATCTAGCTCGTGGTTATGTTCACAATGATGCAGCCACATCTGCTGCTTTTGTTCAGAGCCCTTCTTGGGGAAAGGGCCGACGATTCTATAAAACAGGTGATATCGTTCGACAAAGAATGGATGGAAGCTTGTCTTTTCTTGGCCGAAAGGACATGCAAGTCAAACTTCGCGGCCAGCGTCTTGAGCTGCCAGAAATCGAACATCAAATCAAGCGTTATCTTGGTAGCGAGGTGCATGTGGCCGTCGAAATTGCTACCGTCAACTCCTCCGTTGCCGGCGAAGAACAAAGCCAGCATCTGGTTGCATTTGTTCTCCCTACTCAAGGCTTGCTGCTCCACCGATGCGAATGTTTCGTTTGAAGTTTGGGATGGCCTCCAGAACAAGCTTATTGCGCTGAAAGATCATCTTAAACAAGCCTTGCCATTCTATATGGTTCCAGCTGTGTATATACCATTGAAACATGCACCTGCGATGGTATCAGGCAAACTCGACCGAGGTTTCTTCCGCAAAATTCTCCAGACTTTCTCCAATTCGCAATTGCAGAGCTTTACACCAACTAGCCAAGAAGAAGAACAATCTTCGCAAAGCTGGGTTGAAGATGGCTACAGGGGCTTTCGAGAGAGGCCACAACCGATCATAGAGGATTTCACAACCATGGAACGGCAAATTCACCAGCTATGGGCACAAGCATTGAACATTGAGCCTTCAACAATTGGTAAAAAAGATAATTTATTCAGGATCGGCGGAGATTCTATTGTGGCAATGCGTCTCGTTGGTCTTGCTAGAGCTCAAGGCTTGGGTATCAAGGTGTCAGATATCTTTGAGCACAGGCAACTCGACATTTTGGCCGAAGTCCTCGTTGGAAAGCAAGTTGCTCATGAGACATACAACACCAAGCCCTTCTCTCTCCTAGATCAAGGGCAAAAATCCCTGATTTCTGAGACTTATGACGTTTTGGTGAAAAATGGCAAGACGGTTGACATTCTCCCAGTCACGGGGGCCCAGGCAATCTTGCTTAAGATGTTTGGCCTAGGTTGCTTCTCTTTTTCCATTAAGGGAAGGATTTGCCCGGATCGAATGCGGTCAGCCTGTGAATCTGTGGTACAGAGTCACTCCTCTTTGCGTACGGTGTATCTTTCATACAAGGAAAGCTTCCTCCAAGCCATCTTTCAGAGCATTGATGTACCTTTTGAGCACATCAGGACATCAGTATCTCTGAAATCAACGTGTCAGTCTTTATGTGACTCTTACGTGCTCGAAAACGCTGCTTCGGGAAAACCGATTGTTAAATTTGTTATGGTCTCTCAATCTGATGATGAGCATGTGCTTATCATGCGACTGACGCATGCGCAATACGATGGAGCGAGCTACTCAATCATTCTCGACGACTTAGCGACTGCGTATAATGACGGTGGAGTCTCACCTCCAGCTCGCACATCCTTTTCAGAATTTGCATACTATTGCGCCGGTCATCGAACCAATTCAACATTCGATTTCTGGAAAACCAATTTACATGGCTCAGCAATGACTATGCCCCCTGGTGCACCCAACCATCCAGGCCAATCCGTTGCCGATGTCCATGAAATCGCATTCAGGGAACTGCCTCCTGCATTAGAAAACATCACTACTCCAGCCTTAGTGAATGCAGCCTTCGCCCTTGTTCTCGCAGATCTCGTCCAGAGTGATGATGTCACATTTGCAATGTTTATGAGCACCCGTGACATCGGTCTACCGGGCGCCCAAGAGATTATTGGTCCTTGTATTAATCTCAATCTGCTTCGTGTCAAGCTTGACAGGTCTCGCTCCGTTCTTGACTTGTGCCACACACTGCGGGATCAGTATACTCAAGTTTCCAAGCACGGTCATCTTGATCTACCTGAAATAATTGCCAAAAGTACCGATTGGCCTTCAGATTCCAAGCTGAGATTCATTGTCAACCACCTCGGCGATGACGATAGCACCCCGCGGCCACTCGAGGGCGGGGCGACTTTATCGAATGCGGACGGAACACACCGGAGATTTTTAGACAGCCAGGCTTTCATTCGATGCCTCGCTAAGAGTGATGGGCTGCAAGTACATGTAGTAACTACCAGCGTTACTATGAGTTCCAAGCAGGCCGGGTTGATAGCGAGGAGGATTCTTGATACTGTGAAGATGTTCACCGAGTATCCCGACACGATATTAGCTTCTCTGTGTACTCCCAAAGCCGAGTAGGGGTGTACTATGTCAACTCTCTCCAGGGATTGCTGATCCACAACCAAGTCAATTATCATCCCTTCGCATGGAGAGCTCGAGCCACAAACGTCGTAAGACACCGGGGTTGTCATGGATGCACCTTCATAAGTAGGAGTATAGTATCAACTTTAGAACATTAATGTGTCCCCGGGCCGTACTCCGTATTCCTTACTCCGTAACTACATACAGATGGTTAATTAGTAAATGAACGCCGTCGGTCAGTGTTCACGTGGGTTTGAGGCAAGATTGAATATCAGTTCAGACGTTTTCGGTTGATCTACAATGGATGATCAAGAAACTTGAGAAATCATTAGATACATTGACCTAGACCCAAATACAGCTTAAATCGTACTTTGGTGGAAAAAATATGAGACGGTCTAACTCTGGGAAAGACCATGTCGACTTCAAGGTTTTACCTGTCAAAACATACTCAAATATCACACGGCGACACGGTAAAAAAGACCCAGGACTTCAGGAGAACCTTAGAAGTACTCCGACCTCGGAAACCCCATGGAAATATTATACTTTTGCCTAGGTACCCCGTACTTTTGTACAGAGTAGTTTATTTACTATTCTTTCCTACTTCAACCCTGAAAGTCGTTCTAGCTTTTAGAAGTCCACAAAGTCCATAACTGATTCACGATGTAGCGCAGTGTTTCTACAGTTGACCGGCCTTCTGAAGTTGGTCAAAATGTTCGTACATCTGCATGGAATACTGCAGTGCTCAAGTGCTATCGAGTCTAAGTGAGGAGGCCAATAGTGCATACCTGGGCACTGGGCAACGAATGCATATATATGACTTCTAAAGTTCAGGAACAGATCTATCTAGATACACGTAACTCTATCACCTTGTGCTCCAGTGAAGCATGTAGAGTTTGCCAAGCCATTGTCGGGATGCCGAGTGAGTCCCAGGCCCACCAATGGGAGGGCGCCTGCTTATCTGGACCTGGCCGCGTGGCATGGGGTTTGGCTTTCTCCTGCGTTCGTTCGCTTGAATTCGGATGGACCAGTGGAGTAGAAACGATGGCAGATGCGGAGAGACCCTATCAGGAACCCATCTAGAATATGTCATTACACTGTGATCATATGTATGTATGGGAGTTGATTACTTGATAAAGTGGACCTCGCTAAAGCCCATGCAATACGGAGATTTATCTTCGAAATTCATATGCAAACCACAGGAGACCACTTGAGCAGAAATTGATCTAATACAGAAAAAGAAAAAGAAAACCATTGACCCCTTTGTACCAGAGTTGAGCCGCGATAAGGGGGCTCACACTGCACAATGGAGTGATGGATAGTGAGGAGTTGACTATGTTGTCTATAGCACGATAAGAGTGTTATGTCTCCAGAAAACACTCACATAATAACAAAGATACACTTCAACCTGAAACCAACAGAGAATTACTCCGGATAAAGGGTTCCATAGATGAAATATCCAGGGCTCCAGGGCTGCGGTTAACTGACCATGGCCCCAAAATGATAAGCAAACGCTCCTGATTGGCCACTCCTAACTTCATATCTACAACCAGTCGTGACGCTGCAATATTCCGACTCGTATTCTCCGGGTGATTTGTGTTTTTCTCTAAATTACCTGTCACGAGCAGAAACCAATTTGTCTATCATGTCCTGACCTCCTAGCTTATCGCTAGTCAACCACTGCAGGAAGCGAGATGTACGTTCCCTTGAACTGGCTTGGAACATGCAAACAAAATGACTACGGTGGCATACACGTGTATGATGTGGAATTGCAGAGAGCTCATGCAGTTGTCCATCAAAAATACTTAATGAGTATGGAATATAAGCAAACGTTTACAGTGCCCGTATTTCTCCGGTGTGATTCTTACAAGGTATATGGCCCACCCGCTTGAACCCCGGCATGGCTGAACAGGGCTGTTCTTGGCCCCTGCTATCATCTATGGATTCTCATCAGATGAATCATATCAAAAGTCAGCGCCGATTCCACTATCGGCACTAGGATCGATGGTCTTGTATCCTTTCACTGGCTGACGGTGGGGCATTCGTTCAGGGCTGTTATTTAATTATCAGCATTTGTCCCTGTAGCTGAGACATATCACTTTTCTCTCTTATTTCATACCCAGGACTGAGCCTCTCTATCCACTTCAGCCCCCGTGTTCTTCCTTTGTTATCTTGTCTGAATACTCAACAAGAAGCCTTTGAGAGGTGTGATCCTTGCATATCGCTTGAATTTGTGAAACGCCTTCGGTCCAGCCTAGGGTTTATCATGGCAGAGTACCCAGTTGCCTACAATGGCACCATTGCCACTGGCGGTGACTCGCTTCACGATGACCTAAACATCTATTACAGTGTAAGAGGTTCCCCACCGCTCTACACAAATTGATGAATATCAGCTAACAATCATACCAGTCTGGTGATATTGGATGGGTGATTATCTCCTCAGCCTTGGTGCTGCTGATGATTCCTGGAGTCGGGTTTGTCACATTGTATCCTTGACGCATAGCTGAGAGATGCTAATCATTTTTTGCCAGATTCTTCTATTCTGGTCTTGCCCGTCGAAAGTCGGCACTATCCCTGATATGGCTGTCCATCATGTCGGTCGGTGTGGTCTCGTTTCAATGGTTCTTCTGGGGATACTCACTGGCATTTTCCCATTCTGCTGGTGCTTACATTGGCAATCTTGACAACTTCGGCTTCAAAGGTGTGCTGGGTGCGCCCTCGGTGGGGAGTGACAAGGTTCCCGACCTCCTATTTGCTATTTTCCAGGGCATGTTCGCTGCTATTACGTGAGTTCTTACGACCAAGTGGCAATTTACCAGAGCGGCAACTGACATTGAATCTCAATACAGGGTTGCTCTCGCCGTTGGTGCCGTTGCCGAGCGTGGCCGTATGCTCCCCTGCATCATTTTCATGTTCATTTGGACCACGATTATCTATGACCCCATCGCCTGCTGGACCTGGAACTCATCGGGTTGGGTGTTCAAGCTCGGAGGACTCGACTTTGCTGGTGGCACTCCTGTTCACATTGCTTCCGGATCTGCAGCTCTTGCTTACTCCTTGATGCTGGGCAAGCGCCGTGGCCATGGTACCCACGAGCTCAACTACCGTCCCCACAACGTCACACATGTTGTCATTGGCACAGTCTTCCTGTGGGTCGGCTGGTTTGGATTTAACGCTGGCTCTGCCCTCTCAGCTAACCTCCGTGCTGTCATGGCTGCTGTCGTTACTAACCTCGCCGCTTCCGTTGGAGGTGTAACCTGGTGTCTGTTGGACTACAGACTGGAGCGAAAGTGGTCCACCGTTGGGTTCTGCTCTGGTGTTATTGCTGGTCTTGTTGCTATTACACCTGGCTCTGGCTTCGTTACTCCCTGGGCCGCCTTCATCTTTGGTGTCGTAGGCGCCATTGCGTGCAACTATGCCACAAAGCTGAAGTTCCTAATTGGTGTCGATGACGCGTTGGACATCTTTGCCGTCCACACCGTCGGTGGCTTGGTCGGAAACTTGCTGACTGGTCTCTTTGCTGCGTGAGTGGGCCCTTCATCTATACCACGAGTGAGCAGAAACTAACCGTGCCTTTGCAGTGATTACATAGCTCACCTTGATGGTGTCACTGAGATCGATGGTGGTTGGATCAACAAGAACTATATCCAGCTAGGATACCAGCTCGCCGACTCTGTGACTGGATTTGCCTATTCCTTCTTTGGAACCTGCCTTATCCTATTCCTCATGAACCTGATCCCCGGTCTCAGTCTTCGTGCCCCCGAGGAAGATGAGATTATGGGCATTGACGACGCCGAGATTGGCGAGTTTGCTGTAAGCATCATCCGTTGTCTGTGGAGACACGAACATTTTCCTGACATCTTTTCTAGTACGACTACGTTGAAGTGACCCGCGATATTATCAATGGCACTGAGTCCAGTGAAGTTGGCTCCAAGCGAACAATGACACCCACTGGTGAGACGACTGTCGACACCAAGGCATGAGCCCCTTTGGTTTGATGCTGATTAATTCTCGATCCAATACTTAATACTTGGCAATTTTCGCCGGACTATCATTCTTTTCATTTTTCTTTGTGGTTCCATCGGGTAAAAGGTTTCTTTCTTTCTTTCTTTCTAAGTAGGGCTTCCAGCTTTACAGAGCCCTCTCTTGACATAAAGGAGGGTTCAATTTTACTTTTTTTGGCATAAATATACCCCAATATGAACCTGCTATACTGTGCATGCCGTTGAAATGATTCTATAAACATATCGTAGGTACTCCCTACCGAGATAGATTGTCAGAGCCCTTCTTTTGCTCAATCCACTTGATTTGTCTTGAATTCCAGTATCCAAAAGCCTAGGGACTGCCACAGATAGATATTTACGACGAGCAGGCCGTAACTTCTGCGCTGGGTGTTGTAGATCCAGTAAGTCTTGGTGTAGACTTTGTACCCGGCGGGGCAAGTGCAGCAGAGAAACCTATGTTCATAATACGTATGTCACTCAAAATGTGCGGGCGGGCGCCTGAGCAAATCGAGCGACGTGATTCGCCGAAAAAGCGCTCCGCGGACCCGCCCCGCGCCCCGCTCCGCCTTAACCCACCCCAAGCTCCGCGGAAGATTCCTCTTCCTCTCCGATTCATCGCAACTCTTACCATTTTGCGCGATGGCGTCTCCCTTGCAAGATTTGCGTTCTACAAGCGCTGAAAGCACCACTGAGGTGGTTTCATTCCTTACAGACCCTGCGGAGTTTGGTAACGACCCGCGCATCTCGTGGTCAAAGCCCGACAGCTGTTGGATCCTAGAGCGGGAGGACGGCGAAGAGTTTCATTTTGATGCTGCCCGCAAGAAATGGGTTCTTGAAGTAAGTAACTGCGTGAATATGCCCACAGCATTGTTTGCGAACAGCCAAATGCATGCGTGATTTCCCAGCTCCTGTGCTAACATGACTTGCGATTCCAGGTCGACCCAGAACTCATCCGCCAGCAACAATCCGCATACTTGTACCACGGCGTCGAAGAGAATGACACGGAGGTCCCTCACCCCCGAGAGCTCAGGGCCCGCAGGAAGGCCGAGAGGGTAACGTGTTTCGACGACTGCGATTGGGCGGAACGCCGGCGCTGATATTTTTTTACCATAGGCCGCGGCACCCAAGCCAAAGAAGGCTCGTGTCAACACTGCCGTATTTGTGAGCAAACTCCCACTCGATGCCGATAAGGAAGAGATTCGCCAGTTGTTTGCGAAGTATGGAGTCATTGCGGAGGAGATCTCCAACGGTGAACCGAAGATCAAGATGTACAAGGATCAAGATGGGAAGTTCATTGGTGAAGCTTTGGTGGTGTATTTCCGACCAGAGTCCATCCTTCTCGCGACTCAGATGCTTGACGAGACGGAGTTCCGTTTTGGTGTTACTGCTCCTGGTGGCCCGATGCGGGTAGAGGCCGCCGACGACTCATACAGGAAGAACAAGAGCGAGGCGGCGGACAGGCCCAAGCATACCGCCAGTGAAAAGAGGAAGATCATGGACCGCATCGAGGCACTCAACAGGTATGTTTCCAACTCGAGAAGGCGCTTGTTTGCTCCTCGCTGACTCCCCCACTTTAGCAAACTTGCGGACTGGGACGACGATGCTCCTCCTCCTGAGAGAAAATTCACCCGGGCCGAGCATAATCTCGTCTTGAAGCATATGTTTGACAAGGATGAACTCGCGGTATGTCCCGGCATCCCACCTCCCCCATACCGGTGTGGATACGTTCCCGACTCCAGACACATTTCCTGACTTGATACATAGGCCGACCCTACCGATATGATCGACATTTCAATGGAAATCCGCGTGGAGTGTGAAAAGTTCGGAGAAGTGACCAAGGTCACCCTTTGGGATGAAGAGCCCGAGGGCGTGGTGACTGTTCGTTTCAAGGATCCGAAAGACGCAATCGCATGTATGGAGGTAGGGTCCCAATCGATTGATCAGGTACAGAGATCCAGCCACTAACTATTCTACAGAAACTACAGGGGCGTTATTTCGACAAAAAAGCCGTCGAGGCTTCCATCTCTAAGTCTCGTCAGCGATTCCGCAAGTCTGGTCACCGACACGGGGACGACAGTGATTTCTCCGAGGGAGAACTGGAGCGTCTTGATCGATTCGGCGACTGGTTGGAAAGAGATGAGCCAAAGGCAAAGAAAGCCAAGACCGAGGACGTACGGGCCACGGAGCTAGAGACCAAAGAACTCGGGGCCGACAAGCTTGAGATCGATGGACTCTAGGCTCTTAACCTCCAAACCTCCAGGCTAGTGAGCCAGTAACCAAAGAACTCGGGGCCGCTAAGCCTGAGATCGATGGACTCTATGCTCATCAACTGACTACTTTCAACTACAAGAGTACGATACTGGGGCAATTTGGAGTGGAAAGCCAGGTCAGGGGAATTTACGAGTATCACGACATGTACCAATACAGCGAAAGCTCAAGGAATCAATAAAATTCCAATAATGCAGTAATCCACCGTGTCATACTTCGTAGAATATCAATATAAATACTCCGTACGCCATACTCCGTACCGTCGTAAACAAAGACGCGAAGTGTGGTTCGCACCTTCCCCCGAGTCCCGTGATGCGGCTATACCCAATCGGGCCTTCCCCCCCCCCTGAAGGTTGTTGACTTGTTGATCCCACACACACCGCTCAACTGCCTCCGTCTCTTTCTCTTCTTCCATCCTCTTTGACTGTTGCCCGGTCCCTTTAATCTTTTTTTTCTCCCCTTCATCTTCTTTTCGACACCTCCTTCAAAATGCGTGAGATTGTATGTTGGCCCTCAAGACGCGTCTCTTGTTTTCCTATGGCCCCCTGAAAGACCCCACTCCAAACAGATCTTTTGCTAACCATCTCGTTTCTCCAGGTTCACCTCCAAACCGGTCAGTGTGTAAGTTCAACGTCAATGATACCCTGGGGAACATTCCTCGAAACATTCTTGAGTTCGTGGAACTAAATTGGGCCGCTATAGGGTAACCAAATCGGTGCCGCTTTCTGGTATGTCACAACATCAGGAACCTTTTTCTCCCGCTATGTTGGGTATCAATTGACATCTTGCTAATTGTCTCACAGGCAAACTATCTCTGGTGAGCACGGTCTCGATGGCGATGGACAGTAAGTTGCGATTTATTTGGGCTTCCGGTCGATCTGGTTGCTAAGATGTGGTTAGGTACAATGGTACCTCCGACCTCCAGCTCGAGCGTATGAACGTCTACTTCAACCATGTGAGTACAATGGATTCCAGATCTTATCACTTGCGTTGTCTCACCTTAAATCTTTGACCACACAGGCTAGTGGCGACAAGTACGTTCCCCGTGCCGTCCTCGTCGACTTGGAGCCCGGTACTATGGACGCTGTCCGCGGCGGTCCCTTCGGCAAGCTCTTCCGCCCCGACAACTTCGTCTTCGGTCAATCCGGCGCCGGTAACAACTGGGCTAAGGGTCACTACACCGAGGGTGCCGAGCTCGTCGACAACGTTATCGATGTCGTCCGTCGTGAGGCCGAGGCTTGCGACTGCCTCCAGGGTTTCCAGATCACTCACTCTCTGGGTGGTGGTACCGGTGCCGGTATGGGTACACTCCTGATCTCCAAGATTCGTGAGGAGTTCCCCGACCGTATGATGGCCACCTTCTCCGTTGTTCCCTCCCCCAAGGTCTCCGACACCGTTGTCGAGCCCTACAACGCCACTCTCTCCGTTCACCAGCTTGTTGAGCACTCCGATGAGACCTTCTGTATCGATAACGAGGTATGAAATCCGTGGCTCTGAAGTTGGGAGTTGGAAAGTACTAACAATACACAGGCTCTGTACGACATCTGCATGCGTACCCTCAAGCTCTCCCAGCCCTCATACGGTGACCTGAACCACCTTGTCTCCGCCGTCATGTCCGGTGTGACCACCTCCCTCCGTTTCCCCGGCCAGCTCAACTCCGATCTCCGCAAGCTCGCCGTCAACATGGTTCCCTTCCCTCGTCTCCACTTCTTCATGGTCGGCTTCGCTCCCCTGACCAGCCGTGGCGGCCACCAGTACCGCCAGGTCAGCGTTCCCGAGCTCACCCAGCAGATGTTCGACCCCAAGAACATGATGGCTGCCTCCGACTTCCGCAACGGCCGTTACCTCACCTGCTCCGCTCTCTTCCGCGGTAAGGTCTCCATGAAGGAGGTTGAGGACCAGATGCGCAACGTCCAGAACAAGAACCAGAGCTACTTCGTTGAGTGGATCCCCAACAACGTCCAGACCGCTCTTTGCTCCGTTCCCCCCCGCGGCCTCAAGATGTCCTCCACCTTCGTTGGAAACTCCACCTCCATCCAGGAGCTCTTCAAGCGTGTTGGTGACCAGTTCACTGCCATGTTCCGTCGCAAGGCTTTCTTGCACTGGTACACTGGTGAGGGTATGGACGAGATGGAGTTCACTGAGGCTGAGAGCAACATGAACGACCTTGTCTCCGAGTACCAGCAGTACCAGGAGGCCTCCGTCTCCGAGGGCGAGGAGGAGTAGTAAGGATTTCCCAATTCCCCGGTCTGCGGACATTACGACTAACGACATGTTTTCTCTTATTTTTAGCCTCGCTGAGGACATTGTTGACGAGGAGGTTTAAATAAATCTTCTTTGAGATTTGTTCAAAGTAATACCCTTGTCCAGCCTACATTCTCTACCATTCGGACCGGCTTTAGGGGCTCATGCCCTGAACCAATTTGTTTGAGCGCAACTAATTTACAACTTTTTTTGTCTATTTTCCTGCTTGGCCTGGGTGATTTGTTCGACCCCTCCAGAATAGCACATATTGGAAAAGCAATTGACGAAACAACTGCCCGGCATTTAGCTGCGTACAATGTAGTATTTTTAATGATTATCTTGATAGGTGATTTACTATGTCCACGCGTAACTTAGTACTCCGTAGCTCCAGTACATTGTGTATTATATGGAAATTTTTTCGTAATTATACCAAATATTTACCGAAAAGCTATCTCAGACTTAATCTCACGTTGGGTCTAGTGGTCTCATCAAAGCTCACATCGACCTATTCCATACTACTAGTGGAAAGGGCATTTTCCAGTCCGATACCCCTTCAGCTCTTCCAGCGTTTCGTCCAATTGCTTGCCGCCCTTCCCCTCGAAACTCTTGGGCCCGAGATTCGGGATAACGTATCCGTTAGGATAATACTTGTCTCCTTCATCACCGGGCACAGGCCGTCCCAGAGCCCAGGTTAGCCACGCTGTTGGGCCATATCTGTTCCAGAAAGTTGCTTTGACATAGTAAGGCGCTGCGTCCCACTGGGTGAAGAAGAAGCGGCCATCTTTGTCGGGCTTTTCGGTAAATGAAACATAGCGCTGGGAGTAAGGTCTTGGAAGCGACAAGTAGCGAATAGCTAGCCTTCGGGCCGTGAGCAATGCCGAGAAGAATGCGCTGGATAATGCGGAGGGCGGCTCATAGCTGAGGCATCTGTTAGCCGAATGCGTGGAAGAAAAAGCAGGTAGAAGGCCCTAGCTTCCTGGGTTAATACTCACTACATCGACTTCCGCAATCTCGGGTCCATCATGTATGAGACAAACTGCAATCCAACGGGATGCAGAGCCTTCGGGAGCATGTAAAGTAGTACCGCAGTGGTCTGATCAGCTGTTTCCCGATTCTTCTGGTGAGGAACCATGAATTTGTCTTCATACTCCTCACTCCACGCATCAATCTCCTCAAGCCATTGAATACCATCGACGAAACCTGCCTTACCCGAGGGTAATTTCTCATAAGTGATATCTAGCGCATCACCGACACTTTTCCAGAAAGTGCCAATAGCGCAGCGTTCCATATCGCTGAGAGATCGCCATTCAAAGCGATTGATGAACCGGATTGGCTGGAGAGCAAACAGCGCTAGTGTATAGAGCATGTCATCATCCAGGATCTTCCCTGAATCCCTGTACCCGCTGTGCAGGTAGCGCGTCCGTGCGAGACCCAGATACGCGCGTTGAGAAGTCGGGTCGTTCCCGACCATCTCCTGTACGAGAGCGACGGTATCTGCGTAGCGCTTCAGGGAGGTCTCTGGGTTGGAGAACTGGCTGGTTTTGGTGAGGAGGGTGGAGATTGAGGGGATGCCATAAGTCTTTCTTAGGTTAGATGGTGGATTTGGGAATCTTGGGGTTTTGGTCTCTTTACCCTGAATAAAGCGAATTGCAGGCTCTTGATGAACATGAATGGGAATTCTAGCTGTGCGATAGTTTTTTGGATGTTGAATGCATCGTCGTCGGTCATCTTGGCCATCGATTCTCGTGTGGGATAGTCATATTTTTTGTGCATTTGACGCAGTCGTTGGAAACGTAGGCTGATTGTCACCACTGGCCAGGCGAGCAGTAGGCCTGCGGCGTAGGGGAGTAGCTGTGGGTTGATGACCTTGCCAGCCTCCGACAGCAGCGACCAAGGGTCGTTCATGGTCTCCATTTGGTGTAGTTGATATGTAAAAGAGCAAAACCCCAGCACAGGGTTAAATAGTGCGTTGTGGGCCAATGTGAATTGGAGGATTACGAGTTGGAAGTGTTTCTCCGCCTTCACGCGCTAATTTCAGCTGCATAACTCCTGCCACTACGCACCAATCACCGTACACTTGACTCCATATTGCACGAATACCGAGTCCTTCGTACTCGGTACTTGCTATGCGGGGGGATCGTGGCTCAGTTGACGCCAGGAGATCGGCCGCGGCCCGGGGTCCTCGGGTAATGTGCGACATCTCCACCTGGAGATGCAGTTGAGATCGTGACTTGTTCACGGAAAAGAAACTGTAGCATGTCCATCGGGTGTGAATGGTATGATGTTTTTGCTTTTGTGATGACATTAAGAATAACTATAGACAGGTCGACGCAGAACCAACCCTCTTGATGTGATCGAGGTATCGCTATTTACTCTTGTATGATTTATGTGGGGATGTCCCGATGCATACCCCTTGAGAGACTGCCTTCTCTTCTATATTTTCCCGCAAGCTCGACAGTATCTACCGGCCAATGAAGCGAAGCTCCAATGCTCGCAATGGTGGGAACGAGATCGCGGTAAAGCCTGCAGCCAGCCAAAGGCCCAGATCACCACCACCGGAGAGTTGGGAAATGGGGCCCATGTAATATGCCTGAGACTGTCATTGAAAGTCAGTATGAGAAAGACAGGTGATTTGAGACGACTTACCATTCCGACAACTGCACCCGCCCAGCCGATTAAGAACGAACCTGCCGCTGCGAGCCCTACGGGGAGTTTGGCTTGACAATCCCAGGCGGTCCAGTCATACCCTTTGGTCCGTCGGAAGATGGTATCTTCCTCCAACATAATAACAACGAACATCATGACCCAGTATCCGATCAAGGGAAGGAAACCCTTGAAGACCTCATAGAGCGCGTTCCGGCCTCCCATTGCACACGCCGCATATATGATAGTCGCGAGAGTTGTGAAGACAGGACGGGGGACTTTACCAAAGACGCCCCCAAGCATCTGGAAATTCATACCCATCGAGTATGCACCGGGGGTATTATTGGCAACCAAAGAGAGAACATTGATGACGGCACAGAATTTCCCAAATCCGCCCAGCGAATCGTATGCTGTCATCAGCACGCCACCTGGGCTGCTGCCATACTTTCCAGCATAGTAGGCCGAGCTGGAAATGACTGTTCCAAGTCCAATTCCCATCAGCAGGGAAATGGACATGGCTTGCAATGAGCCGAAAACGGTCACGATGAATGTTCGCCAGCTCTTGATGTGCGATGGGTAATACACATAGTAGTCGGCAGCAAGTGGAGCCCAAGCGAGACCAATCGACAAAGCCAGGGAGAAGAAAGTGATTCGCTTCGCGTTGAGATCCTGTGCGCTCGCGGACGTTGCCTCACTAAAGTTGAAATGGGGCCCTGCTGAGCCTACCATGACACAGATCACCAGAAGCTGCGGAAGCCAAGCGACGCTGATGGCCATTAGCATGAATTCTTGAGTGGCACAGTTTGTCTGGGTGAGTCTCAAGACTTACCGTTCATATAACTGGAAAATCTTCATGCCGAATAAAGCCATGGCCCAGCTGCTCACTGCGACAATGACAATACCAACCAGCACAGAAAGATGACCACCAGAGACCACGGAAAGGATCTGGCCTCCAACGACACTGTTCACCATACTGTATCCGACATTGGTGAAGAGGTTGAGAACACAACAGACTTTGCTCGGGTAAAAGCCCATGAAGTATCGAGCTGCAATCTATGGATTCAGTCAATATCAGTTTCCCGATCTTGTTGCTGAATGGCGAAACTTACCAGGGTTCTGTTTCCACTTTTCGGACCCCATGTACTGATATACCCAATGATGGTGGTACCAAGAAGACACCCAAAAACACCACATAGAGCTGCATCCTTGAAACTCAACCCCAGCACAAGAGTGCCCATGGAGCCGACGACAATGTTATTCGTTGCTAAAGTCATACTGAACCACATCAGGAACATGTGTAGTGTCGTTGATGATGTCACAGGCTCTCGCTCTTCGGGGGGAATACGCTCAATGCCTCGGTTCTCCCCGCCCTTCAAGCTGGCGATGCATTTCTGCCATAATGACTGGGGTTCTGGAATTGGGGCGGGCTTGACAAGGTCAGAGGCCTCTGAGGTGCTAGCCGATGTGCTTTTGTCGAGGTTAAAATGGTCGTGGGTGTCGGGTGGCTGATTGTAGGCTTTTTCGATATCGATGGAGCCCATTTCAAATATTTCAACTTGAAGAAGGTGAATGTCTGATATGTTCTTGGTGACCGGAGGTTCGTCCGAGGACAGATATCTCTCCCCAAATGGTGGACTAAGTATGTACTGGATGTCGTTAATCAATAGATACGCAATATTGTCTCAACAAGAAAGAGAAACGAGCCGGTAGACCACAGACCGAGGGAATGGGGAGCTATGGCATGGTAGATATAAGGAAATTTCACCCAGGGTCAGTGCACCATTGTGAGGCAGGTTAGAGCCTGAGATCACCCTGTCTACCCAGAAAGATGGTGTACAGCGTAACAAGCCTAGGGGAAGCTGGTTACACGCATTCCACAGCGATCAAGGCGCTAAACACAAAGGACCGCGTTGAAAGGTCCACCAATGGTGAGCACGGGAATTGGATCGCTTCTTCCAACCCGTGAGCACCGTAGATCACGGATCATTTTGTGGAGAATAAAGAAGCTATCAAGATTCATCCAGTATCCCAGCGAGGGAGCTTCGTCATGCAATATCGATGTCTCCACAACAAGGCGAACATGCTTTCGGACGGTTTGGGGAGATCTCCTATGATACCATCAAGGGGAGGGATGGAGTCACGGCTGCTTCCACAAAGACTTTAACAGAGTGCGTTAAAGGCTCACTCAGTCTCTTTGATCTGCATATGAATGCCATATGGGGTAAGTGGCATACTGGAAAGCTCCGACTATGCATGTTCTGGAATGCGGTCGATGCAAGGGGCTGTATCAGCTCTTGCTCCTATACGGCAGTCAGATTTGTGGAGGGGCACGAAGAGAAGAAAGGGTGATCAACGCGAGCTCTACGAGTATTGAGCTGGTCACGAAAATAAATTTTCTTTGGTCACCGGGCTGTGATTAATTCAACACGACTGATTCCGGGACTTTTGATTCTCCATCGGTAGATTTGGGAAGAAGTACAGAAGGAAGGGGATCCTTTGAGTCCATCAATCGTCATGATTGCTCTATTCGATTTCTAAAGGTAATGCTGGGGATACATTGTAGGAATGGTTATTGTCGGCATCTTCGTGGAACTTCGCGGGGGAGCTACTTGATTGGTACCTAATATGGGGGCCCAAGGGACTTAGGGCTGTATGAAATTGTCTACAGTATGATTATGGAACACTTCCTGAGCATTTTCTACAGCGGAAGCCAACATGACTATCTTTCACTCGGCCTCTCCACTGAGATCCCGAATTATGAACTATTACGTCGCTCACTTTACAATCTAGATATTGAACACAGCCAAGCTTTTCTTCCGTCCTCCTTGACCCACAAGCCGGAATCCGTGACGCGGATCACTGAAGGCGAAACCAGTGTTCTATCTCTCCCAAGGAGCCGATGGTCAAACGTGTTCTTTGCGAGACAATCTTGTACTCAATTTGATCTTCCATCCTGACGCGTTACCCACATGGCTGTAGACATCCTTCAGCGGCTGAGTCGGAGTATGCTTATCTGCTATGTGTATCCCTTAAATTTATCTCCACATCAAAACACCATGACGAACCCCAGAGCTATAGTCTGGCAGTAATGCACGCCGGGCAGGCTTTTTCTACTACATGTATGATGCTACATTGTTTTATTGGTGATCAGCAGCCAATATTCAGAAACATCATGGACCCTACCGGCTGAGTTAGAGTGTGCTTATCTGCAATGTTATCCAAGGCAGATGGCCTATTCGAGTAGCAGTACTAATAGCCCGGAACTCCTAGCCGGAACTTTAGAATGTCGCCTAACAGAGACTTCAGGGTGTACGAGTGGTAAATTTTCCGCACAATTTCTTCACATCGAAAACCGGTTCGTCCTGAAGTCTCTCCGAGTCTGATCATATGGACGCAGTGTAGACATAATGATATGAGGCCTAATATAATATATACTGGAGCAGGATTTCACCTAAAAGTTTCATGTACCAAGTATGGTCCCCAACTCAAGTGTTATAGAGTACGTTCAAACACTACACAGGTTCTCAAGTTAAAAAGTGGAAGAACCCTCTTCGACAGGCGTTGCGAAATTATGACGAAGCGGATACGAAGCGGATAGTCGGAGCAAGATATTCAATTGTGCTGATACTTCTGGGCGGCGATGTATAGCGAAAGGGTGATTGATGGCTTTGCACACCTTAATATTCCGTGAATATAGCAATAAATTATTTCCATGATGGGTCCGTAATAATAAGTAGATATGTCTCCTGTGGCACTCAGATCCCACGTGTCCGTTGGCTTGCTTTTCCCCCAAATGCTTTTCCTCCTTTTATATCGCCAACCAGAGTCACCAGCCGAAATAGCAATATTTCTCCAACTTCGATATGTGATGTACTGCGCTGTATGCAGCCCTCCCCAGCTCCATGTCCATGATTTCCTCCCGCACCTTGTGATTTTTTTTTTTTTTCTTTTCGTGGCACCTCCTAATCCGCAGGGATATCATCATTGGGCTCATCCGAATCTGTGGTGTCATTGGAGACAACGCTTTCAATCTCCGACGAATCAGCAGCTATATCAAGAAGACCGTCAGTAAGCCTGCAACTCCAAGTGGATACTTCAAAACATACTTGCTTCCTTGCGAACGATCTTAAATGTCGCCGCGGTCACAGTGAGGCCAGGCAGAGCAGTGGGAGCAGCATTCTTAGACGACGCCCCAGCGGTCTTAGAAGACGCTGCAGTGGCCTTCGAAGACGACTCAGCGGGACCAGCAGGCTGTGCAAGAACCGAAATTTGGTTCGCTTGCATGACCATGAGTGCAGTGACCCAGCTGTTGTGGGTTTGAATACAGAGTGGAGCAACGATGTGGTCGTCAGCGTTCTTGCTTCCGCTCTCAGCCTTGATCACCGAGCCAGGGAGGCTATTCTCCCACTGAATCTCGTGCAACTCGGGACTGTAATCAAAGTGCGACTCGAGGTCATAGCAGAACCGCGTGTAACTCAGCGCAGTGCATTGAATGGAACCATCCTTTTGGAGGCCACTCGGGGTCTTCAGGTAGCAGCTGAGCCAGAACATTGCGGATTTGTCGGAGCTGGTGTCAGCCACCTTCACGAGGCAATCATATAGCTTCAGGCTCTGAGCAATCTGCGCAGAACTGCGATGCGCGCTGGGAGTCGGTTTAGGCATGATGATTGGCTGAAGGAACCAGAGATGCAGATGTTCAAGAAAGTGGTGTGAATGTAGGCTCGCTGGAGATGAGACCTTTGCAGCTGTAGGATCTGGGATGATGTATTCAAGCAGAGAGGATGAAGCAGGAGAGGAAGAAGAGGAAGAAGAAGAGGAAGAAGAAGAAGAAGAAGAAGAAGAAGCTGAAACTAAAGCTAAAATAGCTAAAATAGCCGAAATAGCTGAAGTAGTAGTTTAAAAAGCAGAGTTGAAGTAGTTGAAGAGGAGAAGTGAAGCAAAATCTTGAATCTTATAGTCTGAGATTCAGCATTCGCTCTCACTTCTGCGATTCTCCGCCACTCCAAGGATACACAAGTCTTCCTCTGTATCTCGCAGTGTTTCTAGAAGGAAGACTAATACCGGGAACTTCAATTACAGACGTAATTTCTCCCACTGCCTTGAACAGCACATCGGCGATCGGGGCTGTGGGAATCAAGCGGCTTGAACTGACGAGGCAGCTGAAGGCCCCAAGTCTCAATGAGAGTCAGAGGTGCATGTCGAGATGTCGGCAGAGTACAGGTGCAAAACTTCAGGTCATTTTCAGTTCTGTCAGATTTCTAGAACAACGAACAGTCATAGAATGATAGAAATGGAAAGAAAAGTGGTGTCAACTGGTGTCGGACTTGTTCTCCTCCGCCCCACTTCCCAATGAGGTGTGCGGGAGCGACACCACCTACAAATATCGAGAAATATCGAGTCGACATTCCATACTTGCATACTCTTTGAATCCCTCAAAATGCCATCTCCATCCCAAAAAGAGCTCCAGCAGTTTTACATCGGCAAGGACATTGGCGATGTGCCCAAGCCCGCTGCCGTCATGGACGTGGGGCTCATTCGACGACACTGTGAGACGATGCTAAGCACAATCAAGAAGCTGGACGTCGGATTCAGAGCACATGTCAAGTCCCACAAGGTATGACTGGTCTCATATGTCCACGTATTCTCCCCCGAGGTCGCCTTCACACGCTGATTCATCCAGACCCCCGAGATCGCCAGGCTTCAAATTGGCGGCATCAAGGATGCCAATTTTATCGCTTCAACTGTCCTGGAAATCGAAATGATGATACCACTCCTCTTGGATCTGAAGAGGGAAGGTCGAACCGTCAACATTCTCTATGGAATCCCTCTTGTCCCATCGCAGGTGCCATATCTAGCCAAAGCTGCCCGCCAATTGGACAAGGACAGCATATCGGTGATGATCGACCACCCCGATCAAGTACCTTTCCTGGAGCAACTATCCTCTCTAGCTGGTGTGCCACCCTGTGTTTTCATCAAAGTCGACACAGGCTACCACCGTGCCGGACTGCCTCCAGTTTCTCTCAACAAGAAAGGATTGCTGGAGAAGCTCGTGTCCGCCGAACAATCGGGCAACGCAAATATCCTGGGCTTATACTCGCACAGCAGCTTGAGCTATAGTGGAACGACTCCGGAGCAGGCGATGGGTCATTTGATCAGCGAGATTCAGGGCTGCAAGGATGCTTTACAGAAGAATCTGCATCTCCTCCCCAAAAAGGAGCTGATAATCAGCGTCGGCGCCACGCCCCAGGTTGTTTCCTCTCAAAACCTACTGCTAAGTAGCACCACCTGCGTGGAAGCGCAAGAGTTGAAGGCTTTGCTGAGTGAGACCAACGTCGAACTTCACGCGGGTGTCTATCCTATTTTGGACATGCAACAATTCTCAACACACGCCAGTGCAGAGTCTGGGAAGCTGGAGAATGAGATTGCCATTTCGGTGCTTGCTGAAGTATGCAGTGTCTATAACGACGGGGAACGAGAGAAACCCGAAGCACTTGTGGCGGCAGGAACACTAGCACTGGGCCGAGAGCCGTGCCCGAGCTACCCTGGATGGGGAGTTGTTGCGCCTTGGCGGGTCGAGGGGCAAGATCCCACTACATCGGACAAGCTGATACTTGCTCGGATCAGTCAAGAACATGCCATTGTGACTTGGAACGAGCAGGCCGAGGCAAAAATCCCTCTCAGCATTGGACAGGTCGTCAAAGTCTATCCCAATCATGCCTGTGTGACTGGCGCTTTCTACGGTTGGTACTTTGTCGTGGACTCTGATCAGGATCCCGAGGCCTCTCGTATTGTGGATGTTTGGGTCCGGGGCCCTGGGTGTGGTATGAGGGCCTGGTAGAATATCAAGGCTAGAGAATGCGGCAATACTTGCACAGGATGTGTAAATAGAGGGGACTGATGCATCGACGACCTCGCGGATAATATGACATCCCTTTGGATAATGCGACACCCCTGATGCCTGAATTTGGCCTGATTTTAATATTGATGCCCTTTATAGTGGGCATCAATCTTTCTGCCAGCTATTCTTCTAGATTCCCAAGCTTCAAAAGCAAAAAAATACAACAGTGAGGATTCGCTAGTGGTCACCCAACCACTAACTCACCGGCGTGTGGCTTATGTGCGGTCAATAGTCGGGTGGATGTCGCCCGGGTGAGAAATGGGTGAGCGCCGCTTTACGGTCGCGCAACTCGGGTGATTAGGGTGAGTGCGCAACAGACAGGGTGAGAATGGGGTGAGAACCATAATCTACACAGCGGCCACTGCACCGACCCCTTTCAACTGAGCTGGCTTCAACTAACATTGGGCCAATGCCTCCCCTTGAAACGATCGGTTTCTTGGCATCTGCACATAGAAAAAGAACGCTTGGGGCAGAAGCTGATTTCACCACCGACTGTAAAATCCATCATGTCAGACCTTACTTCCCTGACACCCTCGGTGGCTCTTTCACTCTCCAACACCGAGGCAGCAGAATGGAACAAAAAGCTTATGGAGGAATTTCAGGCTGAACTGGAAAGGAATCCTGAAGCTGATCTCTTGTCGATGGTCCCTGATTTATATCGTCACGAACATCGAAATTCCCAATATCTTCGACTATCTCATGCCGCCAAAATCAATCTCCGAACTCTGCATGACCTGTGCGAGATCCTTCGAGATAATCCAGAGGAAAACTTACTATCGATCTTCCCGAAAAATTACAACCGCAAGATCAGCATGGCGACGGGCCCAAAAATTCTACCATCCACCAAGAAAGATATTACAGAAGAGGGCCCGGAGTTCCAAATCCGTCTGGATACTGCTGAGACCGCTCAGGTCATCTTTCTATTGTCTAGTACGGTGACTGCATTAATTACAATGTATTCATAAGAAGTACCACACAATCAAGAAAAGACTCTCGCCACCTCTCTGAAGCAACTCCTCCGGCGTTCTCGAAAGCTCTAGGAATCTCCTGTGCGCGGCATGGTAGTCAAGTGCAGTGAAACTATTGTTGCCAAAGTTGTCGTTGGGAATAGGGATTCTACGGAATACACAAGTATGCGATTTCTTGCCGAACGGGCACCCGATATTCCTGCTCCAAGAGCTTATGGTATGGTCGCCCTCGGACCATTCAGGGTTACTTTTATGTCCTACATTCCGGGTATAACGCTCGCCCAGGCATGGCCCATTCTGTCTCACAATGGAAAATTATCGATTCAACAGTAGCTTAATGATATATTCCACCGGTTGCGATCTCTTCCGAATAATAGCCAAAGTATTGGTGGAGTGTGCGGCGAAGGAGCCAAGGACCCCCGGGTCAACGAAATCGCTCTATTCGAAGATATCAGGACTCCTCAACAATTTAGCGACTTTCAATTTTCGGCCCGTCATCATGGCAGCACTGTGTATGTGGACTTTCTTCGCTCCTTCTTACAAAATGAGGATCCTTCAATGCTCAGAAAAGTCTTTACTTATGGCGATGTAAGGACTGCTAACATTATGGTCGAACAAGATCCTAATGTTGGTCAATATACAATAACCGGTATCATCGACTGGGAAGAAAGCGGCTTCTACCCCTCATACTATAAAGCACCACTTTGGCACGCAATTTAAGCCCGGTAGATGAAGATGATTGGTATCTCTATTTGCCTAAGAGTATCTCACCATCAGAGTTTCCTGTACGTTGGCTTGTTGATCGGCTTTGGGGTATCCATATCCGGACCACTTGATATTCCCTCTATTAGCCTCCAGAATTCAATCACTTCTTTTGAACAGCGTAAAGACGTGTGAACAAAATTCTAGTGGTATTTGGCGACCCGTTGTCGATATCAAGTTCTGACAATGACAGACCGAGGGCATTGAAGTCGGATTAGGTGCGGGCCAGCGTAAAACTGGCGCTTTAGCTTTGACCAACCCGTATAACCCGCATAACCCGCCGGGTTTCAAAACTGGAACCGTGACCCAACCCGTGGGTTGTGTCGAGGCCTAAGAATTGCTAGGTACATATTCGTCCTTGATTATCAAGGCAAGGAGGTACTAGGTGTACTTGGGTAAATAGAGTTGATTTTTGTTTAAAAAATTCGGTAGTTGGCTTTCTAGACCATGAGGATATCAATTATAGAAAGTGGAATCAAAGTGGAATAGAAAGAGGAATTAAAAATGCGATGAGAAAAGGAAATACTTAGGTTGTATTACGACTGGATTGCAGTCTACATTGAAAATTTCCAATTCTACTGAATAGGTACTTATTTTTATTAGGGGGTTGCATAGTAACACCAGGTACCTTGAAGGGGCTTGGAGAAATCGGTAGAGGTTCAGGCTGCCTGGAAGTTGACACCAGCTAACCTATTCCGAAATATCTTCAAAAACCGACTTTTGGTCCCCAAAGCTTTCCTGACCCGCCAAATAGGCCGTTGTAGGCAGTTTTAGCCGCAGGTCTCTCAGATGACCAAAACTGCGATGTTGGAAGGATTCAATGTCTGGGTCTACAGTATGTACTATCGTATTTGCCAAGTCGGAATAGTTTGTTCACCCAGACCTTGGACTCAGTGGACTGGGATCTAAGCCCCAGAGAGCCCTGTGTCCTTAGTGGCAGCTCAGATTTGAAGCCCCCACCCGCCAGAGGAAGCCTAGAGCTTGGGAGTGCTCAAGTGATCTGATTGAGTACAACGGTCTCACTAGACCCCGAGGAATCTCCGCCTGATTATCAGGTCTCTAGAGCCAAGTTTTAAAGAGTTGGCACTGTGCACAGTTAGCAAATTGCGTCTTGGAAAGAAACCTTGCGATCCAACATCTTCAAAACCACCTTGAGAAATTCAATGTCTCACGAGCTACCTCCATGGGAGGAAACAATCTTAATCGCGGCCGCAAGTGGCCAAGCCGCGATAGTCCAGGAAGAATTGGAGAAGGGTGAAAATGTGGATCATCGCGACATGGAATACAGACGAACGTGTCTATTCTGGGCCGTGCAAAGGGGGCACCAAAGTGTCGTGCAGCTCCTTATTGAGTGGCACGCCGAAATTGACGCGCTAGATGGCCACGGCCAGACACCCTTGCTGCAGGCGGTAGCGAGCGGGAATGAGGTCTTGGTAGAGCAGCTATTGAAAGCAGGCGCAAACTTCAATATCTTCAACTATTCTGGTGATGTGCCATTGGTATTGGCCGCCCGAAAAGGGTTTGCTCCGATCGTTAAATCCCTGCTGGAGGCCGGTGCAAATCCTGATTTCCAAGACTGGCGTTATGGTCGGACCGCATTATCGTATGCAGCGAGAAAAGGACATGAGGGGATTGTGGAATTGTTGCTTGATAGTAATGCCGCGGTTGATTTGGAGGGTGAATGTCATCGAAGTCCCATTGCTTGGGCTGCGATGGAGGGCCATGCCAATGTGGTCAAGCAGCTATTGGCGAGGAATGCCAATACAGAGGCAAAAAAGGATGGAGATGAAACACCATTTTCTCTGGCGCTGGAAGGTGGTCATGATGCCATTGTCAAGATGTTGTCAGGAAAATCGATCCAGGAAATCGAGCATGAGCTGGCTTCTCGCCCTGCGTCCGTAAAACTTCTGAACCTGCGGAAACTCTTCAGAACTGTCAATTCCGACTTTGATCTTGAAAATCCTAACGATGGCGAGATTCTCATGTGGGCTCTCGAAAGTGACCGCCCAGAAGATGTCGAATTTCTCATCCAGCAAGATGCACACCTCAATGTCCGCCACGAAAATGGCATGACTCCGCTTTCATGGGCTGCACGACACGGTCTTCTGGACCTGGTGAACACAGTGCTTGGATCAGATGTCGATCCAGACGTTGTGGACGAATCCGGCCGAACTCCTCTCATCGAAGCCGCAGAGAGTGGACATACCGAGATAGTCCGGATCCTATTAGCGAAAAACATCAATCTGGAACAAAAAGATGAGTCCGACATGACCCCTTTATTATGGGCAGCTTGTCTTGACCACGAATCGACTGTGTCTCTACTTCTGGACACCGGAGCTGATCCCAACTCTGAGGACAACAATTCGCGAACTCCGATTTCATATGCGGCTGAAAATGAGAATCCATCGATGATCTCGCTGCTCTTGAATAAAGGCGCATCACCGGATGAATGCCAAGAGGATTCGCCTTTGATGTATGCTATCCGCGAGAGTAACGAAACTCTCGTAAAACTGCTGCTGGAGCGAAACGCAGACCCTTATTCTGAATTGTATGAGGGCTGCAAATATCCACCTCTAGCATTTGCAGCAATGCGGGGGGATGAGGCGATGGTCAATCTGCTCTTGGGGAGCAGTCCTGAATCAAATGAGTCCAAAAAAGACCATATCTGGAGGGCGTTAGTTGTCGCCTGTGAAGAGGGGGAGATTGGCGTGGTCAAAGTCCTGCTTGACCAACATCCTTTTGAGGGAATAGATGGTCCTCACGATCCGGATCCTTTGGATAGCGCTGAGCTTATGGGACATGATGAGATTGTCGGTCTCTTGCGACCTTACTATGAGATCAAATCACACGATATCGGTCTGAGCGATTTGCGGAAGCAGACTGCAGATCTGAATCTGCAAGAATGAAAGATCTGGAGTCCAGTAGTGAATTTCGCCTCTTCTGAGGTCGCATGTCAGGACACATTTCTATTTAGGGGATTGATGCATCGACACTCTCGATAATATGACCTGGTGCCTGATTTTGGCCTGATTCCACCGTCTTTCTCTCTGCGTTTCAACATTGAGATACAATTCCCAGTAGAAAAATAGGACCAAAATCTATAGCAACCAAAGCCGTGGCTGCTACGTTAATACCATTTTGTTTAAAAAAAGAAACACGATTGGAATCATGATTATTGTACACAATAGGGGCCAGCTGCAGTAAAAGGACAACGATGCAGGACATAAACCAAGTCTTGTCTATCTTTGCTAGAGTACGAAGATTGCCTTGCAAGTAGAAACACAATGTCCACACAGAAAGCAGTTGGAATTAGCCTCGAATAAGGTAGGAAAGGTATCTTGAGAGATTTTTGGGATTGAAATCACAAAGAGAAAAAAAAAGAGAGATGCTGAAGGCGCCTTATAGCGCCAAACTGTCCAAAGGCCAAACCCAAGATGCAAATGATTGTAAAGAACCCCAAAGTACAAGGCGAGGTGATGCAAAATTTCCAAATTGCGCCAGTCATCCCAGAAACCGGGAAACAGCATTGAGCCCGGATGAACCAAAAGAAGACAAAGGAATTAAATAATATGTGCCCGGGACTAGCCAGCGGGAGAAGAAAACGTGTTCAAAATCAAACGTGCGACTGCGACTGGCTGAGACTCGATCTTGACCGTTGAGACAAAGAGCGACGTCCACGGCTTGAGGGGGCGCGCTCAGACGGTGCATGTTCGAAGAACGGAGTCAAGTCTGGGTTTTGACTTGGTGGTGTTTTGGATGTCGCAGAGTAGTCGCTCAGGATGCGTTCGTCTGCCGCGGTATCCGGGTGCACTTCAATGCCTTGTTCGCGGTCTAGACCGCTGTATGGCCCGCCGGTTGTGGGAAAAGTGATTGAGTCGGCTTCGCCGTGGCCTCGCTCGATGGGAGACCAGCCGGCAATGCTGCCGGCGACGATGCCTGCCATGGCGGCGGCGGGACCAAATGCAGAGTTTGAGCGGGACCGTGTGTTGCGTCGGGAGCGGGACTCAGGGGTCATGGGCTGAGGGCTTTGGCTACCCTCGTTCTCAATGTCCTCGTTGGGTGTAGGCGGGGAAGAGGAATCGCGGGAGCGGGAGCCGCTGCGGGACCGAGGAAGGAATTCCTGGGGGTGCTGGAGCTTGTGGCGAATGTGGCGGAGACGGCCACCGCGGACTCGCTTGATGAAAGCGAGCTGGTCGCGAATCTCTTCGATGGCTGGGTTCCATTCGTAGTTGCGGTCTTCGTCGGAAATGACGAGTTCGGGTCCCTTGTCGCGTGACCAGAAGTTTGGAATGAGTCTGCTGACGAACTCGTCTGGGATCAGGCGAATGATCACGGCAATGGGAAGTGAAAGTGCGCCGAGTACAAGACTGACAGCCCACTGGGAGCCTTGGTCAAGACGCTTGACAGAGAAAGCGGCACCACCAACGAAAACGATCAGGACTTGGCCTCCAATGATGATGAGCTGGATGCCAATGAACCAGTTGTTCTTCCAGATGCCCTCCATGATATTGAGCTTGTTGTCGATGCGGCGTGAATTGTACTGATTGAAAATCTGCATGAAGACGAAGGTGTTGAAAACCACAGTCTGCATGTGTTCGTGCTCCCAGGTGAAGATGTGACTGCCAGCGAAGTTTAAAACAAAGGTCACGACAAGTTGGTAGATAGATTGCCCAACAATCATCTTCCACATCGTCAATGTAATGAGCGGGTCGGATTTCGATTCAGGCTTTCGGTCGAGGACAGTTTCCGTGGGAGGATCTGTGGCCAAAGCGAGAGCAGCGAAGGTATCCATGATCAAGTTGACCCAAAGCAATTGAACTGCGCTGAGGACTGAATCTTCGTTGCCACTAGCGACGGCAGAGACGAAGGTAAGAACGACAGCGGTGATGTTGACAGTGATTTGGAATTGCAGGAACTTCTTCACGGCGTCACAAACAGTACGACCCCAGGCCATAGCTTTGACGATGGAGGAGAAGTTGTCATCCATAAGAATAATATCAGACGCCTCTTTCGCGACTTCAGTACCAGCAATACCCATAGCGAAACCAACATCGGCGTTCTTGAGCGCTTGAGCATCGTTGGTACCATCTCCAGTGACAGCGACAGTCTCTCCTAGCTTCTTCAACTGATTCACCAAGATCTTCTTGTCATCTGGGCTTGACCGGGCGATGACCTGAAGCCTAGGGATGATCTGGTTCATCTGGCGGCTGCTCAGCTTGCGGAATTTAGGGCCTTCAATAGCAATACCACCGGGCGTGTAAATTCCACACTCTTGAGCAATTGCCTTTGCGGTATTGATATTGTCTCCAGTCACCATGCGAACGAAAACTCCAGCCCGCTGACAAGCGTAGACCGCCTCGGAAACTCCAGCTCGCACCGGATCCTGAATTCCATAGATACCCAACATCGTCATATCCTTGAAGATTGGCTCGAATACTGCCTGGTTACGGTCGGTTTCCGAGATCGGGGCGCCACGAGGTGGCCACTGTTCAAAATCACGAAAGGAAAGGGCGATACAACGGAGAGAACGCGAGGCGTAGTTGACCATGATGGTATCCAATGAGCTTCTAGCTTCGTCAGAGAGAGGAGACTCGGATAATTCGGCTGTCGGGTCACGAATAATGCGTGAAGACTTTGCGACCAAGATCTCCGCAGCACCCTTGACAAGCATTCGGTACTTTCCGTTCTCAAGCTTGAGAACGACCGCCATGCATTTGCGTCCCGAGTCGAATGGGTAAATCTGCGCGAGTTCGCCGTTGGCCTTGGCTTCTCCAAGTGGCCCCATTCCGAGGTTATCCCGGGCGAAGGTCAAGAGGGCAGTTTCTGTCTTGGATCCAATGTACGTCTTGACTCCATCTGTCTCACCTTCAAATGCAGTAGAGTTGAAGACAATCGATTGGAGTAAGAGATCCTTGATAGATGGTGAAAGCGAAGACACAAATTCAGAAGGGGAGATTTCGGTCTGATCGTCAGCCGAGACACCAGAGTACTTTCCAAAGCGTGAAGTGGTACCCAATGTGGCGGCTACTGCAGTCATTTTGTTTTCCGTTAATGTTCCAGTCTTGTCGGAGCAAATCGTCGTGGCATTGCCCATGGTTTCACAGGCTTTCAGGTAACGGACGAGATTGTTATCTTTAATCATTCGTGTCGTTGCAAAGGCGAGAGCAAGAGTGACGGCCAGCGGCAAACCCTCAGGCACTGCGACGACGACGATAGTAACGGCAACAATGAAGATCTGTAGGAATGCTTGCCCCTTGGCATCTGCACCTCCTTCGATGTTGTGGAGGCGAGCCAGGAACTTAATGAACAAAACCACAAACAGTAACAAACCCGAGGCAAGACCGAGCTTTGCAATATACTCGGCCAATACGTTCAGCTTGGTTTGCAAAGGTGTAGTTTCACCCTCCTCCTGGAGAGACATCATAGTCCGGCCAAACGTAGCGTGCATGCCTGTAGCAGTGACCAAAAAGGTGCCGACACCTTCGGAGACTTTCGCACCGGAAATGATAAAAGGGTCTATCTTCTTCAAGTCTTCATGTTGCTCAATTTTGCGATACACCTCCTCGCCGGGGGTTTTCCGAAGAACGTCGGACTCTCCAGTGGCCGAGGATTCGTCGCACTTGAGGTCATGGCCTTCGATCAGGATGCCATCGACTGGAACCAGGTCACCAGGTTCTAGAAGCATGACATCGCCAACCAAAACATCGTGGACGGAGATTTCCTCCGTCCGACCGGATCGTGTCACTTTTACTTGTCGGTTCTCTTTCTTTTTGTTGAGTTTCGCGAATTGTCGTTCTTTTTGCCAGTCATTGGCTGCACCAACAGTCACAACGATAATGATAGCTACCAAAATGGCCAATCCTTCAACCCATTCCACTCCAGGTTCATCTGGGTTTGCAGGATGAAGTGATTGTGGAATACCAACAGCAAGGGAAATGATTGCCGCAACGGTCAAAAGAATCAATACTTTGTCGTTGTATGCAATCCAAGCGAGCTCCCAGATCGTCTTCAACTTCCTTTCTGGAAGCTTGTTATCGCCGTAGATCCTTCGGCGATCGGTGAAGTCGTTTTGGGTTTCCTTCAGAGAACCCTCGGTGGTGGGCGATGGGTTCGCCGAGGCAGCCTTGGACGAGCCACCTGGGGAAACGGCATCCTCGAAGTTGACCGTTCCGTCGAGTAAATTCTCATCCACACTCAAGCCGCTTCGGACGTCAGTCCGAAGTCCCTTCTCGAGTCCTCGCAAGCCACCCAACGCACGGAATGCGCCGAAGCTCTTCGGGTTGAGTAGCTTGTTCAGCTGGCCGGGTGAGAAGGCGAACTTGTTGTCTTCGACCTCGAACTCCGATTCCCGGCCGGGGTCTGGGGTCAGCGGCTCCTCGTCGTCGACAAAGACATTCTTGGTGAGGTCGGATTTTGATCCGTGAGAGGCGGACGGGACGTATGTCTCGCCACCGTATGTGGAGGATGTTTGACTGGTGTCCTCGGACTCTAGAGAGTTCCCTCGGGAGCGCGCTCCGGGGACAGAGAGGAAATTCGATTGCGCCTCGGGTGCTTTTGTTGGTGAGGAGATGTTGTGAGGCGATAATGGTCGATCCTCCCTATCTCGGGCCTCGGAGGAGCCGTTGGAGCGAATCGATGCGGTGGACCGCATTTCCGTGGGTGAAACACCATTGTTGTCCCCATTACTATCAGCGAAGGGTGAGGCCGAGTTGTCTCCGGACAAAACCTGGGGATTTGACGTCTCGGGGGAGTTCACGGCGGATGTATCAATGGTGATGGTTGGCGCGCGCTCTCTGCGCAGGGGAGTTGACGGTTGTGAATCGGGCATGATGAACCCAAACGCGCTGCACGCGTAAATGGTTCATAGAGAGCAATACCAAGGAGTAAAAAAAGAGCAAAAAATCAAATCATGATAGGAAAGGAGACTAAGCTACAGAGGAGAAGAAACCCCCTTCCGCTCCGCGGTCCAGAACTTAAGTTTCGTATTGCACCCGCACATCATATGCTCCACTCTATAGAAGCACAGCCCCAATCTCCTCTTTCTTCTTTTCTCTTCCTTTTTACATTTAATACGGTGTACAAGGTACAATTGATTATTGAGATCTCTACAATTTTCGACAAAAGTTTCCAGCAAAATTCTGCCAAAATACCGCAAACACCAAGCTCCATCGTTTGCACTGCCTCACTGTGCCAAGACCTCGCCCCAGACTCGGCGAATAGGGGAGATGATTAGCGATACATTACGTAGAATATCGATTTTCCGTTCCCGTCCTGTAGGAGTAAGGTATCAAGTATCAGGTACAGAGGTGCTTATAAGGAATTAAGTTAGAGTGGTGACGTTCCCTATTGGGGGTATACTCTAATGCTTCTTACGTTGTAACATTCTACGAGTATATCTCGTATGAGTATATCTCGGCAAACTCGGCCTGCATTCTCGCACATCCAAATCCTTTCTAAAGTTGTAAACACATCTGATCTCGCAATTCCAGGACTTCAAAGAACCCAATGCTCCGTACCCAACCAACGCCTCACCGCCTCAATATCGTAACGCATCTATCCTTCGCACCCCATTAGCCCAGCGCATCCACGGCGTTTGCCACTCCCACCTATCACTACTCGTACTCCGCATGCAACGTGGGACTCGCCTAAATAAATTACACCTACGGAGTACATGTGCTGATATAATAATACTTAAGTATGTGCAGCGTTGGTGCTACGCTGGACGGCGTATGTACGAGTACTCGTACGTTGTAGGATTTCCGTAGTCATGCACGGAGTACTTAATGTACTGCGCCACGCTGCCCATTTCCCACGCAATCAGGTCGAGACAGAATCGTGTCCCATAGAAAGTGATGGTGGAAGTTCATAGCTAAGTAGATGTCCACGCGTGTTTAAATTGTGGCGTTGTCTGCTCCTGTCAAGGGACAGACATGTCTCTAAAGTAATCTCCCTGGATTGGAATCAGGAGATTGTGGCGGTTTGAGTCAACACTTTTGACTTTCTCAAATTAAAAGTGACCTGTGCGACCCCGAATGCATGCAGAATGCCGATCTCCTACCTGCAGACTGGGCACCTACCCCAACTTTAATGCAGATATCACACTTCTGCTTCGGGCATGTGTGGTATGCCGGGGCATCCCAGTAATGTCCCTGGCAACACCTGGGCACGAGATCATGAACTCCCGAGGTCTACAATCAGTAGAATTGCGTCAGGAACATACACTTGGTAGTACAGAGTAAACATCCTATAAACAAATAATGTAGTTGGGAAAAGATGCCTAACCACCCTCCAAATTGGTCCAGTTTCGTTCATATCAACCGTTGCCTATGAAAATTTCAAAACACATACCAAGCCAATTCTAATGTACATAAATGACTCGTCTACAGCTGCCGGTCGAGAGCAGATGTGAGCCCGATTCTTTTCTTCTCCTCCTCGGTGACCTCGACGTCCCAGATGCTCAACTCCTGACTCCGTTCGTCCTTCGGGGACTTCGTGTTCCGGTTGACCAAAGCCTTGCCCGACAATGCGAGTGCGTCCATCAATTCAGACATCCGCTTCGCTTGCGTGAAAGCGTGGGTGATGTGGTCGTAATTGGCAACCCAGATAGAGACAATCATGCACTGTGTGAGCAGATCGTTCCTCTCGAGACAGAAGCTGGCATAGTACATCGCGTTGTGGTAGTCGAGTAACAGCTCTGGGAGGTATGTTGTCCGAATGTGAGCAAAGTCCTTCTCTTCATCGGCTACATGATACCGTTAGCACAGGAATTCAAGAAGCACGTTAAGATTCCGCTTACCATTGGCAGATGTGGGGAGCCATTCTTCATCCGTCACAGCTCCAATCCATTCTTCCACCACGCTCACACATTCTTCCAACTCTTGGCCCATGACCTTAAGGGTGCCTGAGTCTCGTCGGCGTTTGGTCCTATATTGGTTAGAATCGGTGCTGATTCACACAATGTTGCCACTTACTTGGATCTCTGTTCATGTACAATGGCGAACTGTTCCACGGAGTCGAGGCCCAGAATCAAACTCTCCAGGTCGCGCATCGCCTGGCACTCGTTGTATGCAGCAATAAGTGCAATGTTGTGCGACCCAGAAAGACTGCGGCGGTGGAGACTATTCCTTTTGGATTTTGTCGGGCTGGTTGGAGTCGTCGCCTCAGCGAACCCGGTGTCCTGCGGGGGCATGGAAATAATGTCGCAACCGAACTTCTCGATTGAAATATCTGCCAACCGCATACGGAAGCTCAGCTCGCGAGCAGCAGCAAGCTTGTCGGCAACTAAAAAGAGTTAGTTTGACATCACATAGGGAAGAAGGTCAAAGCATACGCAAGAATTTTCGATAAAGCCATGTGCCAAGTTCACAAATCCTATCCCACTGGCCGTCTGTAACTCTGAGCCATTCTAGGCTGCGAATCATCTTGTCATCTTCCTCGCTCACTGTATCACCGATCAGATCAGGCTTCGGGGATACCAATTGCTTGATGCCGTCGCCTCGTCGGTACACTCTTGAGTATCCAGTGACTCCTCGGGAATGATCGATCGCGGAAACATTCTCCTTGACCCACTTCCATTGAACATCAAGAACAGTTTGGATGTTGATTCCATACTTGTCCGCAAGTCGGACTTGCCGAACCTTGTCCTTAGGGTCGGATATGTCAATGAAAATCTTAGCCAGAACGCCGTGTCCCATTGATGTAGGTAGAAGAGAGGCGTAAAGAGGAATAAGACGGAACATGCCCCTCTGTTCGAGATTGGAGATGTGTCCAGCGACGAGGATCGATGCCGTCTCAATGAAGTGGGTATCTGCGCGAGCGTAACCTCTAGCGCTTGCCACAACGTAAACGTGCGCGGCAATCTTGAGGGCCTCTTCATCGTCGGCGGCAATGAAGAACGATTCCTCGACTGGCTTATGCGGAAGCCGAGGGACGACCGAGGACTTGCCGAATTTTTCGTTGGAGACATGAGAGACAGCGTGGGCCAGAGCTGGGAAGAACGAGTCATATCCTTGGCTAAGGATTGCAGCCTGGATGTTGCGGAACGGATTGCGCGTTTCTCCACTGACTCGCTCGTTACCCTTGAGGTAGACCAGGTACTTCTGGAGTTCAGTGTGTCCGGCTGGCTCCGGCTTGAACACCACAGGAGTGCTAGGTGAGTGACTAAGTTTGCGTTGGAATTGCCGACAGAATCCCTGGTAGCGCGAGAGCACGACACGATTGAAGAATACATAGAGGTAGTCATCCCAGCTAGTGCAAACGGCGGCAGCAGCTTCAGTCTCGCCGGCAAGCAGTGCATAGACCGCACGCTGGAAGTCATCAACGCTCTTGTTCCGTGTGAGCGCAGAGCAAGCACTGCGCCATGAGTCCTGGGCTCGACTGTTCATCAAGCGCGTGTGGCCGTCGTCGGCCGGATATTGAGTACTCGCCGATTTAGGGTCCACGCTAGAGCCACACAAGCTAATGGCTCTCCATCCTTCCAGGTGGTTTTCGGCCCATTCACGAATCTTGGTCCAGTTTTCGCCTTGTCGCAGCATTTTCCAACATGTTGCCCAGGTCGCAAGTTCAAACGATTTGTCTTGGGCTTCCAGGGCATTGTTTTGTCGGATCATGGCATCAGGGTCGAGTTGAGTGACAAGTGGTTTCTGCTCATCCTTACTCAAAAGCGAGCGCGAAATCCCGGGGTCATTGGGCTCCAGAGGTTGAGGCCAAGCGCGCAGTCTTTTGTGGCCCTTGATCGCTTCCTTGGTATACAGCCAGCCGTGTGCCCACAATCCTTCACCCCTTTGCGACTGACGTTCCATTTCCGTGATCAGCCCGTCAATGTCTTGATCTCCTGTTTTGGACGTCTCTTCTAACCAGCGCATAGCAATCACACACTCCAGACCATATTGGTCGGCGTTTAGGAACTGTTCCCAGATTTCACGATCGGTCGAGTAGCGGTGGAGCTCCTGGAAAGCAGTCTGTTGTCCAGCCTTGTAGCGGGCTCGGCTGGAAGGATCATCAATGCTGATCAGGTTGAGCAGCAGGCGCCAGGTATCGGACTCGAGCTGAAGTCGCCGGATTTCCTCGGCGCTTTTGACTTCCTGTGTTCCACTCGACCGGAAACCTGTTTTGGCGCGGTCAACAATCTGCTGTTTCTCAATTTCCTTGATTGCGTTGTTTGCAAGGTCGCGGTAGCTCGCCACGAGCTTGTAAGCTGCTTGGGCGTTGTTGAACTCGTCGGTTGAGTTCTCGCGCTTGAACTGATCGAGCTTGTCCGCAAAAGCTTCGATTTGGCGGGTGACGCGATCGGCAGTTCGACGAAGGGGGTGTAGAGCTTCCTGGGCACCAACAGCTGTGAATAGCGAACCATCTGATATATATTAGCGAATGAGAGCCACGCGCTGATTACCACTTGGACTGACCCTGACTCTTGTTACTCAGTCCGAAGATAGGCTGTTCAATGCTTTCAAGAGTAGCAACATCGGACCCGGTCTCCGATGCGATTTCGCCATCGACGCCGTCCCTGCTCTCGTCCATGGACTCTCCTTGGTTCTCGGATCGGCTGTCAAAAGATTGTCCGTCTCCGCTCATATCCTCGTCTTCCACGGATTGTTCGTCATCTTCATTAATATTGATGCTGCCCGGTTGTCTCGACTGGACAGCCTGGGAACAGAATTAGCGTGGCAACTAAAACGAAACGATGAGCAGGAGACACCTACAGGGGCGAACATATTTGTCCCAGCGGCCGAACGAGTAAGCGGGGCCATGATGATGTGGGCGCAATGACTTGGTAAGAAAGAGAGCGAGGGAGAGCTTTGAGGAATAAGTTGTGTTTGTCTCTTTTGGCTGGCGCGCCAGACTAAACCCGAAAGAGACTAGCGGCAGACCGCCAACCTATTTGTACGAATTTTCACCCGCGCCCTTCTCTCTTTCTTTTCTTTTCTTCTCTAATGTCTATAGGCTTTCATTAGAGTCTCGGTACGAAAGATTCAATATTCGTACAGGTCCATCGAGGCCTCCTTGCGTGCTCAAGATTGTCTTATAATAAAATACAGTTCTTCAATTAGCCTGGTTTCCTCCAAATGGAAACCCAGACCGCAAGGGAATTGTGACAACCACGATGGATGTAAAAAAAAAAATTGTAGAATCCTCGGTCCTCCAGCCTCTCAGTTTGACGGATTTGCCTGAGCTGCCTGAGCTCTTTGCTTCATCTTAAGACGCAACAGACTTGCTTTGGGGCAAGTGAGTGTGGACGCTTGATCGCCTTGTCCTTGGTAGAAGGCGTTGCAGCACTCGTACAAGGCATCAATTTGGGCCTGGCACTTGTCCTCGTTGAATGAATTTTTGTTCAAACATTCTGGGTCGGGTTAAGATTTGGCCAGTTGGGCGGATAGAGATGAAGAAATACCTTGAATTGCGCACTAGTATTGGTTAGATTCTGGTGCAATTCAACTCCATTGATTCGGGAAGAGACCTACAGCGCGTGGTTTGCAAGGCTGCTCGTGCGACAGATCCTGTTTTAGATTTCCCTGACTTGTCTCAGTCTATAGTCACATCATGGTGGCATGGCAATACATACCATTGTCCAAAAAGTATCCAAAAGCTGTACATCTAAAAAGGTTGGAAAGTGACGAATCTGATAGAAGCAACCGTACAAACGCAATATAGATTCTCCGCCTTCAGGCCGTGGGGCGAGTTTGCTATTCTGCCGCCGATCTGGGATCTTCTTCTCTCTTCCAACTTCACCTTTACAACCTTGCGCGCTACTCTACATCTCTGTCCATACTGGTGAGTCTTCTACTCTGCTCTTGGCGCTATCTCAATTTTGATCTCGCGACCTAACATTATCCACGTTCTTCAGACAGACTCCATTTGAAAGCCCCTCACCAGGTTCAAAGCACACTCAACCGTGAGGCGTCGCTCTCTCTTCGCTTGGGTTGTAATTCTCTAACACAACACAGACATATCCGACAAAATGTCCGACAAGGAAGCCCCCGCCACCGAGCATCTGAACATTAAAGTGACAGATAACAACAACGAGGTCTTCTTCAAGATCAAGCGCTCGACGCAGCTGAAGAAGCTCATGGACGCGTTCTGCGACCGTCAAGGAAAACAGCCCTCGACTGTCCGCTTCCTCTTTGACGGAACTCGCGTTCGCCCCGAGGACTCCCCGGACACTGTAGGTTCCATCGTCTTGTTTCTCTTCTTCACGGTGGAACTGCTCAAGACTAACTTTGACAAGCTCGACATGCAAGACGGAGACACCCTGGAAGTCCACCAGGAGCAGATTGGAGGATGCTGAATTCTTCACCTCGAACCCCGAAATTTCACCTCTCGATCTCACCAGGGCAGATGATGCAACACGGATAATAATTTGAAGACCGATGGAAATCTCTGGGGTGTTGGATAGAATTATCATGGCGTCTTCCGGTGAACTGTGCGATTGGGCGATGGGGCGTCCCTACTTTTCTCTCTCATGAAGTTAACGAATTTACCAAAAGTCACCCGGTTTCTTTTTGAGACTCGATGGTGCTGCTTTGACTATCCCACTTGCCGTTTCCAGTGCTCCACTTAGAACCTCTATGGCGCGTCTCATTCCACCTTGGCTGCCACTTTGGTACCTTTCGCAGAAAGGTACATCAGGGGTGTTATGGATGTTTCAAGGTTCTCAATCCATCAGCTGCCTATGTTGAGATATCCAACTACCACTTAGAAGTGACCAATTTCCGGATTCACTGGTTCATGTACAAATGGGCTAGAATAAATCCGAGTGTCCAATCAGCCGCCTCGTGTATTCTCCGAAGCCTATTCACTCCAGGGTCCGCGAGGGGTGAGACCTGTATAGCCTCCCAAGGCCGTAGTGCAAAAGCATATAAGAACAATTTGACCAAACAGGAATATATACATCTTTGTGCCAAAGACGGCCACATCAAGATATTCAACTGTCCCAGACAGCTGTCTTCAATTTCTCATCCTCCGCCTTGGCCTTGGCCTGTTCCTCCCGCTCCCTATTCCTCCTCCGAATCTCCTGTTCCTTGACAGAGCGGTCATAAGCCCGCTGCTCTTCGGTCCGCTTCGGCGCACGGATACCCAGTGCACCGGCAATCAACCGTCCCGCGACAGCAGTCTGCTTCTCCGGGCGACGGGCAGGTCCGGCCTGCGCTGCAGGAGAAGCAGCTCTGCCACCCCACGGATTGGATGTCTGTGGGGAGATTGGCGTGGGTGGGGGATCCAATGGTCCCTCCGCGCTCAGCGTTGGTGAGAGGACGGTAGTTCCACTGTGGGGTGTGTCTTCCGAGTCTGAAGCAGAGAGGTCTGCCTCATCTTCCCAGGAATCAGCAACCGGTTTTTTGGCCTTTGGGGGCTTGGAGGGGGCGGATGTTGAGGCTTTCTTTGTGCTTGGTCGGCGGATGTCCTGCACCGGGCCCTTTTCACCTATGGATAGGTTGCGGAGTGTAGATTGGAGCTCAACGCTTGGGTCCGACATTGTCAGCACACAGAGTATATAAGAGCGAGTTAAAAAAGAAGAATTGAATGATACACAAAAGACAGAATATGTACAAAGGGAAGACCCCGGAGCCCGAAATAGAAATGGCGTCGATGCTTAGTGACGTCCCTGGTCGATCGTGGAGCAAAACGAGGGGCTAGACCATTCTGGGACCGCTTTGGCCTTAAGTCTCAGGCGTCGATGTTTTCCTTTGGGCCGACTATTTTTATCAAATGTTCATCAAGCTACTCAAACTTTAGAATAAATTACCTAGGTAGTGATAGAGAAATTTTAATGTTGCTGCAGGGCTGTGGATTCATGTTCTAAAGTTGGTATAATGTTTTAGGTCTGGATATACAGTAGTTGAGTGGTAGTTGAGTGGCGGTTATACACCATTCATCCCTTCAACCTTGGAACACACTTGAGCACTATATACATCAGACGTTAGGATCCCACCGGGAACCAACCCCCAACCTTGAAATTCTGAACTTTAGAACATGCGTATGTTGTCTCCAGGGCACTAGAGCTCTAAAAGTGGTTGTGTAAAAGTATCAAGTAGAGGAAAAATATATACGAATACATTTCAATGTCAATTCAAGGATGCCCCTGAATTTCGACGTCGAAATCTATTGATTCTTGGCCAATGCAATCACCTTCTTCGCAGCCTCCTCGAACCCATCGAAAGCATGCAATGGAAGACCACTTTCTGCGATCTAAACCCCCAAGTCAGCGATGAAATCGAAATAAAAATCCCGAACCTACCATTTTCTGTCCGAGCTCTTCATTCGTACCGCGCAGCCGTACCACAACGGGGACCTTCATCTTTAAATCCTGGAAAGCCAAGATAATACCCTCGGCAATCATATCGCAGCGCGTCAAACCACCAAATATATTGACAAAAATGGCTTTCACACGTGTGTCGGAGCAGATGACTCGGAATGACGACTTGACAGTTTCGGACGTGGCTTTACCACCAGTGTCAAGGAAGTTGGCGCATCGACCGCCATGGATGGTGAGCGCGTCAACTGTGTTCATGGCGAGACCAGCCCCATTGACTGCGATGGGTTAGAGTACACTCGTATATGAAGGTGAGTTCAAGGGAATGATGAAATACCTAATGTTCCAACACTACCTTCCCCTTCCAATCTGTTTGATGTTAGCATTGATCATCGCAGGAGGGTGGGTTCCCTTACTTGACATATACAATTCCATCCTTTTCAGCTTCAACCTCTTCTGGTACCTCCTCAGCGATGTTTCGAAGATTGTGAATATTTTCCTGGCGACCAGAGCTGCGGAATGCAGCATCGTCAAACCCAAAGCGCGCACCGTGTACCTCAAATGACCCAGCTGCCGTTATCCCAGCTTGTGTCTCCAGCACAAAGGCTTCCTTCTCCTTGTATATCTCCCACAGAGATTGTACAAAAGTGGAAAGTTGCCTGTGGCTCGATGTCGGAAGACCTAGGTGGGAGGCAACAGCAGTAATCACCGAGGTTCCATCGAATGTAGCCTGGGTATACGGAAATGGAAACTTCTGCGATTCATCCGTGTTAGAATCCGCAGTCGGTGCGGCAATTACGCACGGAGAAAGTGCTGTACGATCAACTGTGATCGAAACCGAAACATCAGAACTAGAAGCCGATGTGCTGACAGAAACGCCCTTCTGCTCGAGAATGTCGAATGCCTGGAACTGCTTGATGTATAAGCTGCGCTTCTGCCCAGGAGTCTGCCTCAAGATGGGAGGGACCCGTCTCATGGTGTGGAAGCTTCTTTTGGACGACTGAAGCCCAGATACCGACTGTCATTTGTCAACATCATCGCTCACCAAGTGCACAGGAATACTTACGCTTGTGCTCGGGCGAACAGAACGACTACCCAAAAGACTCTTCATCCCCTCGCCAAATTTCTCTGGGTGGTTTACCATGACTGCACCAGCGCGTTCTAGTGTTTTATACTTCATTTCCGCATTTGGCTCTCCAGGTGCTGCCCAAGCGCCAGCGTGTCCCATGATTCGACCAGGTGGTGCCTCCAGCCCACCAACAAGGGCCATGATAGGCCTGCGACAGGTTAGCATGTCAGAGAATACCAAAATAAAGAATCAGACTCACTTGGGGTCTGCAGTTCTTCTCCGATAATCCGTAATCCACTCTGCGGCATCCATCTCAGCCGTGCCACCAATTTCACCAACTAAGATAATACCCTCGGTCTCGGGGTCATGTTCAAAGATGCTCAAAGCGTCCACAAAGTTGGTACCAGCCAACACATCTCCACCCATACTGATGCACAGACTTTGACCGAGTCCAGCTCGGGAAGTTGATGCCACAGTTTCGTAGCTGAGTGTGCCCGACTTTGCCACTATGCCTATATTACCCGGCGCGAAACAAGGTAAAGGCTGGAAGCCAATCCGGCACTTTCCGATGGCCGATATGATACCAGGACAGTTTGCGCCAACCAACCTGGTTTTGGATTGTGTTTGAAGCATGGAGTGAATCTGTCGATGGTTAGATTTTGAAAAAAGATCCCAGAGAAGAAGTCGTACCCGGAGGATATCGTGAATCGGTACGTGCTCTGCCACGGCAACGATTAGTGGGATTTCCGCTTCAATGGCTTCTTCAATGGCTTGGGCTGTCTGATTGCCAGGGACATAAATGGCGGAGGCATCAGGCTTTGCCTTGTTTTGAGCCTGGATTTGATGTTTAGCCAGAGTTGATTGATGCATCATTCGGAGATCATACCGCTTTCACAGATGGAAACACGGGCAAGCCCAGATGTTCGCCTTCTACGCCAGGTTTGACGCCCCCTACAATCTGAGTACCCCATGCCAGCGATTCTTTGACATTGGCAGTAGCCTGTCTTCCTGTGGAGGTCAGATACCCACCATTACACTTAAGACAAAGGTATGCTCACCCGTGAATCCTTGAAAGAGTACTTTGGTATGTGCGCCAATCTTGAGATTTGGTAAGGTGTCCGCATAGCTAGCGGTGCGGGGACTAGTCGCGAAGCGCCGTGTCAAGGGCGCCCGCAATGCACGAGGCGCTCGCTTTGGTAGAGCATGAAGAGCCATTGTGATGAAGATAGGCTGCAGCAATTGCGTATCCACTAAAATATAACATACGAGAAGGTAAGAAGGCTTTATCCCAAGTCGGCTAATCCGGAGTTGGGGTTTGGGGTTTCCCCACATTTGCCGAGTAAGTCAAACCGACCTCGGAGACTACTCCGTACTCTATATGCCTATCACACCAGGCATTCACAGACCAAAAATATAGATAAATATGGCTGTATTGTCTGGCATGAGCTTTCTATATGACGCATCTACAGAATGGATTGGGCAACAGGGCAACAGGGCGACTAGGGGATAAGGGATTGTCAAGCCCTTTCTTCAAGATTTGCTCTTCCTTGACGTTCGTCTCAATTGTCCACTGATGTACGGAGAAATGAACTACTTAAGCAAGAGCCTAGGTAAGATGGAAAGTTTGTTTCAATGATCAAGGTATGAGTATGAAAAAAAGATGTCACTGAATTAAGACGAAAGAAGTAGATGGCACCTCATGCGAGTAGATGATCAGAATAAATCCACGTATGTAAATTTCATCCAGTCACCCTCAATCAATATTCATTGAGATGAAGCTTCTTTCCCACAAACCTTCTCTTTGGAGGCTTCTCACGCGACTCACGATCCGCACCAAGACCCTTCAGGGCATGCAGTAGCATCCCGGCATCGAAGAAACCATCTAAACAAAGGTTAGTCAAATGGACCAAAGAACGAAGAGTAGAGCATCAAAAACTTACATCCGCCCATGCCATCATCCTCAATATAAGAACTCTCCGCAGCAGAAGTTGGTGTATCAGCACCACCCATACTACTACCACCACGAACAATACGCCCCCGACGATTGGTCTCGGATTGTAGATTCTCCGCCATAGATTCTGTCTCACGGGCACGGCTAGTTCGTGGACTCATCGCCTTGCGATTTGTAGCACGCAACAGCTTCCGGATTTCGAAAAGGTATTGCTCAAGGGTATGCATAAGACGACCAGTCTGTCTATGCTTCGATGAAGCGCAGAAAGAAATCGAGTCATCTTTGATAATGTATCCGATACCGAAGCCGTCGGCAGAGGTGGGACCGAAACCGAAGTGGCGAAGACAGGGGTTTCCGCAGTTCGAGGTTGAAAGAACAGTGTTGTTAATCTTGTCCCAGCCTGCGTCGGCGAAGATTGCAGGTGTTGGAGCCGTGGTACGATAAGCACGTGAGCTACCTGGCGAGGACAGACTGTCTTCCGAGGGGGAGAGTGTCGGTGAGTCGAGGTGGCTGTGGGTTTCTGAGTTATCGCCAGAACTGGGTTCGAAGCCATCGTCGAAGGAGCGCTGCCAGAGACAGTAAAGAGCATAAAGGTGGCGGTCTTGACCTTGACCCTTTGAGCAGTCTTTTGTAGCGGCTGTGTGCTTTTGGGTTGCGGTACGAAGAGCGTCGACCTTTTGCTCGGCAGCGTTCTCGCCCCAGAATGCCGTGACAAAGTCCATGCATTCTTGTGTCACAGTTCTTACAGCTTCGGTGCGGCCGTGAAGGTACATTTTTGTCATCGCTGGCTCATAAGTGTTCTCTAATCGTCCATAAAGACCGTAGTAAGCGGCCTGGAAGGCCATTTGCACGAAAGCATCGGGCGAAAAGCCCATTGAAGTGATGAAGTTCTTCCCGAAGCCTTCAAAGTCAAGAACCTGGAATTCGTGCTGGTAGAGGAGATCGGATAGATGAGATTCAGCGAAGCGGAGAGCGATGTTGAGCTCAGGTGTCATGTCCCATTCAAGTTTGCGAGGTGTTGTGCTCACGTTACCGAAGCTGCTTGGGTCACGCTTGGCTGGGTCGGGACTGCTGGTTGCCCACAGGCTTGGGGCCTGACCATTGATGGTCTTCGCAAAGCGGAGGATAGTGTCAGTGTATACGTCACTGGCGAAACGAAGCACCGTGTGTCCGTCCACGCCGGTGTGCTCAAAGTTGATACCCGCACTGCCGTTTTTGCAGACAATTATTTGCAACTTGTCGTACCAACGATTGGTACAAGTTCCAACCTGCACACCCTTGATGACTTCACTCGTGCCGCAAAGCATGTTTGCGCAGAGCTCTGCCGTCGTAGAGGGTTCTGTGTCATCCAAGCACAGGACGTACAGTGCAGTATCAACAATGTTCAAACACTCGGCGTTGTTGGACCTTGCGTCTTTGGTCATGATATCCCGTAGTCCCGACCAAACTTTCCGGTTCTCTGTACTGAGAACACCCAGAGCCCCCTTGGCCGCGTGGTGAATAGGGGTTTGTGCAGCATCTTCAATGATAACCTGCAAGTTAAGAGAGATATCCTTCTCACTCATGATGAGATCGCTGTTGTCATCAAGGACATCGAACCAATAAAATTGGCCCCGACACATAACCACCATATGCTTGGCTGATGGGTCTTGGCTAATAACACAGCCATTCTCAGTTGGTAGACGTGCGGTTCCAAAGAGTCTTGAGTACTGGTACATGCACAAGGGTGTTCCGCGCACAGTATCCGGGGGGAGCTCTTCACGACGCACAGCCCGAACGAAAGCCAACGCTGAAATAGCCAGTGAGGCAGCTCGAGTCACCTGGTGATTTCTCGCAGGTGTTGGGTCATCTTCCAAGAGGAAGAATGGGTTGAGGTTCAAAACGACCGCTGTTCATGTCAGACCACGATGAACTGAGATCATTTGGGGAGGACTTACGATTATCAAAATTCAAGTAAGAATCATACCCTAACCAGTTAGTCACAGTCATCGTCAAAGATCTGACCACCTACAAAATTGTTCGATGTAGCTGGTTTTAGAACCAGCGTAAGTCTTCAGTCGTTCTTGTAGAAGCGGACCGTCGTTCTTCAAAAAGTCACGAACAGCGGCCTTGGTATCTTCATGTTCACGGGGACCTTGCAAGGCCTGCAGTGCGTCCAGATGACGGCGACAGGAATCCTCCAGGTCAGGAATAGGCAACTTTGGTAGCGAATCCTGATTTGCAAAAGTCAAGCCCTGCTTCAGTGGAGTATGAGGAGCGGCAACATCGGAAGATGGTTGCTTAGTAGGCACATTCGGTCTCATGACCGTCTGGCCTTGAGATTCGACACCAGACTGTTTACTGTCTTCCATAGTGGCACCGAGTGGTTTGGGCGCAGTAAAAAATCGCACTGCCATCGAGGAGTATGACATGTTAGATGTGATATTCCAAACTGATATCAGGCGTAGCGACTAGCGAGAACGGTGGGGATGGACAAAAGGCGCAGGGCAGTGCGGTAGAAATAGTGGCAGTCTTGTAGGCAATAGAATGGCATTGAGACTATGTCATGTGCATTGGGCAGGGGGACAGGACACAGAAGACAGAAGCCAAAAGTTATTTGGACAAGGGTACTGAGATTCAGGAACAGGAAAACGAGACGACGAAGATGGAAAGGAGACGGAGGAATAATAAGGGCAATGAAATCGTAGAGCTCGACAGGCGAGGGATCGGCCTCGGGTCTAAGGGGGAACGGACCATGACCATAATGGAGAAATGGACTTACAGGAACAACAACAGGGCAAATGATTTGCAATCCCGAGACGCAGGTGGGATGTCCGGGTGGTACTAGCTGAGGAAGAACGGAATGATAGCGCCGGAGAAACGGATGCGTTTGACTGCGGGTGTCAGATGTCAGATGACTTCACCTTCAGTAGAATGACCAGCCCAGAAGTAGTGTCCTGAATGTACCGAGTACATGGACTAGGAGTTTGCCAGATAGAGTCGAACTTGAACCCCAACGTCCAAGTCAAGATCTGTGTCGTCTGGAACAAGGGTTGATTGCTGCCCCTCACTCCCCGCAGGATATGGGGAGCCGATAGGGCGGGATGCGGGATGGGGTATGGGTCCGGGTAGGAACTCACTTAATCTCAGGCTGATGAACCCTGTACCTGCACGCTACTGCAGATGTTGTGGCTGTGTTCCCAATGGGGCTGTTGCATGCGATGAGAGTAAAGGTATGATAGCTTTTAAAAAGATAAACTAGACGAGATGGAGGCTTCGGGGCGGAGGAAGCGGTTAACTGCACCCGCAGAAGGATGGCTAGACTCGGGAATGAAAGAAGTATATCGGGCTTGGAGATTTGGCTCCCGATGACGTTTCGGGCGAAGGGAGAGGCTGGCCGGCCATGCGGGGGAAGCTTGGGGTCACGTGATTTACATACATCGTCATACTTGGGCTAGGGATTTCACAGTCTACAAGGATTGAAGGTTACGAAATTGGGTTGAGATATTTCATGATCACGCTGGGGTCGTACGCAGTACATCACGCTAGCAAACAAAAGGGACGCCGGAGATTTTGTTATCCACAAATGACCGCGACATGAACGTCGTGGGCAGACAAGAAGAGTATTCACAATTGAACAAAAGTATCTGCATTGCCATGGGTCCTCCCAGAAAAAAAAAGGGCCAGGCACGCTTGCATACATACAGTATGGGCCCCAATGGCAGAGACCCAGCCTCGGAGAGGTGGGACACCCGTCCTCTCGCTCAGGAACCCAAGGGAGATCTCCGATTGAGGCAGGACATGCAAAACATCAAGAAGGTAGAAAAGTCAGGAAACACACTATCACATAGCACGAAGCTGGGGGGAGACATGTTAGGAAGAACCCGGTCAGGGTTCAGGTCAATGATTGAGAATCGTCCTTGGGCTCCCGCTCGTCCCGATGCGCTTAGGCAGTGTAGGGTGTAGCGCCCTGGGGTTTCAGGACGTTGTCCGCGTACTCGCCGTCGTAGTTACCGGCGGGGGAGTAGTTGCAAACGGTGAAGGGAACGTTGGAACCACCGGCGTTGCCGAGCGAGGGGCAAACGACAGTAGCACAGCCAACTTCCTCAGTGCCCTTCCAGACAATCTGGGAGAAGTGACCCCAGGCATCGAAGTTGGCCATGTCGGGAGAGGCCTGGCCGTAGAGTTCGGCGAAGAACATCATCTCATCGTTGTACATCAGGTTGGTAATCATCTCTCCGATGGAGGACTCTCCAACACCGTATCCGATGTTCTGACCGTAGCCACCACCAGCGATGGAGCTAGAGATGAGGTTAGTGTGGGGTCGAAAAAGCAAGGGTTGTAATGAATGTACTCACGTGTCATGCTGGTAAACACAGCGCTCAGCGAGAGTGCGGGCGCTGGACTCGAGGGAGCCGGACCAGGTCACGGAGCTGGCGGAGTGGTTGCTGCGGTGGACGTTGTGGTTGTAGAGGATGGTCTCCTGGTAGGCGTTGGTGGGGGTAGCAGCGGCAGCGGCGGAGGTGGAAGTAGACAGAGAGGTCGGGGTCTCAGTGGTCGCGGGCTCGGCGGGGATAGACCAGTAGGTAGTGGAGAACCAGGTGGTGGCACCGGCCAGGTTGACCTCCGCATCAGTGGGGGCCGCGGGCTCGGCGGTGGTCTTCTTGGTCAGGTCGACGGTGGGCAAAGCGGAAGTCGTGGTGGAAGTGGAGCTTGAGCTTGAGGAAGAAGACTCGACAGGAGCAGGAGCGGTTTCAGCAACAGCCACAGCGGTGTCTTGCTTGACATTGTTGGCGGTGTTGGGAGTAGTGGTTGGCCAGCTGGTGACGGTGGTGGTGACGGTTTCGGTGGTCCAGTCGGTCACATAGACTTCCTTCTCAATGACCTTGGCGCAGGAGCCGACGGCCAGAGCGGCGAAGAGCAAAGTTGAACGCATGGTTGCGACGAATCAGGGATGAGAATTGCGATGAAAGAAACTTCCCCAGGAAGCTTGTGAGAGTCGGGATTGGGTCAAACAGATCGACTGTTGACAATAGTGATTGGCGCTTGATCAAAGGAGTGACGGGCCCAACACCTTCTTTCTTCAAAGAGTGAAAGAAAGATAAGATGCACGCGAAAGGGCTGGAAAAGAGTGTGAAGCGTGAAGAGAGAGAGGAAGGGGGAGGAAGTGAGGAAGGGTAAATAGTGTAGAAAGGGGAGACCCGTGGGGCCGTGCGGGATCAGGGAGATTAGTTTTAAATGAGACACTTTGGATTAATTTTTGATAGATTGGTTGGATTTTATTTGGCGTGTGCTTTTCATGGCGTGTTTACACTACTTATTGCTTTTTCCTTTTGGCCCTACAGAGTACATGGGGAATCTTCCAACCTCTTCACATTGAAGCCATACATACCAAAGCGTGGCACATTCCACGCAACATTCCCAACACGCGCAATAAGACTCTCCCATTGGCCACAGGACAGCCTTAGAGGCTGGGAAACCCATGATGGGCCCTAAGCAAATATTCTCCGAGGCCAGACTCCCGGCATTGGACTGGTAATTTCCCCATTGCACGTTCTGGATGGAGTGATCAAGAATTAAGGATGGAGGGCTAACGATTAAGGACAACGCCAGATATGATGGATCCACTTGAATCAAGCCGCGCGTTCGATGAGAGTGTAGATTTCATATTAGCGAGAGTACTCCATACTCCTGTCGCAGATTGAAGAACAAAGAGTCATCGATCACGGAAGTATAAGATTCAGGCACAGGGGAGAAAAAGAGAAAAGGCCAAGCCCCTATAATTTCCCGTTGCTCGTGCGACCCAATCATCTTAGCGCAGACCACCACATCCAGAACATCCCGAGCCCCACCGGTCCCCATCCGCTAAGAAACTTGGCTTTCGAGGCCTATCCGGCAGTCTGGACTGATCTGACACAAATTAATTTAGGTCGACCCTGTTTCAGCCGATATTAATTATTTCTTAATCGTAAACATCCAAATCTCCAGCCTTAAACTGTACAGATTCATAGAGTATGTTACGGCCAGTGTACTCATACCCAGTAGACCTCCCTATTCAAGCCTGTCAATCCAAAGTCAATTCCCTGTTTTCTCGGGTAATTAAGTTCCAATAATGCCCCAAGGATCGCCCATCACCAAGTGGAGTGACAATGAAACATTGGCACCAATATTCGGATCATGGTGCAGTAGAAGAAACACGCCAATCATACATCTCGCCCAGTCCGGAAATTGGGGGAAGCTAAGGCCTTTCAGGCCGGCGAGCGCCTAGCGTCCTTCACCCCCAGGCCTTCAAGTGAGACAGGGCGGCTATAGTCAGGGGACCCCAAAACACATCATGTTTCTAGCTTCCTAGCTATGATTTCATCTCTACTCCGTACATCGTAAATTACTATCATCGAAATCACAGGGCTTAGATGCAGAATCTGCAGGTCCCGATCCGATCTGAAAATCATCGGGATTACCATGGAATATCAAACACGACCAACGGTCAGAGAAAAACGCCACAAAAACTCCCCACAAACAAAATTAGGCCAAGACCCGTAAGCCCGCCTCACGCTTGCCTAGAGCTCAATGGTGTTGCATCGCCCAGACTCGCAAACCAAAAGATGGTTCTTTGCGGGCTCGGCGGCCTTGAGCTCTTGGAAGAGCGGGTTGCGCGATTTGAGCCAGAAGGACTGATTGCCCACGAAATCTTTTAGATGGGAGGGCCGGATGTCGACAAGTGAGGTCACCGCGATGGACGAGGAGACGGCCACGCCGGCCTCAGCCCGGACCCTCCGGCGGATCAGGTCGCGTGCAGAGACAGGCTCGGCATTACGGCTCAGGGTGTCTTCGCCTCGCAACTTGGGCGCAAGTTCAGACGTGGCAAAAACACCTGTCACAGTGCGGGTGCCAATTTGCAGACCCACGATCACGTCCAGCATTCCAACGAATAGGAATGGATGCTGGATGATCTCCACGGCGAACGAATTGCAGGTCTGTCGCGCCAAGGTTCGGTAGGTCTCATCTTCGAGTAGGGCAGCCAGACGCAAGAGGTTGCGGGCAATAATTCCATTTATTGAGGGCGTGGCGGACTCGGTGCCAGTTTTCAATCGGAGGAGAGGGGCGGGCATCCCCGGGGTGTTCACAGAGGGCGTGCTGTAATATCCAGTAGCAGTAGAGCCCGTCTGGGCAAGGAAGTATCTGTTCAGGTACTCTGGAACCACGTCAGTTACCGCAATCGAACCAAATGCATCTGGGGTAGGTACTTACTTTGCAACCGCTCAGCAAATTGGAGATAGCTGTCGTCGAAAGTGGCATCATACATGTCAAGCAAGCCGCTGGTCAGGTATGCATAATCGTCGGCGAAACCCGGGGTATCCCCGCGGTCTCCATCGCGGTAGATTCGCCATAATTGCCCTGTGGCCTTGTCAAACAGCTTGTCCTTGATGAAGCTAATGGCTCGGGCTGCGGCTTCGCGACAGTGAACAGCCTTGGAGCTCTCAATCTCTTCAAATAGAACACTGCACTTAGCAAGTGCACCGATTGCCAATCCATTCCAGGCCACGATGATCTTGTCGTCCAAGTCTGGTCTAACGCGTGTACGCTCGCGATAATCGTGCAACTTTTGCTTCCCAGCCTTGATGATCCTGACCACTTCCTCCTCGCTAAGACCAAAATCCTTGGCGAGCTTGCTCGGTGTGGCCTTGACAGCCAACACATTCTGATTCATGAATTCGTCGTGCGGGTCGTACTCGGGTGGTACGTTGCCGTCGGGGAGGACGCCCCAGTGTTTGGCGCAAACAGGGGCATCACGGGGCCCGAGAACTTGGGTGAGCTCCTTCAACGACCACACGTAAAAGGCACCCTCCCGCTTCTCTGTGTCATTTGAGCTGGGATAGCTATCTGCATCCTCCGATGAAAAGAACCCTCCGGTGGGGGACTGTATCGGGGCGGTGGTCAAGTAAGCAGCCAGATCATAGACAGCACCCAGAAGCTCGGGGTCATGAGTCAACCGGAAAGCGTCCACATATGTGTCGAGTAGCTGGGCTTGATCATAGAGCATCTTTTCAAAATGGGGCAGACCCCAGTCCATGGTGACACTGTACCGCGCAAATCCGTGGCCGATGTGGTCTCGGAGTCCACCACGAGCCATGTTCACCAACGTGGTAACAGCCATGGCAGTTGCCTGCTCGCACTCGTCCTTTCCTACCATATCAGAGACTTGGGACGGGTAAGCACCGAGTCGGAGCAGAAAGCTCAGATTAGACGGCGTGGGAAATTTGGGAGAGCGACCGAATCCGCCATTGATCGAGTCGTACCGAGACGCGAAATGCTGATACGCTTCTTCTAAAAGCTCAATGTCCATGTCCTCGTCATTGTCGCGTTCCCCTTGCTGCGAGTGCGTCCCTTCTTCGGCAAATTCTCTCAACTGTTTGGTGATCTCCTTGGCGCTTTCGAGGCAGCGTTGCTGTTGGGTGTCCCAAACATCCCGTAGTTTCTCTAAAATCTCCACAAAACCGATCGACTCGGGGCCAGTGAATGTGTTAGAATTGGGTCCTTGCCAATAGGTTCCTCCAAACACTGGCTCCAAGTCAGGAGTCAGGAATACATTCAACGGCCAACCGCCGGACCCTGTTGTGGCCTGCACATAATTCATGTAGACATCGTCGATGTCCGGTCGTTCTTCGCGGTCGACTTTGATAGGAATAAAAGATTCATTCAGAATTGCTGCCACCTCCGGTGACATGAATGATTCCTTTTCCATGACATGACACCCTGCATAGCGGATTAGAATGAATAATGGCATATGTACGGATCATAACTCACAATGGCACGCAGAGTAGCCAATGCTGAGGAAGATTAAACGGTTGTGCTTTTTGGCAAGCTCCATAGATTCTGCATCCCAGACTTGCCATGCTACTGGGTTGTTCATGTGTCCTCGGACCTATGGTCTGTCAGCTTGGCGCAGGTACCCGGGGGAGACAATTGCGAACATAAGGGGATTTGCTCTGTTGCAAGCGATTGACCATTTTACACCCTACTTCGGGCACAGCATGGCGCGGATGTGCATGATTGACTGAGGCCGCCATTGTTGCCAGCTAAGATTTGTGGAGGCTAGAGCTAGCAGCCGGTAGCAAAAAATGAGGGGCTACTAGCGGGAATCGGCAGTACCAAAAGTGTCCGAGCACAGGTATCTCGCGGGTAACCGAGTATTGGAGAAGTGCAAGCGTGTCTTTGGTACGGAGTACGCGGGCTCACTCCGAGTCGTAGATCCTGGGGAGCAAAAAAGGGCCGGGGTCGGAGAGAGTGTGTGTAAGCGCTCCAGGCGGGGGGTTCGAAGTCGAGAGATCGGCCCGGGGGAGGGATCGACAATGTGCGTCATGGCTGCATCAGGAAGGGTCACGTGCCTCTATACTGTGTCGCAGATGCAACGATGCAACAACTGCACTGCATATGGTTCCTGCGTATGTATCACATTCTATATATGCACTATCAATGCTTTTAAATACACATGGTCATAATACAATTCGGGTATCACATCATCTAATCATCTCCCATTAGCTCTGCTAATTCGGCCTCCTCTTCTGCCGTCAGCATTGATTCAGCCTCTGGCGCTGCTTTTTCCTCTTCTTCGCCAACGGGTTTCTTGGCCAGTTCCACTGCCTGTTGAAGTTCATCAGGTCGAAGGGACCATTGACGAATCGTGGCATCAATTCCCACGCTGACGATTGTTGAACCAACGAGGACAAGGCCGGTAACCTCCTCAAAATGTCCAGAGAAAGTATGATGCAATGCGCCAGTCTATCAGAGGTTAGATCATTTTCATAGATACTTGAAATGGGAAAGTTCTTACTGATCGGTTCCATACTCGAACTTCTTCGTCGCGGCAGGCTGTCACGACCCATCCTCCGGTCTCATAGATAACGACATCTTTCACGAAGTCAGGGTGCTCCAGTGTCAGGTTTGCCTTCCATGCATCTTCTCGGACTAAGCACTTAGCGGTTTTGTCTGCCGAAGCAGTCCAGAGATCGCCATCATTATCAAAAAGAAGCTTGTAGACACTTGTGTCATGCGGGAGCAGGGGGTCGGTGGTACAGCCGCCACCAAAGATATCGAATTGGCGGATCTCGCGGTCGCTTCCCGCACTGAACACATTTGGCTGCGAGCTTTCTGACTCCGGATCAATGACAAGATCTTGGATGCCCCGGGCGTGCCCTTTGAACGTCTCCAGTCGCTGTCCAGATGCGATGTTAAACACGAGAACCTGAGCGTCGGCTCCACCAGAGATTAGAAGGTCTTCTCCGCGTAGCCTTGCACTAGTGACTGCTCGAACAAAATCATTGTGACCTTCGTACTTCTGGCGCTGCTGCCCGGTAGCAGTGTCCCAGCTCCAGATAGCCTTGTCCCAACACCCAGCAAACAAAAGCTTGCCATCGGGACTCACACAAAGACTGGTCACAGGAGCCATAGGACCTGTAAAGACCTTGGCAGTCTCCCCCGTCTGTAGGAGGTATCAGAATCTATCAAAGAGTAGAGGGCATATCTCACTTACGGCAAGGATGACTCTTCTCACGCTGCCATTGCTTTGTGCAACATAGATAGCTCCATTGTTCAGAGGATCCAGATGGACAGCCAAAATCTTGCCTTGGAGGCGGATAGGATTTCCATTGGTGTTTTGGGACTTGGCATCCTTCCGCTCCTGGTCATCCAGAGATGCGCTGACGATAATTAGTCACAGCAGAGGTGGGAGGTACAAACGGGGAGCTCACGAAGTCTGGAAGAAGTGGTCGCGGTTTGAGGACGTTGTCATCTTAATATTCCGAATAATTGATCGAGTTGAACAAAGAAGCACTTTTTCCCCGTGAATCTTCTCCCCCGCCAAATGCTGTCAAAAGTGCTATCCAAGCTCTTAAGGTCTGCCGTAGTCCGTAATCCACCACAAAACCACAGGTTTTTCGTTTCACCTCCTCTCCTCTCCTCTCAACTATCTTTCATCCCCGCATAATTATCCTCCTTATCATCCCCCAGTCTTTCTCCGCGCGACTTCGCGCAATCCCGCCATCATGGAAATGAACCACCTCATTGGGTCAGTTTGAAGATGGTCGAAAGCGGAAGCTCCGAGTTAACACCTGGCAGTCAACGTTTCAACCTGATCTCCAAGAGTGACATTCGGTAAGTTGGTCTGGTTTTCTCTTCGCACTGCCCCTCCGCTCATATCTATTTCAGTTACGTCGGCACTCTCCACGAAATCAACCCCGATGCCTCGACGATAGCTCTCGAGAACGTCATGTCATTTGGCAGTGAAGGGCGCCGTGGCAACCCTTCCACCGAGGTGCCGCCTTCTACCAGTGTTTACGAATACATTGTCTTCCGAGGAAGTGATGTGAAGGACATCAGTATCGCTTCGGAGGAGCAAAAGGAGGCCCCGCAGCCAGAGGCCCCGCGGGTACCAGACGACCCAGCCATCCTCGGAGTAAGTGACTTCGACCCTTTGGAACGACGATACCATCCCATCACCACACAGCCTGGGCTCCGTGGATTGATCAAATGACGAAAAATTCTCGGATGTAAACTCACAGACCTGTTCTGAATGCGCAAACCCGTGTAGAGATTTCCGTTGCCTTCCTTCTGATGATCAATCTTTGCACCATCTTTGGGACTTCTCTTCGTCTCTGCAAAATTGAATATGCTGACCAAAGTGAAACAGGGTATGCAACGACCTGTTCCCGGCCAGGGCCCGGACTCGGCGCCTCAGAATCTCCCTCAAGGCCCTCCTCAGGGAGCTGGTCCAACCCCTCCCGGTTATCCTCAACAGCCTCCATTCCAGCAGGGCTTTTACCCACCTTACGGACAGCGATTTGGACCCCCTCCTCCATTCCCTCCTGGCCCAGGTTTCCCGCCTTACGGTGCTGCCCCGCCGCCTGGGTGGTACCCTCCCCCCGGTCATGGCTTCCCCCCTGGTCCTGGTCAATTCCAGCCCCCAATGCCCATTGACCCCAGCCAGCAGCCTGGGGCTCAGCGTCCAGGGCCTCCCGGTGCCGCCCCCACGCCTCAAACCATCACTTCCGAACTGCCAGTCGGGGATAAGGCTAACAGCCGCAACGCGACCCCCGCCGCTCAAAAGGCACCCACCCCGCCAGTTGAATCCAAGCCCTCTGTTGCTGAAGCCACTGCCCCTGTTGCCGCTACTCAGAAGAGCGGCCGAGTCATGCCTGCTATTCCGATAGCTGCCCCACGCCAGGCCGCCCCAATCCCCCAGATCCCCAGCGCCCCTCGCGGAATCAACCAGCAAGTGACCGACGCCACGGCTGCTGCCACCGCCGCAGTCGCTGCTGCCATGGCCAAGCTTCCCCAGCCCGGTGCTCAGAAGCAGCCTGGGCAGCCCGATGGTTCCGTTGACCATCTCACACAGAAGATGGGGAACATGCGCCCTTACGATAACAATCGTGCCCCGCGCGGCAGTCACCAGCACCCCCGAGGCGGTCGTGGAGGACCCCGACCTCAGCAACAGCACAAGAAGATTGAAGTGCCCCAGTCCGATTACGATTTCCAGACCGCCAACGCCAAGTTCAACAAGCAGGACCTTGTCAAGGAGGCCATCGCTACCGGAGTCCCAGCAGCCGAAGCTGAGGCGCACGCCGCTGAGGAAGCGGAATCCTACGAAACCATGTCCAATGGCGGCTCCTCCAACCCCGGATACAACCGCGGCTCTTCCTTCTTCGACAACATCTCCAGTGAGGCTCGTGATCGCGAAGAGAACACTGCCCGTGTTGGCGGCCGGGAATGGCGCGGAGAGGAAGAGAAGCGCAACATGGAGACCTTCGGGCAAGGTAGTGTTGATGGCTACCGTCCCAACTACCGCGGACGTGGACGTGGACGTGGCCGCGGTTTCGGCCGTGGTCGTGGCGGTTATGGTGGTGGTTACAACCGTGGCCGTGGTGGCATGCGCGGTGGTGCTTCCTCACAGTCCACTGGCGTTCCCTCGCAGGTTTAAACCCGCTCTCTTTTGACTACTCCAGCGACGATTGCTCTTTTCTTTTCTTTTTCTATTTTCTTTCAAATCTGGGATGGCAAGACCTATGACCGAAACGAATGATCGCTGTTGATTTTTTTCTTCTTTAATTGTCTCTTCGGCGCAATGGGAAACTGGGCCCGGGGCATACAGGCAGGGTTGGCCACTCGATACTTTCTGCGACTAGCAATGGTGGTGTTTATTGTTATCTTTGTATTTGTCAACGCATACCCTTTCTGCAGCGTTTTTCTTGAAAATCCTGGAACTGGTGGCTACCTGGCTATTCCCCTTTCGTGTGTTCGTGCAGAAAGCGGCAAATGCATGGTCTCCCGTGCTCACACTGAACAGACTGGGGTTTTCCATTGCAGATATCTATGTGTGTACCATCAGCGAGAGATCCTAACCTCAATCAAAAAGGTGAAAACCCAGGCTATTTGGCCTGTGAACTCATTGCCTCTGTTTATGCACATTTAGTACGGAGTACTCCATCGTAGTATAAAAATATTCCCTTCAAACCCACTCCGTACTGCACCAATACACGAAACACAAGTCCCCAGAATGTTGAAATGATGCTATGCCATCATCCTGTGGGTCTTGCGGATAACTCACCCGCATTTCCATCCTCTTGTCTGGTCATTCTAACTAGGGCAAGGGGCTGCTTGTACATGGGGGCTGCGTACCTTGTATAAAATATTGAGGTCTCCAACCGACACAAACCCTAATTGCAACCTCGGGGAGAACACCCCTCAAAGCCTACATCCTCGGTTGCCCCCATCCTCCTCCACTTCGACCCACTGCTCTACGCGAGCCAGCCCTTTAATTTGCAAAGATGTGCCCTTTTTGCTGGGTCCACCATTCAACCACGGATTTTGGAGACCCGTCGCCACTTCCCCATGTCGTCCCGCACTTCTGAAAGGCTCTCGGAGATATCTGCACATATAAAGAGCTCACCCCAGCCTCAAACTTCGGGTTCAGAGGTACCCACCACAATGTCTACTCAAGTTGCCGACCAATTGCCCTGGAATCCAAATAATGCAAGCTTCCCCGCGCGGAAGAATCTTCCCAAGCTATCCGGAGCCCCGGATGGTGCTGCTTGGGTTTGGGGGAAAGATGATCAGGTGTGCTATTGTCTGTTGTAGACATACAATTGTCCGTGGCTGATATGGAGAATGCAGCTGGGTAGATTGAATCTTCTCACCCCGCAGAGAGTCAAGGCTTCTGCTGCTGAAATCGAAACTGGTGAGATGATACGATTGGAGTCAGTGTATCTTTGTTTAAATTCAGGCGGGCAGTATACTCATGTTCCAAATATTCAGTCTTCCTCTTACGGTGCCAGAAACACCAGCCTTCGACCGCGAGGTGTTCCAGCATAACATCAAACCGCTTCTTGAGGGTATTGCATATGACGACACATACACAATGAACACACAAAGTGGAACACAGTGGGATGGATTCCGACACGTACGTCATAAAATATCCAAGGGACACTTCAGATCCAATATCTGACAGATTCATTAGGTTGGCCACATCGACAGCAAGTGCTTTTACAATGGGGTATGTTCAGCGCATGGCAACTGCATTTCCAAAGACTAACCAACACAGGCCACAAGTGACGACTTTGTAGGCGACGCCCCAAATCACCGCTGCAGCATTCACTATTGGGCAGTTCACGGCATTGCCGGCCGTGGAATCCTCTTGGACTACTATCATTACGCCCAAACCCACAACAAGGCTTATGATCCCTACACCACCCACAGCATTGGTCTCTCAGAGCTACAAGCCTGTGCAACTTCACAGGGTCTTGATCTCCGCCCTGAAACCGAAGGTGGTGACATTCGCGTCGGGGACATTCTCCTCGTGCGCTCCGGCTTCATAGAGAAGTACGGCGAGCTCAGCTCCGAGCAGCGACACGCGGCTGCAACGCGGTCCCACGACGACTTGTGCTTCGCAGGACTAGCACGCGAGCCTGCTATCCGTGATTGGTTGCATGATTGCTACTTCGCGGCTGTTGCGGGTGATTCCCCGACTTTTGAGGCATGGCCTGTTCCTGAGATGGATCATTTGCATCAGAGCTTGCTGGCGCTTTGGGGTTGTCCTATTGGGGAGATGTGGGATTTGGAGAAACTTGCGGCTAAGTGTCGTGCGAGGGGCAAGTGGACTTTCTTTATGACTAGTGCTCCTGCTAACATGCCTGGTGTGTATTGTTTTTGTTTCCCCGTCTCTATAGATTTGGGGGTTTGTCTTGACTAACCTTGCTCTAGGCGGCGTTGGATCGCATGCGAACGCAACTGTTATACTGTGATTGAGGGGGGCTTTTCTTGAGTTTCTGAAGTCGTTGTGACTCCTATATTCGTGAACATGATTCTTATATGAAAACCTTGAATCCAATACCAACAAACACGTCTCTCTCTCTCTTTAAATATCATTCAAAATGTCTTTTTTCGTACACCTCTACTCTATACCCTTGAACGCAATAAAGACTTTAAAAACTTGCTAATGCTTAAGCACATCCATGGATGCCAATTGCCGCCTGAGCGCCCATATCTATTCTACTTGAGTAATGATTTATCGATGATCAGGGTGAACTTCAGAACTTTAGAAGTACAAGACCAAGGCGGTTATCAAAAAGGTAGCATCATGCTCCAGATAACCTGCCGTAACTTTGGAAATGAAGGCATTTGGTGTTTAACTAAGTATTGGCCAAGTGTGACTCTGCGCGAGGGGGGGGGGGATTTAGAAAAAGGCAGAGACAACTTGGAACCCTGAAGAGAAGATTGTTTTTTGTATTAAAAAATATATATAAAAATTAGGAATAGTTGTACACAATATTTGGCTAACGAGATAGAGCTGATCAAGCTGAAAATGCTTGCTCCAAGAATCCCAACAGACCACCCTTGATGTAAATAATGACAGCCTCTGTATCAGGGACCGTGACTGTGATTTGGCCATTCATGACGGCAACAGTCTCCTGAACCGACTCGCCCGTGGGGAAGTGCCCCTTGCCCTCGTCGATCTTGAAAGACCACTGCTCTCCAGCCCAAGTCACATTATGTTCAGGGCCACCTTGGTCAAATCCAACACCGGCAGATCCTTTGTCAGAGTGGAGTCTCTTGACCGTGACAGACTCGACACCATTCCCCACGTTGAGCGTAACAGAGGCATTGCCACGAGTCTGGTTCGAGTTCTCATTCCACACCTTCATATTGACCAGAGCGACACGGGCCAATTCCTCGCTCTGGAGATCGTACATGGCAAATGCACTGAAATCCTGTGGCTGGCCTGGTACATCGACCTCCACAACCTTGCCCAGTGAATCTCCTTTGCCAACAAAGTCGGTAATGAATGCTGCGGAGGGGAAGATACCCTGCACAGAAGGACCGGTCGTGAACTGACCCTCATCATTGGGAATCCAGAAAGAATCGGGTGCGTCTTCGAACATGTTGTTGGATACACGCTTCACTCCACGCGACATTGCCGTCAGGTGCAAATCAACGGCCCACAAGCCAGCGCCTAAGCCCCCGGCCCAGCTTACAGGGGGGACACCTAAGGCGGCTCCGAGCTCTGAGATGACAAAGTCGATCTTGCTGTCTTCTTGGTGGACATATTCGATGCCCTTTTGGATTTGGGGGAAGCGATCGGCGATAGCGTGATGGTTCATGAGTCGATCTACAGGTAACATTTGTCAGTTGGCACACTCCTCAACCATGTTTGTGATGCCCGGTTTTCAACGTACCTTGCAACGCATCGTTGTCATATGGGCCTCCGACATCGGTTTGGTAGTAATGCTGAGCAGCATACTTGCCGTAACCGTTTGCATTAAGGTCATTGGTGAAGACCTTGTGTCTAAAAAAAACATGACTGTCAGACAAATTTCTGTGAGAAATAATTTGCGAATCACTCACAGGCCAAAGTCATCTCCTCGCTGCTTGAGGACTGTCCACCCAATATCACCGAGCTCAAAGATTCGTCTGTCCTCGCCTTCCAATCCCAACATCTCAATGGTCTGATTCTCGACCTTCAACGCCCGCTCAACATACTGCTCAACGCCGTACGAGTAATAGTCTGGCTCGTTCCCAAGAGCAATAGCATTCACACGCTCTTTTCCAAGCGCATTGTATGCTTGACGGACATACTCCATCGAATTGGGAAGCCAGTTATCCTCGGGGTCGACTGGCGTCATAGGAGCCTGGAAGGTCATGGTAGCATTTTGGAAGCGTCGGAATCCGTCGAAGTAGCTCTTTCCCACGCTCCAGGTATCCTGGCTAGAATACGGGCACGATGGTCCTGATACACAACGTCTAGTCTCATCTTGGTCGAGGTCCACTTGGATCAAGTCACCGCTAGTGCCACCGACGCGAATAATGATGGGTTTGCTCATGCGAGCGTATATGGAGTTTATAATGTTTTCCGAGAAGTCATTGTCGAAGCTGGGGAGATAGGCGGTTTCCCAACTGAAGCTGAAAAAGTCTGCAGGGACTGCTGTGGCATTTGAAGGAGCGTCTTGTTGGATGGAAAGAGTGTGTTGTGTGTTATCTGCCTGTGCTAGGGCAGTGAAAAGAGCGGCAGCTGCTAATGAAGACAGCATTTTGAAGGAATGTGATGGCTGAAGCAAGCTTGAAACTTCTTAATATTATGGGATACAGGACTTTATAAACATTTCCAATCTGTCAGTTCACCCCTGTGTCTTTGTCGCCATGGGGCCGGTCCACAAATTCAACAAACACATCTGGGGGGTTTTCCACCTGTGTTTCCACATTAGAGACGAGGAGCCTATGAAATGCTACTCGGAACTTGCATCACTCAGTTCCGCTTTTGTGGAAACGCTCAATGGGCTAGGCTACTCCGTACGGAGTACCTACTGGTGCTGGAGTCGGTAGCAAGGCTGTGGGGAGAATGGTGCAAGGCATCCAGTTTAAGCTCTCCTTTTTTTGCATAAATATTGAGAAGCTGCGCCGCGCGTCCATCATGATCTACGAGCTTGCCGATCACCCGGAGCTATGAAACAGTGAGTTTTGTCTAACGCGAGGGGAGGATTTGAGATGCTGCGTGAAGATGAAAACACGGCTCTTCACTTGTCTGCCGTACTTTGCATGGTGTACTTCGTACGATGATTCGATGAACAAGAAAAAGTGCCGGACTGAGATCATAGCTACGTCGGAGGTGTGGAAAGGGACCAAATTTACCATCGACGTGTGAAAAGAAATGGAAGTGGTAAACACAACTGAAGATCATATAGTTGGCCCAGGCACACCTGGACCGAGCCTGATCGGGGATGCGATTGACAGGGATGGAGCCTGCATTTTGTCATTTCCACTATTGTGGGTGAACCACAACAGTTTCAAGGAGCCGTTTGCAATTTCTTGCATGTGAACTGCCATTCAGTGCCCAGATGCAAGTCTATGTACAAGTTGATTGCTTGCAACACCGTTCATACGGAGTACGGAGTACTCCGTACCTCGTTACGCCGCCGCAACAGAACGGATGATAACAGTCACCGCGATGTATACGTTACGACTCAAAATTACCGATCTGCAAATAGACTCATTTTCGTGGACACTCGACCTTTGGAAAAGCTTACTCGTACACAACTGGAGTAGCCTTCTATCTCCACTGTGGAGTGCGACATTGCGAATCACCACAGCCCTGGAGGATCAGGGGCTGAATGATGTCATGGCACAGGTGTTCGTGGATAGATCAGTTTTATCTTCTCAACATACGAGCTCGTAGAACCCTCCGCTGTAAGCGAATATGACTGTTCATAAACCTCCAGTTGAGCCTAAGAACCACCGGCTTGAAAGTGGTGTTCGATGACCGTAGACCATTCCCCAAATATTTCAACTTGCGCAAAATACAGGCTACAAAGGACTTCATCAAATAAATTCCAATAAAAACAATTAAAGTACGGGTTAATGGAAGTTATCTGGAGCTCCATTTCAAATTCTTTACCCTGCAGTAGCTAACTCCAACTTTAGAAGGTTATCTTTCAAAGTTCCTACTAATCCCCCTTTTGATATATTCATTTTACAACGGGTTGGAATACTTGGTTTTTCGAGGTCTGTATGTCACGTCTCAAGCAAACATTATATTGGGCTCTCAATGTTTTGGCTCGTCCCAGGGTCTATTCCAGAGTTGCAGATGACGCTGGAATTCTACGGGCTCCACAGGTAGGCTGTCACAAATGATAGCTCTAGCATAAGGATTGTCACCTCTATACTGACTGAACCGTAAATGGTAGCTACACTCAGAATTCAGGAATACTACCGTTGTATAGTAGGCCCTGTCGCTCTCGACTTCAGGTCTCGGCTGCTCACGACATACACATGGGGATTTCAAAGGGTAACAACTTTGCCCAGGTGGAACACAGGGCTCATACTCGGAAGTTGCACCATTTCTACCTTCTCAAGTGGGCAGACGAACAAGCATTTTCCCGAACTGACGGCATCAGATGCGATAAATTTCATCTGGTGAACATTAAGGCGTCGATATCATCTTCGAACTCATTGGTGTCTCCACATCCCCGCAGTTTAGCCGTCTAATTCCCCGAAACCCCGATATGCGCATCCCAAACTTCATCGTTCTCGACATCGACTACATAGTCTGATATTCACCATCTGGGCATTGAACCATGAGTACCACACAAACAGAGACGATCGAGCTATCCACAAGAATATCAGAGATCCCCGACAATGGGGTGCAGGACTCAAGACCCCCCGAAGTCAAATGGATGTATCCTAAAATCCTCAGCGCAGGTGTATCATTCTTTGTCGCGGGTGTCAATGACGGGAGTCTCGGGTCACTGATTCCCTATATCATCCGCACCTATGGCATCGGCACGAACATGGTAGCCGTGCTGTGAGTCCTTTCAATTTTTGACTGATCAATCTTACCCACTTCACGAGTAAAACACTGACAAAGGCTAGCTACGGCACAACATTTGGCGGGTGGCTCATTGCCGCTTTGACTAACAGTTCAATCACACGATATCTGGACCTAGGCCCAATTCTGTGCGTAGGAGCCGCAATTCAAGTCCTGGCACATGTCCTCCGCGTCTGGGAACCGCCGTTCGCTCTATACGTGGTGACGTTTTTCCTGGCGAGTCTTGGTCAGGCTTTCAATGATACACACGCCAATACATTTGTCTCTTCGTTGACTGGTGCACATCGATACCTTGGCTTCATTCATGCTATGTATATGGCTGGGTGTCTGGTGGGACCGTTTGTCGCGACAGGAATTGCATCAGCGAATACCGACTCGATGTGGTATGTTTTCTATGCATTCCCGCTTGGTGTGGGTGTTGTGAATCTCGCGCTGCTAGGTGTTGCTTTTCGTGACCGTATGGCTGCGCCGGCTGTCCTGAGGAGTGAGGGAGAGGAGGCTTTGTCACGATCTGCTTGGAAGGAAATTAAAGATACGCTTTTTTCACCTGGCGTTTGGTTGGTTAGCTTGTTTTTCTTCTTCTTCCTCGGTGCCACGATCACCGCTGGAGGTATGTCCTTCATGTCCTTATAAAGACTCCTGGTTACTGACCATGTTAGGCTGGATGGTTGAATATCTTGTCAAGGTTCGGAACGGCGACGTTAAAGAGATGGGATATGTTCCAGCAGGCTTTTTCGGTGGTGCATTTTTGGGACGTTTGATCCTCGCTGAACCAACCCATAGGCTGGGCGAGCGACGTATGATCTTCATATATGCGGTGCTATGCGTGGGGCTGCAACTGGTGTTCTGGCTGTGAGTATTCTTTTAGATCCCGTTGTTAAACAAGAATGTGTTTCTTATGCTGAGCCTACCAGGGTCCCAAACATCATCACGGAAGCAGTAGCGGTCAGCTTGCTGGGCTTCTTTTCTGGTCCTTTCTTCGCAACAGTAAGTCCCAGGCTTCACTATCACGTACTCATCCTCACACGATGATGTAGGGCATATCAGTCGGCACAAAGATATTCTCACCTGAAATTCGCTCCTCGGCAATTGGTAAGTCAAGAGTGTTTGTTTTTCCAAACTTCAGAATATGTATTCACCAGGAGATACAGCATTTGTATTTGTCCTCGGTCAAGTCGGCGGTTCCATCTTTCCTGCTTTGACTGGTATCATCGCTGGGAAAGTAGGTGTCCAGGTCCTGCAACCCATGCTTGTTGGGTTACTCGGGGCAGCCGGTTTGAGCTGGTTGATCTTGCCCAAGGATGCCGCATTGCATAGGGACTAGGGCGAGCGGAGCTTGAGAGGGTGTATACAGACCAGAACGGTTGGAAAGGAGCATACAGAAGGCATAATTACGCATGTGTGCGAAAGCTCTAGAGAGAGATGGTGTACCTTGTTCAATTCTCACTAGAAAACAAACCCCGGACGCCAGGGTGTCAAATCGTTACATCGTTACTTCATTACATCAGGCAGACAAAAGGAAAACCAAATAGACCATTCCAGGGATCGTCTCAGATCATGACAAGAAAAACAGAAAATCCAATCCACAACGCTGCCATCTCCAACTCCAGGTATCATCAAATATTCATAAAAGAAACCAATAAGGATTCAATTAGAAAATATCATCAGGCCACTGATAATCCTCAACGTCGGGCATCACTGTATCTGTGAGAGCCGAAGTCGGCGTAAAGACAGGCGCAGAGACAGGCCTCTTCTTAGGAGACTTGTTAAACGACTTGTTAACATGTACCTTGGCAGCACTCGAGCGCAGCTCTTCAGGCAGGGGCGGCACGGGTGGGATATCTTCGTCGCGGCGATACCTGGACGAGCGACTGGGACTGGTTTTCGACCTCGAAGGGGTGCGAGGACTACGATCGGGATCGAGATGGGTCTGGGAGTGGAGATAAAAGTCGCTATGGGATTTGTCTTGCGGAGCGACTGGCGAAGACCACATGTCCACGGGATCTTCCGAGACGAAAGGAGGCGAAGATTTCAAATGGCGGTTCGAGTCGCTACGTCGCAACAGGGTACCGCGTGGTGTTGTGGGCTTGGGACTTGGTGAGTAGGCTGCGGCGGAAGGTTTTTGGGGTGAAGAAACGTAAGGAGACCTTCTGGTGGGTGCATTTGCACTTTCTTCTGTTGGTTTAGCGTCAGGTTCGGCCGACACAGACTGGTTTGTTGCTTGTCTGCGCTTTGCGGAGCCTGGACTTTCGCCGGCCCCGGATTTCTGCCATTTGGCTCTGCCGGGTGGGCTGAGCAAACCAAAGTCGATCAGGTCTTCGAATTCGGGGTCTTGTTCGAGGTCGTCGACGCAGTCCGTCGAACAGGGCTGAGGAGGCTTTCGACTATCGACAGGTTCAGGAATGGGTGATTTCCGTTTACGGGAAAGACTGTCCTTACCCAGGGGCGACGGCCATGTCTCTTTGGAGCGCCGTCTCGTATGTTTGGCCGCAGCCGGGCTCGGAGCGGGGCTTATTTCCTCAAATGAGAAGCTTTCGCGATCGTCCATGGAAGGAAGAGCAGTAAAATCTCCGCCGTTTGACCCTGATGCCTCTGTTTGAGCTGCTTGTTGGTTCAAAAGACGTTCAGATGGCAACGTTGGTAGAGCTCCAGGGACGAATTTCCGTGGAAAAGACGCAGGATCGATTTCAGTGTTGATAGTATTGATGACATTTGGCTGAGGGATAGGCGCTAAAGCCGGCAGCGGTGGCGGTTCATTGCCTGTGAGCTCGCGAAGCTCGCGCCGGGCACGATCCAATTTATCCTCAAGGTTGCTGACCTTCTTAAGCAGCTTGGTCTGGCGTGAGAGTTCCTTGCGCGAGGGCTGCTTTCGGAGTCCAGTCTCGGATTCTTCGGAGGTTCTGTCACAATAGATGGTAGCTTGAGAAGCAGATGGGGACTCATGACTTTTGTGGAAAAACGACATCGGCAGACGAAGATCCTGAAGGGATGAGCGTTTGGAGGCCCCAGAGTCGGAGCGCGAGTGTACACCACGATCTCCACGATCAATCGAGTACCGTCGCGAGTCCTTGACTGGAGAACTGTGCTCCGTCTTGTCCTGAATGGACTGCCAAGTCCTATCTGCGGAAACACAGTCGACACCATGCGTCTGGATATAATGCCCTTTGTTTGTGCCTTTGTACCCGGCCTTCTTCAATTCAGCGTAGGCCTGCTCTGCTTGATTGATAACATCCTTTTGTGGCGACTTGGTTGGCGATCCTTCACTCTTGTTCCACCCGCCAAACGGATTGAAAGCCGAGGCGATGGCCTTTCCGAATCGAAAGATACCAGACGAGCGGTGCGGGTTGCCATGGGGCTTGCTCTCTCGATCGCGGAAGTAAATGCTGGGCGGCTTTTCGCTAACACTGTCACTCATAGTAGCTTCGACGAATCGGGAAGTGCGGCCTCTGAGGTGGCGGGGGCTAGATGAAGATGCAGCTGCATGTCGTGCGCGCAGCGATGCTAGCGAGCCGCGGGGAGATGCGCGCGGCGAGGCACGCGGAGAGACTCTCGAGGGTGTTCCGATGCTACCGACACTCAGATGCCCAGTTTCGCTGCGCTGATTGCGACGGTCATTGGCCCCGTAATCAGCTGCCTCTTCGGGTAGAGGCCAGTCGTTCGAGCGGCGTCGTTTGGCCAAGTTGCCCGCGGGAGACCGGTAGTCTTCCGGTTCAACCTCTTCAGCGTCGTCGAATTGTCCACTAGAATCCGAACTCCAGTCATAACTGTTGCCATCGTCACTGGAGCGGAGATGTTTTCGCGAGGTGCGCAGCGCGGGGCTCCGGTCGACGTTCATTCTGGAGGCGCAGGTTGTCTATTCGTGACGCAGGGCAGTCAGTTCAATTCATTTATGCAGTCTGGGATCGCAATCCCTACATGGGGTTATGGGCAAGGAGCGTACCTCGATTGTTGCTTTTCAAGGTTGGTATCCCTCCGCACGCCCTTGTTGCGGGAAAGATATCAACGCAAGAATGAGATAGAAGATGGCATAGAAGATGCGCTAGCCAGACTGTAAAATGAACAAAGAGTGCAAAAAAAAAATAGCGATCGCAATTGTGAAACTTGACGGGCTCCTCGAGCAAAATGGGTGTTTGAGAAAATCCGGTCGGGGTTTGTTTACATACTCCGCACTTGCCAAGGGGGGAAGTTTGTTGTGGTACTGGATAGGTTGAAAACGACGGGCAAGGGACAGATTAGTAATCGGCAAGGAACATGCTGGATTTGTTTTCGGCTTCTTCAAAATTTTCATCGAGTAGCAATTTGACAATCTTACTGCGTTCTTCCGAAGTTGTGTCGGACTTGAAACTTTTCCGATTGTCCTTCAAAAGAACAGAGGCTCCTCTGTCGAGTGCTTTGAGGGTCTCGGGACATTTCTGCTGATCGATGCCCAAAATATTTTCCGCCGACAGACCGTATAGTATAGTGAAACTTTGTCGTTCCGTGCTTGTGCTTTTGTATCGTTCTGTGACGACGTATGCGTCGGATCGTATGTCTCCACCGTGTATAACTTCGCAGTTGATCCTTTTGATTTCATCTTTCCGACTTTGCGTATCTTTCTTGCAGGCGTCCCGGACCCATGTCGCTAGGGCCCTTTGTCTTAAATCGAGGTGTCTCTGGCGATGTGATTGGAGTTGTCTGTTTTCGGCCTCAAGGGCTGCCATCCTTGTCCTCATCTCTTGCATGAATTTTAGCATTTCGAATCCTTCTTTGTTTGCGGCTATGCTTTCATTTGGGTAATGCTGCAGGTCGGAAGCGTCCTCCTTCATTTTCTGCACACAGACATTCAGGATATTCTCTTGGTCCGGAACTGACGTGTGGTACGCAATTTGGGTTTGTTCAGTCTGAAGTGAAAATGAGTCAGTCAAAACTTTTGTGTGAAAAGAGAAAAACTTACTATGCTCAAGTTTGGGTTTGGCCGCTGAGTCATCTGCTTCTTTGCCGGTACTGGGTCGATCTCGCCCAAGGGCGGCCTTTTTCTGTCTCCGGTCGACATCGTGAAAATGTCCGAGTAAGAGCAACTCAAAATACCACGAGAGACGGAGCGGAAATGAAATGAGAATGACAAGTATCAGGAGGAAGTCGCTGGTGCACGGGCCGCCCCCAAATCGTAGGGAGGGTGTCAGGAAGGGACCAACCCACTGGATGGGTTGGTCACCGCTCAGGGCAGTGATGCTGATGCAGGTTCATATCGCAGTATATTATAGAGGTAATTGAGAACGGAAGATCAAGCCAATGACATGTTCACGCCCCAAGCGCGACTCATATTAAGAATTTGGCGATTCGTGGCCAAATGACAAGTTGCTTTAAATTACATCAGACTGGATCAAGTTGAAGGGGCAGCTTTCATGACTGTTTTGCCGTTGGCACGCTTGTAGGCCATTTCAATGCCCAGTTCAGCCATTAATGCAGCCCTGCTTTCACCCGAGAAGTCGCGATAGGCTGGTGGGTAAGGCTCAGCATCTGGTCGCATACCGTTCTGCATCGAGCGTTCATCAAGCCCGAAAGTATCTTCATGAGATCGCTTGCCATATGTCGGTCCTGTGTGGTATAACATACGTTTCCCTGCAACATTGTCGTATCCACTGGGGCCCGGTGATAAACACTCCACAGAAGGAACAATCTGGCTGTTGTAATCGCTTGCGATCGACTTGGCAGGTGCCATGGGCTGCGGCATGGGCGAGGGTTGGGCCATGGTTGAGGGCTGAGGGTGTGATACTGGAATTTGAGGCATGGGTCCGTAGAGATTCGCATGGGGCTCAGTCATGCGTGGGGGCTCGGCGATGCGTGGGGGCTCGGCCATGCGCGGTGGCTCGGCCATGCGAGGATCCATACGATAAGAGCTCATCAACTTGGGGTAAGTATTACGATCGGGATAACCACCACGTTCAGGGGCGACCTGTGGCGCCATGGGATACGCAAAGGGCGTTCCCTCGTAATCGGAAGCATTTGATGGGTGTCGTATTTGGGCGTAGCCGTTCTGCGGAGAGTATATTCCCTGGGGAGCGATCGGAGGAGGTGTAGGAGGCATGTGAGGAGCCGGATAATGAGATGGTGTCGAGCCAAATGAAAGGTGGGATTGATAGGAAGGTGTTTGGGAGTGGGACATCGGGGCGGGTGGCATAGGTGGTCTCTGGTATGGTTGGGGGCACTGGAATCCATAGTCGGGCGCAGATGGACGTCGATCAGGTGGAATGAACCCATAGGGCGATTCAACATTGCTGCCATTGCTGTTGGATCGCGGTCGCTCAATCGAGTTTACATATCGGTCGGGTGTCGTATATCGGTCCGAAGTTCTCGCATATGCGGCAGCGCGTTCCTCATCAAACTCGTAATCTTCCTCTCGCTTGTCGCCCCGTCGCCTCATGCGAACATCACGACGGATTCGTACTCGGCAGCCCTGCTCCGCAATGATCCGGCTGAGAGACGTGCTTGTGGCCAACCCTGGGAACTTCTTGGCGCTGTACACAGTGAACGGGACAGACTTGACCTCAAGGCGGAAGTGGAGGTATGCTTGAGGCTTGCCGGGATTGCCGTTGGCACCGTTTACCTGGTTGGGCAGAGGCAAAGTCGAGTCCTTGTCGGCATCCTTGGCCTCCTTGATCTCCTCGTACAGGTGGAAGTTCAGACGATACCGACCCTCATGGCGCACTGATAGATCTGGGAAAATGAAGTAGCCCGCTTGGGATGGACGATCGAGGTAAGCAACCCCGGCGACCGGCACTCCAGTCAAAACAGGGCACGATGGTGGTCCGGCCACCCGCCCGTGGGCGATGGGGCGTGCAGTGTCGAGAGTTGCGTAGAGGAAGAAATTGGCGTTGTAGGCGAAAGTGATATCTGTTTTTTGGGCATCGTTGGCAGGGTCCGATTCGAAGATTCGAAGTTCGACGACAGGTGGAGGATCAACAGGACGGCGGTCGGCCGAAGCTATTGACAATCGTAAGCAAACGGAGCGCTTTCATTCCCACCTCGGTCCAACACGACTCACACTTCGCTCCAGCGCCACACGCCCTTGCGCGCTCTGGTTGTTGCATGACGCTCAATTTATATGTGAGTTGTTTCCCCTCCCGAGTGATCCTGCTGACTGAATGTTCAGTCTCATTGTGAGGCGGCATGATGGGTGGCCTGGACGCCATTTTGGAGGTTGGGATGAGTGGTGTTCTGCCGGGCGCAAGATTCATCCAGGTACCAAGTCCCCTTCGTGTTCCGCCTGGCCGAGGTTTGCGATCAAGTTTGTCACAGTACGTGCACGTCGCCGTGTAATCGAGGATTCGATGTGTGAAGGCGGTGGATTTTTTGGTTTTTGTTCAGGGCTGTCTTCCCTCGAGCAGCGTCTCCTGAGCTCTCCAAGCCGGTTGTATATATGATTGATGAGTCCGATGGAACAGATGGAACCTCAAATACCAAGGGAACGGTTTCAATCCGCGGTGAAGCTTGAATTAAAGAAAGTGAAAAGTGAGGGAGGAAGAGAGAGAGAGGGAATATGGAGAGGGGGCAGAGTGGACCAGTGACACTAGGCGTAACCAGTTGGGTACGCCTCCCGATTATGGGCCCTCGCGGTATGACCAAAGTACCCGATCGGTACCGTCTCTCCTGTATTCTTTCTTTCATCCAAAGCCCGATCTCATGTCGAAGTCATGTACAACATGAGCTGGATTGGTACATTAGTAAAAGTCTATCTATGAAGTATTCTGTATGGAGTACGGAGTACAATCACCGCACTTCTTCAAGGACTGGTCTTAAGGCAACTGTGTATACACGTTACGATCTGCAGAGGCATCCATACTCGTATACTGTGCTAGCGCCCTTTTTTAGGGCTTGGAAAATTACCTGATTTAGTTCATACTTACTGTTACCCTTTTGGGCCAGAAATCAAATGCAATTCCCCCCAGCTGATCACTGTACTTTGTACGAGTAGATCAATTCGAGGAAATGTGGTGCATATCATTGTCACTCACCCAAATTGGTAATGAAACAATCCCCACGTTACCGGGTACCCTGGGTGCCGGCAACCCAGTCCAACGGATCGGATTGCCTTTATTTTCCTGGCAAACTATATAGAACTATATCCCTTCTCAACTACATTATAATAGAATGTGTTGGAAAAGAACATTCAAAAGAGAATTACATGAATCAAGGCTCACTAAGGAATATCTCTGCACACAATTGCCTCACCATTAATACATGTGTATTTCTAATACAAAGGGCCTAGTCCTTTGAAAAATAAAAATAAAACAAAATAACCTGGTCTTCCAAGGTTTAGACCGAACCATTTCCGATTCGAGGGTCCAAACCCAGCTGCGTACATACGAGTACAAGTACTCCGTAAACACGGAGTACGGAAGTTAACTACTACGGGTACAGTGAATCGCTGCACCTGGGACGGAGTACTGACACCTACGAGTAAGAGTTTGATACTATCCGCATTATCGATCTATGGGGTCCTGTTCGCATAGCTTAAAGAAGCTCAACCCGTATCCATGGGACTCTTCCCAATGGTAGTTTTAATGTAAGTGCTGTGAACTGCGTACAGGGTGATTCGCTTCGATGGCCAGTCTGGGCTCCATCGAGCCACCGATCCCCCTCTCACGACACGGCTTGGCTGACTGCAGCCCGCCAATCACGGTGGTATTCAACGCTCCATCGACCGACTAAATGGCTGACGGGATGTCGCCCCAGTTCTTTCTAATGCCACCAAGCACAGCCAAATCAATTTAATTTGATCTACAATTGTACATGCTCCGTATGTACGAGTACTTGTACAGTACGAAACACAAATCCTTTCTCGAACCCTGATCCTGATCCTGAGTCTGATATCATCAATCTGTCTCGGCACTCTCCTACGGGGAAGTCTACGGCTCCAGGGGTACGGAGTACTGTGATCAGTGTCCGTCTTGGGATGCTCATACATACACTTACTCGTAGTTCTGGGATGGGTGTTGAATACCCGTAGAATCCTAAGCTCAGAGTAAGGCTGGCCTATTTACGACTTTTTCATACATAAAGATGTGTCAATCTTGTGATAAATTGTGCTCATACAAGTGACTACTTAAGTAACTACGAGCCACGTACGGAGTACGGAGGAGTACAAAACAATTAATCTCTAAACCCCCTTTCCGTGAAACATAAACATCCACATCCCCAACATTCATAGGACGATCGGGTCTACATTTTATTATGACATTCCCCGATCCACGAGTCGGATTGGTTCTGCAAGAGCATCTGAGTACCTGTGCCTGCGCTGGACAATGTACGATACACGCACTTGTACAACCTTCATTGACAATATTGGGACTTCAGGTGCCCAGTTGCCCAGGTTTCAAGACAAACAAAAAAGGGATTGATCGGGGACATGCAGATAGCTTGGATTCGATTACAGCATTTGAAATTCTGGACCGGGCAGAGCCTAACGGTCTTAATGTGCACTATGAGTACAGAGTACGAGTAAACCCCAGGAGATTAGAATTACATAGTATTCCACCTTCTGTTGCTCCTGAGCAACGGATCCTACTAGTCTCTTATGGTTAGTTACGGAGCTCGGAGTACTGATTACATTCCAAAGTTACGCTATGTAATACAGAGTATATGCCTCCAAGCTTTAATGCTCTCCCCAGCCATGTGTTGCAGGGATTTCAGTCCTTGGCTCTCTTCCCTCCGCAGATCAACACCTAAATCATGATGACTTATAGCAGTTTGGCTAGTTGCAACCTACGAGTAGGAACGTGTCTCATACCGCGAGAGATTACAAATAAGAGTGTAAAAATCACTAGTATTTCGTACCTAGGACATCAAAATCCTGATAGAGAATCTTCAATGCACTAATGATTGATTCTCTGTTTATGGTAGGAGTTGCATGGAGGTGACTTGCACAAGTTGAGTTAGTTCGGTACTTCTAAAGTTTGTACGGTCGCGAACATGTAATGTTGGGTTTCGGATCCCTGTCACTTGTGTACTCGTATTTAGCAGCGCTTTGATCCCGTCCATTTATGACAGACAGGACGCACAGGAGATTTCCCATTCTGTGACCTCGGGGGCTGGCTAGCAAAATTGTAATATTTCTGAACCAAATGTTTGTTTTGCTTGACTTTTCGCGATATGGTGCGGTCGGATTGAATCGGGTTTGAGTGGAATTAAGATCAATGGAAGCAGAGTGACCTCTTCTCGTGTCCTTACAGCCCTGGCCTTTCAGCAGTGTGCTGCCCAGGTGGCATTGAGCCAACCGATGTCCATCTGCATATACTTATAGATAATCATGCAAGTCTGCATGCTCGTACATTCTAAGATCTGACCCCAAGAATCCGACTGCCACTCCCTTGGAATGGCTCACATCCAATGTTGCACATTCCTACATCCATGGATGTAATATCTGGTATTCAAAGAACAGTACACTTCTAGTTTGACGAATCACTACGAGTAGACCGCTAGTTCCACCCTTACGTTACCACGTGGGAGAGGTGTCAGATTTCGGAACCTCAAACCGGCGCCCCTACGAGTACTTGTGTACGAGTACTCCGTACTCGTAGACGCAGTGGAACAACTGCTTCGACCTAACGGAATTCGGAGCATGGTGACATCAGATACATTTGATCACCTGGTATGATTTGTCTACTTTAGTTAATTGGGGTACGATCTATCCAAAAAAAATACTCTCTTACAAGGTCAAGGTACGACGTATTCTCCGGGCTTTGCGGGCTTCATGACTCGAAAGATCGGGGCAATTGTACTCCGTCCCATCTTGTACGAGTATAGCATGTTCCATTTGTATGAGTACATTTCGGGGCGGATGCACCGGCTTGGGATGACTTGTTATTTTTGATCCCGCTATCTTTTATCCACCTGCCCCATGTAGCAGTTGTATGATAAAGGTACCAACCTGTATGGGTTAGCCTTCAGGTTTGATACGAAATGATCTATACGCGTACTTGAGTAATGGTCATGTTCCGTTTTGATCCACCCCACAATGTATGTATGGTATCCAGGATCTTCGGGGTTCAACGATGATCGACCTATCTACTCCGGATGCCGGGGGCTAACAACTCCTCAGACTCATAATGAAACCACCGGCCAACCTTAGTGTGGAGGACTTATCAGGTGAACAGAACAATTTCTGTTTCATGTATACTACTAACGCAAAAAAAAAAAGGTGTTGTTTTGTTCCTCCATATTAAGGTCGCTATGACAGCGGTTTGAACTTGTCTTGTCGGAACACCTAGGTACTCCGTGCTCCGTACTTCTTAGTTGTCGACCGAAAATTGAGGGAATCGCAAGAGAACACGGTGATTTCCAAGGTAGTTAGCTTATCAGGTCTGTGTTTCACCCGCCGTGCTTTTTTGTGACCGTGGAAAGTCAAGCAGGCTAAACCGTCAACTAATCTTGACCTTGGGCTTGAGTATTTTGAAGGCCTTCATTTGCACCTGACGAGATAACATTGCCGATCTCCTCAATCTGCTCGAGTCTTTTCAGCCAGAAGTTCCACCGATCCATGCTCATCGGCCCTGCTGCCCAAAGCCTCCCCTTTCTCTCCAACGCCCAGCACTTCTCGCCTTTCCTTGCGCCCTCTCTGAGTCTTTCTCCGGCAATCTTGATCCACACGACTGCAGCAGGCACTTCAAAGTCCCACATTGCATCCTGGCATTCAAGCGCCTCAGAAATGCACTCATAGCCCCAGCTCAGTGGCAAGAGACCATCTTCAGCATTCGGTCCCGGGGCAGCCATTGCACAAGACGCCTCCACAAAGGCCAGGTGTACATGGGCCTTGCGTCTCTTTGCTCTCGTGGCTGGATCCCGCGTCGCCAAAGCTTCCCGCCAGTGACTCTGCTTCCATTTATCTGACCATGAGTGGCCGAAGCTGACAAGATTTCGCCATACTGGCTCGCCATGCTCTTCATCTGGCAGCTGACTGAGTTCTTTTAGTAGTTCGACTAGAGCGGGCGTGTGGCTTTCAGGTAGCTCAAAAAGCGCGTCTTCGATTATGCCCAGTACGCGGTCCCGTAGGTCGGTCTTCTCCAGCAAACGACGAAGCCTATCCATGTCATTCGGATCAGGGAATGCATACTTGTGCCCAACCTGGGCGCCGCTGATATGAAACAGCTACATGGGGTCAGTACTGAAAACGATCATGGAGGACAGTCCCTAAACTCACGCTGGGGCGCTCCTCAGCAGGGCGCAAAGAGTCATGAGGTCTGGTCATGGCAACAGCTGTCTCGGATGGCTTGGATTCGCCTTTCAGATAAGCTTTCAGAGCTGCAGCTTGATGGGGATGCGCTCCTGTCTCTTCCTCGCCGTCCATGGGTGCCGTGTGTTGGTTGAACCAAGCGTCATCTGCAGTAGAGCCGAAGCCATCGAGGTCTACAGACGTGCAGGTCATTTCTTCAATGTCGGTATTCATTGTGACAGGGTGTGGTGACTCTCGAGGAAGGTGGATTATGAGTCCTGGTGGTTGGGAGACGAAGGATCACTATGCCGCAGGGCTGCACTGCCAGAATATGTGATGTGATCAAAGAAAGTGAGGAGTGGTCAAAATATTGGAGAGTTGAAAGAAAGAAGTTCAGGTAGCAAAACACCTGGGTGCTGACCTTGTCCACACAACTACCCCGGTCTGGGGCTGTTGCAACGGGAGCCATCCATGGATGTGACATCATTGGACAGCCAATCAGAAGACAGTCAGGGGCCCTTTACTTCCTAATCGGAGTTAGCACAGGATCTGGGCAGCCCTAAAGAATACCTCCAACTCTCTCTTCTCTACCGAGTTCTCCTTGAATTTGAAGCTGTCCGCGTAGGGGCTATATCGGAAATTCCTGATGGGACGCTCCTGATATACAACGTATTCGAGGATCTATTTTTCCATATCTCCCAAATCTCCAAGGTTGGGGAAACTATGCGGGGAAGTCTAGAGCGCAAATAGAGGCACAAACAATGCAGACAGCGCAGGCAATAGTTAGTACGGGCCATGATGCATGCCCTGAATTGAGGACGCAGAAAATAGAAAATGCGGGGGTATAAACACCGATGTCCAGGTGCAGGCGAGGACATACCACATCGGGCAGATAAACGAACCTTGGAAGTAGTTCTAGAGTTGGGTGCATCTATTGCTAGTAGGCTCATTGAGAGTTGCTTCTAAACCAGTACACAAATATCACCTGGGCAAGAATGGAACCGGAGCGGTCGTTCTGTTTCCATGCGTGCCTAGTCGAGGTTTTGATATGCACTGACATGTGCTGAAGGTTGTGCTGACCACAGAAAGATTTTCAGCTAGGGTTGATCCAGAAAACTTATACTGGCTTACTGCGAATGCGGGGAGATGCAGGGGCTGAGATGGTGATACCTTGCCGAGAGCATCCATTTGTCGATACGTGCCAGTGGAAAAAGTAGATCTAAGGCGGCTGAGATGCGCAGGTCGCTGTAAGAGTGTAAAATCTGTGGTCTGGCCCATTTATTTAACAAGGATGATGAGGTGGAGTCTCAGAAGAGCCGTGGAAGTATGTGATGGTGAGAAAATAGTAATAATGAGTGCATGAGGCACTTAACCCGGTAGAAGAAAGGATCTACAATGAAACTGGATTAGGCAAAAGGTATTCCGTACTTGCTTGGCTTATGATGGAAGAAGATGACAACCATTGGAGGGAAGAGCAAAGAGTACGAGAAGGAAGTTGACCAAAACGTAAAGATCTAGCTTCTAATAGATATCCTGATATAGAGTATCAGTTAGCTATTAGTTGAAAAGCTAAAGTGGAACTCTGCTTAAATATCAGTAACCTATCTCCCGATCAATCATTGAAGCGAGTCATGCAGTTGGCAGGACGAGAAGTTGAAACTGGTCGGGTCTCTATACAAACAACCATGGAATTAACAGGGGGTTGAGGTAGGTTGCGCCAATACATAGACTTCGAGAAAGCAAATCATAGCATCACTTCAGAACGTAACCTTGCCCGCTGCAAGCTAGACAATATGGAACTCTCACTCAGCATTTGTGACTCCGTCGATACACGTAGTTATAACTTATAAGAGTGCCTTGATTGCCATAGCATTCGAACAACAAGCACTCAGACATCGACTATCAAAAGTTTCAACTACGACCCTCCAACATCTTCTTATTTTCAAGATGTTTGATTGCGACAATGAAGTTCGCTTTGCTAACTGTTTTGATTGTCTTCTTGGGCCTCACCTCCGCCCTTCCAGCCGATGAACTTTCCATTCTTGAGACACGCGCAAAGCCTTCCGATGAGCCAATCGACGTACGCTATTCTTCAGTCAACTCAAGGGGACTCCCTGCTGATTGATTTATCTTTTATAGTGGGATGGCCCCGGTTCCAACACACCCATCAAGTGCGGAAAGAACACTTATGACGGCCACGATATTTACCTCGCAGCACAGCACGCCGTAAACCTAGGCCGGCTGAATCCCCCTGAGACGTGAGGCACAAATAAGTACCCGCACGCATTCGACAACAATGACAGCAAGGGAGTGACGCTGCACTTTCCTGCTCACTGCCCGCGGCATGACAAAAACCAAAAGGAGTACCCGCTCGTCAAGAAAGGGCCTTATGACGGTGGTAAGAACAACAAGAAACAGGGGGACGAGCGTGTCGTGTTTACTACGATGGCAAGGCAAAAGGGGTTGGTGGTCACCCGCCGGTCTACTACTGTGGCTTAATGACCCATCAGGGTGCCGCGAAGGGTGACTTCAAACAATGCCCCGATGGAAGATAGGCGCCAACGCCAAACTCTACACCCAGACTCCGAAGGCTCAGACTGGCCCGTGAAAGCATTCTGAACTTCGGAATATTACAAGACTCAGCCTCATTCGGGTGGCTGGCCCTCCTATAGTCGTAAAATCTGCAACCATCGGATATCTCCTTCGCCTATCTGCAAGATGTCTTTCAACATTAGTATATATATAAAAAAACAATACCTTCGGGGCTAATGCTCCAAATCTCCCACTTGAGCAAGGGTTTCATATATGGTAACTTTAGAAATAGAAAAGACATTCAGTTTTTGAAGTACCCTCACTGTGTATAAAAAGAAATACTTCAGTAAGACCTTACACCTTTCCTGGTCCAAATATCACCTCGGTATTTCTTGTACAACATTCCTCCATCTTGGCATCAAAAAGCCCCATGCTTGTAACACAACCTCGGTACTGCTTGTGCTTCATGTTCGAAGCCCAGTAATTGAGGATTGACCTGGGCAAAACCATATTTTTGTGAATAGAGTAAGAAGATATGCAGTTATCATCTATGACAGCATAAATGCTACTCATCTGTGACAGAAGATCCATCATCCATGCTCCATTCTTTCCATTCTTTTCGTACTTATGGCACATACTTAAGTACTGCAAGTTGATATCTCATTACTTAAGTAAATCAAGAATATTCTTGTCGAGATCTGGCCATTGTGGACGTTGATTTTGAAGGTCAGTTGAGGCGGTGATTTACTGCCGCTCCAACACACACCGCCAGTAGCACTGGCGGGGCTGACTTAGCCCGTTGATTGGTCATCGACTTGTAGATAGTCGCGACGTTCAATTGTTTCCCTTTTGCTTATGGATCTTCTATCGGTTCTGCCTGGGTTTTCAACGCATGGTTTCATCCACATCATTCCGCCGCTGGAGCGTCGCAGAGTCACCGTGGTCGATCTGATCACCCTCGATCCTCTGGAGATCGCAAGACGCGCGCGCGCGCCTCCCGCAGATGTTCGGCGCCTCACCAATCGCATTGTCGAGGCATTGCATGAAGACATAGGGGTTGAGAATTCACTACCGGCTACAGACGCACTTGATAGTACGCCGAATCCTAACAAAAATCTCGAAACACCTGGTCGTGAGCCTGCAACGGAACCACAATGGAACACCATCAGCACACTTGACCCCGCAATGGATGCATTGCTTGGAGGGGGGATACCAACGGGCTATGTGACGGAGCTGACGGGTGAGAGGTAAGCTTCAGGTTTCCGAGTTTCCCATTTGGGTCAACCAGCAGGCTAATATCGCCTTCGATCCATGTTTAGTGGAAGCGGCAAGACCCAATTCCTTTTGAGCCTTTGCCTGGCCGTCCAGCTGCCAAAACCCCAGGGACTACATCAGCGCGCAATATACATATCAACAGAGCATCCGCTCTCAACGCCACGACTAACAGAACTTCTGGAGTCGCACCCTGCTATGTCAACCCTGCCGCCAGAGCAAGCACCGTCGCTGGAGGACATCCTGTCCATCAATGCCATGGATCTGGAAACCCAAGACCACATTCTTTTCTTTCAGCTCCCTGTCGCCATTGAACGTTACGGTATCGGTTTAGTCATTATTGATTCAATCACATCGAACTATCGTGCCGAACATTCAACTAGCAAGGCATCCCTCGCTCACCGAGGGCGCCAACTCGCAAAAACAGGAAACTTATTACGCAAACTCGCCATTGACCAAAACGTTGCCATAGTAGTGGCAAACCAGGTATCTGACCGCTTCGAACCTCTAGGGGGTGCCTCATTGCCGCGCCCGCCGTTCCCATCAAGGTTAAGCTCCACGCAAGGCCAAGGAAACGGATCTTCGTCCCAGTATCCAAAATCAAGGACGGAGCAAATAGCCGCTGAAAATAGCACGCCAAGCTCAACTGCTCCCCGATCCTCCCAAATCTCCTCATCCCCTTATCATGCACCAGAGGACAAACATTTTGACGGTTCATACCTTGTCCCCAGCCCAGAGCGTAGTCCCTTTCTCAGTCTAGCATACCAAGAAAGGTTCTTCGGTGGCTGGGGCGATGGTCCAAATCCAGATAGCGGATCGCTGAAGAAACCAGCTCTGGGATTCTTCTGGTCAACGCAGGTTCCATGTCGGATTGCTCTGAAAAAAGAAGATCTTCGTGCAGCCGCTGTGGTGGATGAGGATGACACCGTGATGCCACATCCAGCAAGAGCAGATGTCAGTCGAGACCCAGACTCTATTGCGATGCCGGCACCTCCTCTTCCCCGGAACGCAGTGCCTGGGCCACAGAGCCAGTCGCTTGCTTTGGACCCCAAGCCTGTGACGCGGAGGGTCATGAAGCTCGTGTACTGTCCCTGGACGGGAGGATTGGAAAGTGCTTTGGGAGAACCTCAATCGTCGCAAATGACTACTGAGTTGGAGTTTGAAATCTGGAAAGGTGGCTTGCGGGCCACGAGTCACGTTGGATGATTAGTGAATCTAGGGTCTTGTATAATGAAAATATTAGCCCTCAGATCTGAGTGGAACAAATTGGAACAAATTTACGTAGGAAATTGATCGGACTTCAGCTGGGGAATGATCTTGGGATAGTCAAGATTCGAACTCTCAGTGGATTTTGACTATCATTCAACACGGACGCCAGCAATGGGTAAATGTGGGAACAAAAACACGCTTCAAATTAAGCAATGAGGTAAAACATACGGAAGGTAGTTCTATCAACAAAAAAACTAAACCCTTCACTCCATTTTTCATAACCGGCTTCGTCCAGTTGGTCTGAACAAGTCTCCGCTCCGCCACACATAGAAGAAACCATCTAAACGTATTTGAGTAACATCTTGAATAACATCGAATGGGATCAACGAAGTCAAACAAAAAGCCCATTCAGAGAGTAGAATAAATAATGAAATTTGGTCTATGTCTCGCAAAAATCGCAGATCACAGTATATCGATAGATCCCACATGGCAATCAAAAGCGTAAGATATGCTCAGATCAGACAAGACGCGAAACAGGGGAACACACGACATTCTATTCGGCCTTGGCAGCCATCTTGGAAGGAGGAACTCCGATACCGTTGGTGTTGCGGTAGAACAGCACATGTGAGCTTTCGCCAGTGGCACCCTCGGTAGGCTCGACCCAGTGGCAAACACGGGCAGAGGTCCAGAGAGCCTTGAAGAAACCAGTCCAGCCGGTGTGAGCTTCAGTGCGGTAGTGCTCACCCATGACGCTCTTGATAGCGTCGGAGGCCTCGTCAGCGTTGTAGAAGGGAATGTTGCTAACGTAGTGGTGCAGGACGTGAGTCTCGATGATGCCGTGGAAGATGTGACGGCCGACGAAGCCAAAGTCACGGTCAATGGTGGCGGCAGCACCGCGAGCAAAGGTCCACACTTCAGGCTCGTAGTGGGGGAGAGTGGGGTCGGTGTGCTGGAGGAAGGTGATGGCGACTAGGGAGGGTCAGCGGTTTGGAACAAATTGTTTACTTATGATAAATGAGGAGCTTACCGAGCCAGTGGTTCACCCACAGGTAGGGAATACCGTACCAGACCAGCAGGTTGAGCCAGCCGAAGTTGGAGCCAATGTAGTAGAGGGCGGAAGCGGTGATTCCAATACCCAGGTCAGAGAGGGCGATGAGCTTGGCGTCCTTGGCCTCGTACAGAGGGCTGGATGGGTTGAAGTGGTTGACACCACCACCCCAGCCGTTGGTCTTGCCCTTACCGCGGCCCTCAGGCTGGCTGGCGTGGTTGTTGTGACCAGTGACGTTGTTCAGGAGATACATGGGCCATCCGAAGAGCTGCTGGGCCACAAGGTGGCCGGCTGTGAGGATGGGAGTCTCCTCAAACAATTCACCAAGCTCGTGCAGGGTCTTACCCACACGGGAGGCGTACTGAGAACGGGTCTTGGGGACGAACACCATGTCACGGGCCAAGTTACCAGTGGCCTTGTGGTGCTTTCCGTGGGAAATCTTCCAGGAGAAGTAGGGAACAAGCAAGAGAGAGTGGCAGATCCAGCCGACGGTGTCGTTCAGAGTCTTGGAGGGGGAAAAGGCCTGGTGACCGCACTCGTGGGCCAGGACCCAGACACCGGTACCGACGAGACCTTGCACAATGGTGTACACGGTCCAGAGAACGACACGGGCAGGCAGGGAGGGCACAGTCTCAGGGGTGACAAAGTTGTAGTAAGTATAGAATATAGAGCCCAGGATAGCCAAGTCCCGGAAGACATAGTAGAGACTGGTGGCAGCGGAGCGGTGGAAGCAGTGGGCGGGGATAGCATCGCGAATCTGCTTGATGGTGTAATCGGGGATCTTGAACTCTCCGCCGTAGGTGTTCAGCATCTTGCTGGCCTCCTGGTCCGAGGCCATGGAAGACAAAGAAGTCGAGGAGGGGGATTGGCGCGGGCTATCAAAAGGCGACGCCGAAACAGAGCTCACAGTGGAGGACTCAGTTGGGAGGTTACGGTTCAGCGCAACGCGCTTGGGAACTGCAGTGGAGGACATATTGGCGTGTGCAAAGGTCGCCGTGTATGAAATTTGAGTCCAACGATATCTAAAATCCAAGTTAGTTCAGTTCAGCTCATCTGGTCCTGCAAACGCACTAGTAAAGTAGTTGGGGTTGCACTGCGAGTCAAAGTGAACAAAGCGATCTAGAGAAAGCAAAGACCCCGTAACCTCAATAAGCCAACGAGAGAGCAGGCAATTGACTTGACTGAAGGGAAGGGAAAAAAAGAACAGCTCCAAAAAAAGGGAAGAAGTTCAAAAAAAGGGACCGGGGTTTACTACGGGACCGGTACCTCGTAATTCGCATACCGTGACGGGCACCACACCGCGGCTTTTAGGGCTTGATTGCGCTATAATACGTGTATTGCATTTTGCAAATTTATCCCGAATCACCCCTTCGCCCCTCGACCGCTGAATTTTCGGCTTCTGCATGAACTGTACTGTTGATCTTTGCCCTATTCGCCCTTTGTTTTTTTTTTTCGTTTGCTTTCTGTCACTGGTGAGATCTTGCATCTCAGCAGCGCCGTGTCGCTCTCGGCGCTACACACAACGTGCATATACATCGTCCAATTTCTCGAGTCTGGTATAGTCCCTCCGCTCTCAGTGTTCTTCTCTGAGTGGCCAATGTTGCTACCCTCTCGGCAAATCCCGTGCGCCCCAACACTTTTGCGCCAATTCCACTGTCTTGGGGTATGTGGTCTGACTGTCAGCTGGTGATAGGGCTAGACCTGGTCCTCACATGTACGGTGAAAGCTGAGCATGTGGATCGTGAGGATCGACTTGCCTCGGGTCATTTCTGTGCAGATGAGAGCTCCACCAGTGTGATCTCTCCAGTGGCAATTGGGTTTGCTTTTTTTGTGCTCACACGAACCCCTCCGAACATATTAGAATGAAAGGGTGGGATTTGGCATTTGACATTTGGTAGGGCACATGCAAATTTTTCCCCTCGCCCGAACCTCGCCGAGAGCACATACCGCAAGCATTCACTCAACATACTATTCGTACTATTACTCGTACAATTTGGTGGTCAAGTACACAGTACAAACATTTAATTTGGAATCTCCAAATATCACCTTGGGAGTTACAGGTACTGTTAGAGATAGTTACTGTATGATATATAGCCATACAGTATTGAAGGGGAGACACAGTCGACACATACTTCGGCGCTTGTTGGGCGGAGTCGGGTTTTGTTGGGGCCCCACTCCCCCCTTTCGAAACTGAAAAAAACACAAACGTTAAATTTTGTAGTTTGTTTCGTTTGCCACCTTAGATAAGATCTGATCTTTCCGATCTCGGGTGATGTTGGGAATGGAATGCTAGCCTGGGTGCAAGGCAAATCACCAGGCTTTTTACGGAGTTCTCCGTAGGCACATGAGTTATTATTACGGGGAACGGATGAATTCAACTGAGTGCGCTGAAGGAAGTAAAAAAAAGGTTGAGTTTAATGGAATGCATTAGGCTATATCGGGTCATACTAGGCCAAATGGGGACCAGAGCGGCCCTACTCACCCGAAGCCACAGGAGATACTCGTATACATACTACTCGTACATATGCGTCGGAGAGCGGCATTGATAGGACTGTGGATATGGTAGGCATGGACGCGGGAAATAGATTGTTAAACAAGAATCATGATTCGTAGAGCTCTATACACTCGGTATACACAATCAACGAACTTCCTCTACCCTCCGCTCCGAATCAATCAACCACGAACCCCCGCCAGCATGACCACCAGAAGCACTCAGCGTAACGGTAGTCTTCCGCAGGTCAGGGAGAACAAGGACCGTTTCGCTGTGGTTCCGGTAGTCAACTTCACAGGGGATGGATCGACGGGGCGGGGCAGTAGGGGGATCGGCCGGGAGCTGAGGTGTCGACGGGAAGAACGTGCGGATCTCCAGGCCTGGGAGCAGTAGATGGCCAGGCTTCTGGGGCAGAAGAAGCACGGTGAAGCGAGTCACTTCACCATCCTTCGCGAGGAAGTTACCCCGTCGCCTACCACCGATTTGCCATAAGTCGGGGTTGGCGTGAATTTCATACGAGCATTCCAGCGGCTGGTCGCCGTTTTCGCGGGTTGCAGGGGAGCACCAGCGGCGGGTGTGGCGGAGACACAGCTCGGCGGTTATTATTTGGCCTACAGCAGCGTGGGTCGATTCCGTGTTGGGTTGGAGCTGCAGCTCGGCGGTGTGCACGACTTGGATTTCGGGCACATCCACCGGGATGATGATGCGGCGGGATGGGATGGTGGGCTGGGTGGGAAGTTGAACGACGGGGTTATTCTGGTATCAAATGTGAGCATCAGTCTGGTCATCTTGATTCGAGAGTCTCATAGTTCTTACCTTGTGCCACTCCTGGAGCCACTTTTGCACATGCTCGGATGGTTCTTCCAAGGCACCCAGCAAATCGTCCCAACGGACGCTTTGATAAGGTAGCATGTTGACTTCCCGGATTAATCCGATAGCCTCCATGTCATTTGTGGACAGCTGCGCACGGAAGCTACTGACAAGGTGCGATGTGAGTAAGGCTGCATATTGGCGGAAGGGGCTGGAGTCGACGGAGGCACCGAACTGCTTCTCGACTGCATCGAGACATTCGTCATCCACACAGGTGAAGTCGACACTCAACCGTAGACTCCGTGGAGTTGCTTCGGTTGTATTGTTTTCAGTCGGACGAATTTTGTAGAGCAAGGACGCAGGTTGTTTCGGGAAGACATCCAGGGCAACAGGGCCAGTGATGTTGGATTGTACGTCGTATGTACCAGAGCCGGGAAGGCTGCAGTGTGTGATACGGAGTGGAATCAGCATAGCAGGGCTGATCGTGAAACGCGAGAAGAGCAGTTCATCCTTGAAGATGTCCTGCACATTTACCGATATCGGGAGCGCCGCCATGACACTTGAGGGCGCCGATGAAGCGAATTTTCCGTTCTCGGTCTCATACCCGATTTCTGCTCGGGCCGATAAAGTCGCAAATGCCTCCTCCACAGTGTAGGGTATCCGCAACCGCACAAACGACCGAGCCGCTAGATGAGTGAACTCAATGACACCAGATTCGTGATTGGCATCAATCTCGAGCTGTCCATCCACGACCTTGGTTTCTGCGAGGCGAAGGCGTAGACCTGCAGTTGCTGGCCTGACGCGGATCGTACCGCTCTTAATTTCGTTGCGCCCACTGTCAATTTCAAGCTCCAGCGTTCGCATGGCTTGTAAGTCAATTAGATGGGGCGATACAATCTTCGCCTGTAGGCCATCCGCCGGAGGGTAGCAGTATATGTAGGGCCGTGCATCTACTTCATCGGTATCCTCTGTTTCCCTGAAACCGACTGGAAGTGACGAGTCCTGCCCGCTGTTGAAGTTGAAGACAAGATTCCCTGCTCTCATTTCAATGCGGTCAACAAAATATTTGCCTTGAAGTGTGGTCTACATGACGATCAGTTTGTGGTAGGAAGAATATCGATCTTATCTACTTACCGAAGAATCAATCAAGATTTTGGTTGATGATGACTTGACCACAAACTTATCTCCCGTCTCGATCCAATGCTCGGAGTTTTGAGAGGTGTTTGCACCAACCAACCGAAGCTTGAGGTTGTCAATCTCAATTTGCTGGCCCAGGAGGAACCGTAGGGACAGTTCCACCTGGAAGCCATCCTGGCTGTCATACAATCGTATAGCAGGATTGACATTAAGATCAGCGAAGAAGTCTGACAAAGAAGCTGGGACTTCTTTCTGAAGAGCACCAGACGCTGTGAACAAATCGCTAACATGTACATCCAGAATCTCTTGCTCTGTAGAAGGAATGGAACTAGCCACGGCTTTCTGTCTGATTGACAATTGCGCCTGCGCATATGTAGCAAACTTCGAAAGCAAACGTATCATCATGCGAACGTAATCTTCGTTGCGCTGGAGCTCCTTCAAGCAACGCGCATGCAATTCTAACATGCTTCCTTCCAGGATGACCCAATTCCGGGTCCCGTAGAATGGTGCCATTCGGTGGAAATAAGAAGCAGCGGTCTCATATTTTTTCTGCCGGTAGCGTAGAATGGCAATTTCAGCAAGAGCCTGCTCGGCAGAGTTGACACGGTTGGCTGCCATATGATGGCGAATCAAACGATCTGTGAGATCTTCATAGAGGAAAAGGAATGCCTCCTTGGACTCTAGTGCGACCTTGAGACCAGCAAGGTCAATACCCACAAGGGAAGATTGCTTGCTCTTGGAATCAAGTTGTGAGTTTTTGGTATCATCGGCTTCCAATGAGATTTCCGCCATGCCACTTGCTCCGGTGCGATGTCGATCATCAAAGAGCAGACCAAGATCGTCCCACTTTTCAGCCCAGCCACGCCTTTGAGCGATTTCTTCCAAGGACCGTCGAGCAAGAAGGAGGAGTTCGGCCCGTCCAGACGCCAATTGTTCAGAGCCGGTCTTCTGCGTCGGAATTGGCACAGGTTTAGGGTGATCCATCGTTGAGCGTCGTTGAAGCAAGCCCACACTATCGGAGATATCCTGGGTCACTGGTCGACTGGCACGAGGATTAGAGATTAACGAGCTGGTGCGCCGAGGAACATCAGCGGGCTTGGTATCTGTCTTGGTAGCAGCAGATGCCTCGCTTGTTTCTGCTACCGCATGGAGAGAGGATTCGGGGAGCATGAGCGTGGGAGTAGAGGTTTGGCTCAAAATTTGGAATGCAGCTGCAAATGCCCACGTTGAGACCATGTTGTTGATGACATCTGTCTTCTCATCGTTGGTCACATCTGTTAGACTGCACTGAAGATCATAACGCAGGGTACGGGCGGCTAGGCCGATGGTTTCCGTTGCCCTTCCGCAGATTTCGGACAACAACATGAGATCCTCGGGTTTCTTGCTCGACTTCGTCCCCTTCGCATCCGTCGAAGGTTCACCTCCAACTATTGATGGGGCTCTTGCAGCTCGAAGCAATAACATCAATTGACGGGAGAAGATGTATGTGCGGAAGTCGAAGATGGAGATGTCACTGGCCAGGATCATCTCACGATATGACATCTTGTTAGAGTTGAATGGAAAATCTTCTGGTTGAAGCTCTGAAAACAAAGCAGCATCGCTGGTATCATCGAAACCACTGCCACCCAAAGCCTTCTTGGCCATCTCAGCCCAAGTCTTGCTGGTGATCAGCAGCGCACCTCCATGTTGGTCGCCACTTCCATCAAGTTGATCTCGAATGGCTGCGTCCAATCCAACAGCTAGCTCGTCGTAGCCAGCTAGCGCATCTTCAAACAGGCCTACGTTCTCGAAGCCTCGTGCAAGACCTTCCTTGAGGATGAAGAACGTACAGAAGTTCCACCCAGGCAGACTGCGCTGGGAGTCTTTTTCCTTGATATCCTCCTCGTATTGCGCTACACGTAGATCAAAAGATGCTAGGATTCCGTTCTTCATCTTATCGATCAAGTCTTCCAATTGCTCCGCCAGCTCAGGGGACTTGGTCCCTGACTTTGGAAGTCGCAACTGGGCCACATGATCCACGGCGGTCTTGGACGACCCGTTGAAGTCAGCCTTCACCTTTTCCAGCACCGTTGTTGACCCGCGACCCCATTTCGAAGTAGGTGCGGGCGACCTCTCTGCGCTGTCACTGTCAGGTACCACGTGCAGAATGAGCCACTCGGAAGCATCGTGTTTTTCCTGGCTAGTTGTGGCAGGCTGCGAGCTTTGCGAGCTCTGCGAACACGAGTTGGCCTTAATCCAATCACGGAGGTTCTTCCGTGCTGTCGATTTGTAGGTCTCGTTATCGTCGCATCGAAGGAGGTAGACTTTCAGGTATGGAGTCTGGCGTAGGCCAGGGATCTGATGCCGACGGTGAGCGACTGCGCCGGAGGCAGCATCGTTTGAAACCTTCCGTTCGTCTGGTTCTTGTGCAGGTGTGAAACCGATGCGGAGCGACTCGATCGACCGCACCGGGCGGGTTGGTGATTTCCAATGGAGATTCTTGAGGGGAAGCTTTGCTTCGATCACAGGTTGGATAAGCGGAAACAGGCCCGAGGGATCCGTGTATTCAACTAGATACGTTGATCAGCGCAAGCTTCGGCCGTCTTGGTTGCTCACCGTACCTGTTACATTGCTCGACGCTGCTTGCGAAGGGTCCATGATTCCCTGGCAGAATTCGGGAAATGACCAATTGGATTCAGAACATCTCACTGCTCAAAACGCCTGGGAGCTTTCCGCCGAGATTTAAGGAGAAAAGTCGCGGGGTGAGGTCGGAGACCGTCGACTGCGGCCACGCACGGCCATGTCGTTCCTTTTCCCTTTTAGTGCACCGCCCTCGCCGCTTTACGTCTCTACAACGCCCTTATCAAATTTTATAGATCTGTTTGGTTTTAAGATAATTGTGAGCCATGTTGCTCTCGCTAAAGGAAAAGAAAACATGGTTTTTCTCTTACAATGCTAGCAGCGTGTACGGAGTATTGAGGTCTTAATGAACCATATCTACTATATCTCACACCTCGACCTCGAACACCTTTGCGAGCAGAGCACCACCAACTAGAACCATTCCTGCCTGTGCAGGCAATCCTATATAGCTGGCCACAGATAATGGGACCAAAGCCTGGTTCTGTGGCCTGACCACTTGGGGGTAAAAGAACCCAGTCGAGGTAACTCCAAGCCAAGCCATCGACCACAGGAAGCCAAGAACCCTTTGCCAGAGTGGTTTGGGGCCTGTGCGACTTGTATTCTTCGATTTTGAAACCAGTTTCCAAAGGAGCTTGATGCCGTCCTCTATCATGAGGCCTAGGGGGGCTGTGACAAAGAACAACATGGCACCAGACTCCTGTGCCGGAATACCCTGCACGATATCGAGTACGACATGCAGGCCACCAGAGAAGAAGAAGACTATAAACACATTGGTGTATCGCCGTATTACCGAGTCAGATGGTAGGCCTAAAAAGTCCTTCGTGATGAACCCGCTCACGGCAGTCAGGGGCCGTTGCAGTAACTGGTGCCAGAATTTCCTAATCTCATTAGCACAATGTCCAGAAAACACTTGGAAGCTATTCTGGCAATCTCGCTGGATGAACTTACGCCCAAAATCCTCGCACAGTGTCAGCATCCAGCGCTCTCCCAAACAATGGGGGACAATTCGCGGGAGAGTCAAGTCCAAGTCCCACAAGAATGATTGAGAAAACACGATGGTGAAAGTCAATGAGAATCCGGCTGACCACAAAGCTAGCCACGATGTTTGATATGATGCGCTCAATCCACTGCTCAGTGGATATATCCCATCGAGGCACTGGCGGCAAAGTCCCGCTTTGCTCCAACGCCTGTTGCAAAGCAAGGGTAGCAAAGATATCTAGGGTCAAGTATTGCCATATGACGATCGATATTTGTCGAGTCAGGAACCGAGCCCGAGGAGGCTCCTTGGGGTCCCATCGTTCATAATATTTTGGTTGTGACGGGGCATTTTTGATCTGCCAGGGGGTATTGATTCCCCGAGGGTCAGTAAAGAGGCGGGTCGCAGTGTAGAGTCGAGCTGCCAAATTTTGGCGACCTTCAGTTGGCAGATCTCCACTGTCTTTCGGGTTGATCAGCAGCAGATGTAGACATTGGAAGACTACAGTCAACAATAGGCGACCGCATTCGCACCAGACGAATCCCGGGCCGAGCGCTGTAGCCACTGGTATAGCATAGTATGTAATAAACACGGAGCATGGAATCGAGAAATATCTCAGGATCGATCCTTTTGGTGTTGCAATCAAGAGGATCGCGGGTATGAGGCATTGGGCAGCATAGAGACCGATTATTTGCAGCATGTGCAGAGAAGCTCCCTTGTCCATTATCAATGGCCAGCAAGCAATCTCGAGATGAACAAAAAAAAAAAACGGCAGGTCGCCTATTGGTGTAGGGGGGCTCGAATATGCCCGGGTGTCAGAAGAATTGCATTTTGTTTTGCCGACATCTGGCGTGGACGCGGCCCGCCCGCCCCTTAAAAGAGGCTATATCCACGGGTTGAAGCATTGGGATAACCATGAAACATGGCCAGGATCTTTTAAATCAAACATTCGGAGGGATATTTCAGCATGGAAATGTATCCTCAACTACCTGGCCCAAAACTGGTGTCCAAATGTTATTCTGAGCCTTTGACAATATTTGAAGTCCTGGTTTTCAAGGCCTTGAAGAATGGCCAGTCAAGCAGGCCATACTAAAAAAGTACTCTGTATGGTATGAAGAAACAATTTACCCACTCATCTTTGTCTGCTCTTACAAAATTGCATACATAATACTACCTTTAAATTAGCTCAAAGTGTCCGTGATATCCAAGATGTAAACAGACCCTCCTCCACTCCTGAGGGGTATCAATTCAGTTCCCCGCTGATAACATGTTCTGCAAATGTAGCAATTAGACTCAAAGACGCAGCCTGACATACCTCATATCGTATTCTCAACATGGACTCAGCCCTTCAAAGCGCCTTGGCTCAATTTATTGAGTGTCACCCTAATTCCCAACGCCTGCATGAGCAAGCTCTGAAAAGTTTGCCTGGGGGCAACACCCGCACCCTGCTGCACACGGCCCCGTTTCCTGTATTCATGCGCAAGGGGGAGGGATGCAATCTGTGGGATGAGGATGGAAATAAGTACAGATACTCCCCCTGACTTGGAATTGCCAAATTAACACTACTTGCAGATACTATGATCTGGTCGGGGAGCTATCCGCTGGACTTTATGGACATTCACACCCAACACTTCAGCGAGTGCTGACTGAAACTATTCAAGATGTTGGTTTCAATCTGGGAGCCACCAATGCTTATGAGCAGCGATATGCGTCCTTACTCTGTGAGCGGTTTGGGCTCGAACGTCTCAGATTCACCAACTCGGGAACAGAAGCAAACCTGCACTGTATCGCTGCTGCTAGGAAGTTCACGGGTAGGCGCAAGGTCATTGTCTTTCGTGGAGCATATCATGGCAGTGTGCTTTCTTTCGGAGACGGTATTGCCGAAAACAATGTCGATCAGGCCGATTGGGTGCTGGTGCAATACAACGATTCAGACGGTGTTCGGAACGCCTTCGCTCAGAATGATGATATCGCTGCTGTCATTCTAGAGGGGATTCAAGGCTCAGCTGGCTACATAGCTGGCTCTGGAGAGTTTTTGCGAACGATTCGTGAACAGAGCGAAAAGGCTGGAGCCCTGATGATCTTGGACGAGGTGATGACATCCCGACTAGCACCCGGTGGGCTGAAGGAGACCCTTGATGTCGAACCGGATCTCATCACCTTGGGTAAATATCTCGGTGGAGGCCTTCCCTTCGGAGCGTTCGGTGGGCGGCGTGATATCATGGACGTATTCAACCCACTTACACCGGGGACTCTCAACCACTCTGGCACGTTTCAGAATAATACTCTGATGCTGCATGCTGGATATGCTGGACTTTCCGATGTTTATACACCTGAAGTTGTGCAATTGTTCAATTCCCAGGGCGATGAGTTACGCCAACGCCTACAGAAAGCCTTTGCAGGTTCCAAGTTCTGTGTCGCCGGCGTAGGGTCTCTCATGTGTATCCATGCTACCGAGACTGGTATTCTACCAGAAAATATTACTTGCAGAGATGACGTTGCGGCTGTTGAGTCGGCTGATCTGAAAGAGCTTTTCTGGTTAGAATTGGTGAATGCTGGCTTCTGGGTACAAATTCGCGGGTCAATCACTCTGAGTATTGTGACACCAGCCCCTATTCTGGATGCATTTGTTGTAGCGGTTGAGGAATTCTGCAAGAAGCATGTATCTTTGATCAGTGTTTAGTTTCAAACGGTTCTCAAATGTCCCATCTGCCAGGTTTGGTCAGTGCTCAAGTGGTTCGTTGCCAGTATTTACTCCGAGGTAAATATAAACTGCATGCAGAATTATCGATACCCAAGCACCTAGGTAGACTTTTACTTCCTACCTGCAGCTCGCTGTTATATTTTTGTGTTTTTTTCATAAATTGCAAGTCAATCCGAACACCATATATTAGGTTTTGCATATAGAGAGTCCAGGGAGCTTTCCCTCGCCGTCGTAGCACTCATTAGAAAAGTGGAGGGAATGCCGGAAGGCATTAGGGGCTCATGCCACTTCGCCCAACCAGAATGGGCGAAATAGACCAATGCCAGTGCCCATTTTATTTGATATTTGTATCCCACCCAAGGCCACCCGAACTCCTGAAAGGCCAAATGCATATTTATCTCCCATCGAACCACCCGCCATTCTCCCATTCCCATGGCTTGTTGTCTTTTCCAATTTGCGAATTCTTCACATCGCCAAGAAGTTCATTAAGCCGAGCGAAATTGACCGGCTTCATGATCCAGCCATCGAACCCATGATCGATATAAACATCCTTGCTTGTCTCCACAATGGATGCCGAGACTGCCAATATGGGGACGTGCCTGGTCTGAGTGAATATTTCGGATTCAGCATCAGTGGACTTGACTTCCAGTTCACGAATAAGTTTGGTTGCAGTTATGCCATCAACAACTGGCATCTGGAATGATGATTGGTGAGCAGCGGGTAAATAAGTGTTGGCTTTTTTGGGTGGACAAACTTGAATGTCCATCAGGATTACATCGTACGCATTTCGTTCCGAGGAGAATGCGTTGACGCAGGCTTCGCCATTATTTGTTAGAAGTACTGTGTGGCCGATCTTTTCAAGGCGTTTTTTGATGAGTTTGCTATTGATTGGGTCATCCTCTGCGACGAGAACCCGTAACCCGCCACCGAGAGAGCTTCGGGAACGCTCCGTGTGTGGCGTGGCAATACTGGACAAATGATCAGAAGTGCCCGGTACCGTCGAAAATATTCGTGGGTTAGATGAACCGCTCTGCACACTGCGTGATCGAGAAGATATCTGGACATTAGATTCACATGACTGAGGAGAGCTTGTTCGTTGTTCGGAGGCAGCTAATCCAGAAGATGAAGGTGTTGATGACCGTATATCTCTGGGGATTCTCTTTCCGGTATCAGGCGAGGTTGATGATAGCTCGGAAACGGACGAATGCCTTCCCATAGACTTTGGTTCTTCCTTGGTAGATCTCGGGCTAAGCGGTTGCGTTGAATGCTGAATATTCCCGTCGTCAATGGCAATTTCTGCGTCTAGTGACGAGTCTTCTGAGTGACCACCAAGCGGGTGATCAGATAGGTGTACTCCACTTGGTTGAGTGCCACTGCAAGTCACCTGGGGGCTTTCTTGTTTGCCTTCGACATCATGCTCGTCAGGGGCATCTAGCAGAGGGTGGCCCTGTGCCTCCGATCCGATTGAAGGCTCTGGGAGGTTGGTACTTTGAAGTAAAAGGTCCCTCGGAGAGGCTAAGACTGCAGGATGTTCCGGGCATCTGAATTGAAGTTTTACTTTGAATTGACTTCCCTTGGATTCTTCGGATTTGAAGATGAGCTGCCCATGCATATTGTGGGCAATCCGAGCAGTCAAAGCTAGACCGAGGCCCAGCACGCTTTTCTTCTGCTTGATTTTCGCCGTTGTCTCACCATCAGCTTCATCACCAGAGCATTGATCATCGGCGGAGACCTGCTCAAGCTCCTGAACCAATCTTTCGCGGTCTGGTTTCGAAATGCCCGAACCCGTGTCGGTGACTGTCATTTCGACAGCCACATGGCCTGGCATTGTGTTTTGCGTACTGGATGGGCATAGTCCGACTTTGATAAAGCCGAATTCTGTGTTTTGAATGGCATTTGAGATTATGTTGAGGAACACCTGCCGCACCCGACGCTGGTCACCCATCACAAAGTCTGGGAGTCCGGGATGCATGGAACAGGAGAAAGAGATTCCTTTGCGCTCGGCTTCCCCAGCTAGCATGTCTGCTGCGTCCTGGAATGTCGCGAGAAGGTCAAATGAATCTTTGTTGACAAGCTGCTGGCTGGTTTCGCGGTCTGCGGCGGTAGTAAGGTCAAGCAAATCATTGATGATGTAAATGAGGGACTTGGAGGCAGAGTGGGATTTGAGCAGACCCTCACGGATTTCGTCATCAAGGGTGCTCTCCAGGGCAAGCTCGAGATAGTTGATGATCGCGTTCAGTGGGGTGCGAACCTCGTGGGCTGAGTTGGCCACGAGCAGACGCGTGAGTCGAGTGTTGCGTTTCATCACCTCCTTCTGACGCCAAACATCGATGAATCTTCCATACACCATTCCAAGCATCTTCGCTGTCGCGATGTCATTTCCAGACCAATGGCGAGACTGGGCAAGCACAGTTTCGCTCCATCTGTTGAAGCTCTGGCGGGGTGTTAAATGATTGCCGGTGGCGACCTGTTTGCGCTTTGCGATCTCATATGGATTTCCCGCCCAAGTGACAGTGGTGAGTTCGCCACGACGGAAGAAAACCAGAAATTGATTTTCAGTTGTAGAAAGTGGCACGCAAAGCAAGCCTGAGATGTTTCTCACTCCGAGGGTAAATTGAAAGTCGGGGAAGTCCTTGGTGATGTCGTGTGAGACGAGCATAGATGTCACTCGACGTGCACGGAGATATTCAAGCAGAGCAAGTATTTCTTGTGAGGATGTGCACTCAATGTGAAAACTGACACCGAAGAGCTTCACTTCCTTCCTGATCAACAAAGCCCCGGAATCAGCTCCTAAGAACCGCATCAAATCATCCGAGGATGCGACGATACAGCTGGCGGGGTTCGTCTCCTTGGGGACGGCATTCACAAAATTTTGGGCCTGTAGACTGACTCCGCGTTCAATTCGTTCGATGTTTCGTGCCACAGTGTCGCCCACAAGGCGGCACAATTTTCGGATCGGAAAAGAGACACGCATGCCAGTACAGCCATATGAATGGCATGAAATCAGACCCCAAAGATTACCGAAAGCATTAATACTGACCGACATCGATGAGCGCACTCCCATGTTGGCCAGATACTGGGTGTGAATTGGCGACATGGCACGCAAGTAAGCGTGCGTCATGTCCAGAGGAGTTTCGAGATCTTCCAAGGTCCGACACACCAGCCGCGAGGTTGGATGGTCCCGGTCATAGAGGAGCCGGACTCTATTCACCTTGTAGAGCTCTCGAGCTTGTGCCGGTATATCAGAGGCCGGGAAATGAAGGCCTTTGTAGAGATCTACTGTTACCTGGGGATCCACTAACTCGGCCATGACTTTTCCATTCCAATTGCTATCGAATTGATAGATTAGTACACGATGGAAGCCTACCAACTCCTTTACTAATCCTGCTGTGATTTCAAGTAATGTTTCTGAATCATTCGCCAGGCTGAGCTGTTCTTGGATCGGAGATATGGTATTGAAAATCTGCATGGCCGCAGCTTCGCCTTTTCTGCGCCGGGCATAACGAAGAGCTCGGAAAGACTGGCTAGAGCTGACTGTACTTGCGGTGAGCTGGGCTGGGGTGGGCTTGATGCCTAGGATGTTCGTTGGGACTTCACTAGAGGGGGTGGTGGCCAAAGGTGTTCCGGTCAGATCGTCTTCGACATTCAAGGGATTCAACCTATCGTCTTCAAGCTCGAACTCGCAAATTATGATGTCTTTATTCTCTTGGCTGACATGGGCCGCACACCAGAATCGACGGGTTTCACCGGATGACAACAAAATCGGCAGTAGGAAGACTTCAGGCCCATCGGCATCCAGATCATGCCCATCATCCCGAACATAATCCAGATGCTCCGTGAATGTGGTTGTTTGACTTTCACTCATGATGTCGAAGAAACTGTGCAGCGCGAAGAGCTGCTGAGCGGAATACCCGAAGATCTGCTCCGAGTTCTCACTGACCACACGCACCACAAGCTGGTCAGGCGACTCCTCCCGCAAAGCAATGATCACCCCAAAGCTTTGGATCGCGCCTGGGATACGAATTGGTTCATCCTCACAGCGCTGCAGTATCTGCCTACCACCGATGGTCACACTGTGACCACTCTCCGTTAGCACATGCCCATGCCGCGAGGTGATAAAGGGATGGGGCTCGGGGCGGGGGATTGAATCGGTTGCGGATGAGTCGGGGCTAGTTTCAATCTTGGTGGGGTTTGCGGTGGTAGCTAGGGTAGTCTCTGAAACTCCGAGGTTGATATAAGTTGGTTGTGCTGGCATTGGCAAAGGTGGCTGGCTGGGTTCTGGCGTTGAATTGGCTCGGGTGGCAGTCGGTTTGACAGAAACCACTGACCGAATGGGAAAGACATGGTCAGAGCCCTCCAAGCTCCACACAGATGACCCTCGATCATCGGTCTTGGTCTCATCTCTGTTGCTCGCATATGCGGGGATTGTTTCCCATTCTTTTGGAGAATGTGGGGCCTTCGAACCAGTTGTATGACTGGTCGGGGAGCTCATCTGCACACGGACGGAGTATGAATGCTGAAGAAGATAGGCGTTGACCTAGGCTTAGCTTCGAGAAGAGATCTCAAAGAGTAGGTGTAATCCGGGTCAACCATCGAAGATTGAGGAAGATTACTCTTATGCTGGACTGATAAAGAGTGAAGCCCACAAAGTTCAAGATGCGCTCTGCGGAGTATAAGGAAAGGATGTGGTGTTGGATCGAAATCACAGTCTATAATTATGCGATGACGTAGGCTTAGATAACAAGGGCTTCCTGCATGTGTACGAGTACATCAGTGCAATGTGGAGGGGGAGTAACGAGTAGTACTCGTATGTACTACTCCGTACTCCATAGTTCAGGGCAGTATCTTCCATCACAGTGTGATTGGTAGGGATACTTCTCTCACCGCCCCGAGGGCTCGATGGGGTTGCTCAGGGGTAAAACATCGAATCTGTTAGAACTTTGGAATCAACGAGGTCCACATGTCTCCATGTCCGAACTACATAACTAAGAGTGACAGTCTCTTTTTTCCCCTTTGTCCACGGTGTTCTAGATATCATCTAGATCGTGATACTGCGGGAGATAGAATAACTCCATATTTAACTACTCGTATACAGTACGGAGTATAATCATGCTACCGACACTGGATCTTGACGATAAAATATCCCTACACGCTCAGCCATGGGCATTAGTGGTAGTGATGATACTCTGTAAATCAGCAGCAATCCATGGATAGGAAGCCCATCAAACATGACTGGCAACCTGACTTGCGCCGGATAAAGATTCCGTCTTCAACTCTGTTCTCACTGGTTGATGCCCAATCCGATTTGCCACCTCAATGTGTGGACATGGCTGCCATTTCATTATTGATTGGATTCTGAAATTTTTGAATTTATTCATTCCATAATTTTTCTTTCCTCTTTTTTCCGCGGTTGACACTGCTCTATGTGGGAGAGCCCGCCAAAGTCCTCCCCGCCAGGAAAGCTCCTGAAGTCCGAGGATATATAGAGTACGGAGTAGTGAAATCCGCTATGTTCTAGGTACCGTCCAAGTACCCTGTTTGATATCTTGGGCAACCCAATAACCATGCTCAAGATCCACAGTCATGCCAGCCGACTCGACTAATCCCAAACCCACTTCTGCAAACACCAAACCCATGGGGCATTGCCAACGCTGTCGGGAGACCGAAGAATACTGGAAGGATGAGATTGACTTACGGGACGCTGCGATTAAAGAATTACGCCAAGAACTAGCGTTGGCGACCTCGAAGTCACCACCGTGTCTACCGAACTGTGCATGCAACCCCAAGGGCCCTGTCATTAAACCTCCAGGCTGATATCTATGGATTTTGGAAAGTTGTGTCTTTTAAGTATTTGTATGAGTAACTATCATCCATGGGTTCTAACCATAAACAACCACTGGGAACTACGCCGTACCCGTGGACTACTTAACTATATATCTTCTCCAGGGCTACTTAAGCAAAGTTGACACTCCATACGTGCCCAGCCTTAGAGGTGGATGGATTCTGCTCGATCACTTGAGCAGTCCCGAGGTTGTTCCACTCCTGAAATCCTGAAGTCGCTGTTGGTTAGAAGACTCGCATAGACAAAATGTGTTGAAGTTGTCATTGAGTACTTAAGTGCATATTAAGTACTTCTGAAGTCTACTTAGTAGTAATCTCGGAACCCTGGAGGTCTACTTGAGTATGGACTAGCTAAGGCTACACAGAACAAGCAAAGAAAAATATGATGTCCATCATGCGGATTCTACATATATAGTCGTACCGCGTCATTATAAACACGAATAAAGAGACAGAGAGATAAAAAGAAAAGACAGATAATCCGTCACAGGGAGTCGCTCATAAAAAACGCCATAGAGATATATGACCAACAAAAGAAAGATGCCCTAAATTCCCATTTCCACAGCCCGCTGTGAAGAGCGGGTTTTCACAAATTCAAACGTGTCCGTGACGCCTTGCCAGATTCCGGGAACGTAGTTACGAACCCATGCGCAAATAACGAGAAGAAGAAGAGGAATCTAAACATAGGTTAATAAGTAGGCACGTATGAAAATAGTACGCAAGACTTACCCAGATAAAGTAAAGATTTCGGTCACTGCGCAGACCCTTCATTTGTTGGGCCTGTTGCTCGCGGAGGTGCTTCTGCTGCTCGTGTGAGATGACCTTGCGGCCAATTGTAATGTCTTTGAGTTCTTCCTTGACTTCAGAGACGACAGCGGCCCGTGCAGGCTGAGACATTGAAGCGGCCGTGCTGCTTTCTGCTTCAAAGTGCTGATCGATAGCTGCCTCTGTCGCGGCGCGGAGGAGAGTCGACTTCTTTATGTCTGAATCCTCAGCACTAGGATCAGGGTGTGGGAAGAGCTCATCGTATGAGGGGGGTTGGTTGGGGTTGGGCGAAGTGTTGCCCTTGAGGTAATCCCACCAGCCGTCTCGAGCGGCTGGCCGGTTAGGTACGAGGTTGGTAATGCGGCGCATCATGCCTTGTCCCTGGTAATCAGGGAGAGCAGGAATGGCCGGCATCGGGGGCATTGGAGGGAGAGCAGGAAGGTTGGGGAAAGCGTTGGCGACGCTCTGTTGGAATTGGGTGATCTGAACGGCCAGCTGATCACGCCAGGCGACCAGAGGTGCCGGTGGATCACCGGGGGCGGCGTTCTGCTCACTAGTGTCGGCGATCGGGGGGCTGATGTCTTGATGCATACTTGAGCGACGAGAAGAGCTGAACTGAAGAGGCTCAGAGTCCGAATCGTCCGTCGTTTCTTCATCATCATCTAACTCTTCCGAGTCGCCAGCAGCATGACCAAGAGAGCCTGACGCTGAGGACACTTCCCACATCGAGCTGAGCGAGGCCGAGCTACTCTGCCGACGTCGTGAGGTGAGAGATCCAACGCTACGAGACCGATAGGTGCGAGCCGGCAGCAAAGCAGCTTGGTGCGCTGGAAGCGTTGTGGCCAAGTCCGCAGGGGTGAAGCCTCGCACGCTACGAGAGTTGGCGTTGGCACCGGTGAGGCGGAGTCGATGGACAATGTGAGCATGGCCGTTGAGTGCGGCCAAGTGCATAGGCGAATTGCCTACGTTATCTTGCACGTCGGGGTTTGCACCCCGAGCCAACAGACCCGCAACAAATCTCGTAAGTCCCAGCGAAGCCGCGAAGTGAAGTAGGCTCTGGCCTGTTGTACTTCGGGAGTTATAGCGAGGAGGGCGGGGGCTGTCATCAAGGTCAAGGAATTCCAGATACGTGAGCATCTTCGAGTCCATGTCACTGAGCTTGCCTTGAGTGTCAAGACCCGGCACTTGGCGTTGTTGGCCCCCAGAAGAGTTGTTGCCTTGCATGTCTGCCTGCATGTTGAAGAAGGCGTTAGGGTCGCTGCCCATGATCTGCCGCGCGGTTTGGAACGCATCGGCCTGGCTGCCGAGCTTTTGACCAAGAATGTTAAGCGCCAAGCGGTACATTTGAAGTTCCCGATCATCGACGTAACGGAAGAACAGTTGCTGCTTAGGCATAAGGGTTTGATGTTGTTGGACCTGACCGAAAATGGGGTGCTCGTGCTTGAATACAACGGAGACCAGACCTGGCTGAAGAGCAGGAGGAGTCAGGCAATTGAGGCATTTGTCACCCCAGAATGTAGTCGTGGTCGCCAGTGTGTCACCAAAGACAACCTCCATACCAGGATAGAATCCACTGCCCAACAGGGTTACCTCGGTGCCCCCAGTGATTGAACCTTCGGAAGGAACCAACTTGTGGATCACCGATGGCAACCGCGTAGGAGCGGCATTAAGAGGCCAAACCTGGCTTGAAGAGTTTGCACCAAGTGAAAGAGGGATGTTGGGGTCTTGGAAGCCATTGCGGTTCGACCCACCTGGCGTGCCAGGACGACTGGGGTGAGCAGAGTTGGGCGTTGAGCCCATCGCTCCACCGGCCAGATTGTCCAAGCTTTGGCGCTGGGAAGGAGTGGGGTTGAAGAAGGGATTGTTGTCATTGCTTTGGTTAGGAGTTGGCGGGCCATTTCCATACTGGCCTGACATGGAGGAGGGTGTGACAAATGGTTGTTCGGATGGAGAAGCAAAACCCCGAGCAGCAGCAAGTTGGGCGGCATTCATGGCCGCGGCAGATGACTGCGGGGTCTCGAGACGGGTCATTGTAAGTTCCGAAGGTAGTCTCCCGGAGCTGCTGTGTTTGCGTCGTTTGCTTTGCGGCCCTTGGAAATCAGATGGTGATGCCCCACGAGACAAACTTCGAGATTGGTGGGGGACAGGCCCACCGTTCGTTGGCCCTTGGGCTGTGAACGAACTGGGCGTGAGCTGATATTGCGAGTTGAACCTTTGTTGGAGACCCTGCAGATCGGTTGGCGATTGGGGCGCGAATGGACTCTTCCCATTCTCGTTTTGACCCGAGGCAAACACACTGACCCCTGGTACTTGAGTGCCATCTGCGAGCGAAGGCGACGGTCCAGTTGGCGCTGGCGCAGATGGGGCTTGGGTTTTGTGGTCATCGGTGATCATGATCGAGTTGGTGATTGCCTGCGCAACAACATTGTCCAGATGGTCTTTCACGGTGAAGATGACCTGGAAACCGAGTTTCTCATTCTGGTGGCGACAATAACAAGCAATTCGCATTGGAAGCTCCACCTGCATGGATCCTGGTGGCACCGGGGCGTCACCATAGCTACCACTGGCGCTCTTTTGGGGCTCTGTCCATTCCTTGATTTCACTAGTATTGAAAACAATGACCCTCTTTTCTTCATCTTTTTGGAACAGTTCATCTTCCTCGGGCTTCCTTTGCTTCTTTCGAGAGGCGCGCTTTCGCTCTCGCTGTATGCACCCGCTGCAGATCTTCACGTCGCCTCCATCTAATGGGCGTTCATCGTCTGAAGTTGGTTGATAATGATCCCCTCTTGTTCGTGCGAATGCGCGCTTCATCTTTTCACGCTCTTGCATGGCGCTTGTGCAAACCAGGCTTGTGTATAATTGAAGTGTATCGGGGGTTTGCTCTGTGGCAGCGGGTGCAAGGAACTTGAGTTTGGATATAGTGTGCGAAGGGAGTCGGAGTTTCCTAACCCCAGAAGGCAAAGGGGAAAGAGTCAATCGGATGGGGATTTGAGTCTCGACACGCGATTTCAAAGAGGTTGGGTGCACCGTCAAAACAGGCTGGAGTGGATTTGTTGAGTTCAGCTGGGGTTGTGTCGGAGATGAAGCGAAGCTGGCTGGTACCGGATATGACGGAGGAGTGCCGAAATTCATTCCTGGGGAGAGTGAGGCGTTCAAAGGCGACTGATGATTCATGTTGATCCCGCCGAAGCTTTCTTCCAAAATCGAGGACGGAGACTGCCCGCCCCATTGCGGCGGCGCTCCTTCTAGCTCATGGTGCATCGTGTTGGAATATGGCGATTGGCCGTTCAACCCGAACGCGAAGAATGGAGACCCAGGTGCTTGAATCTGAAGCATGTGTTAGTTTGATCCCTATACTAAAGCAGTTGAAAACAACTTACCGACTGCGCAACGTCTGGTCCCAGCACAGCGTGATTGCTGGAAGGACTCCAGAGTTGAGATTTTGATCGCTTATGCGGTCTCGGAAGGGATCCATTGTCTGTTTTCAATGGACTGGGGCTGCTCGCCGCACTTTCAAAATCGAAGGCTGCATCCATTGCCTTGTTGCTTACCTCCAGATCGGGGTCTGCTGGAAAGCCGGCGTCCATGGGGAATGACGGATCGATATTGAACGGTGATTCCTCCTTCACTGACGACAACTCCGGGCGCATCCAGTCCTCGGTCGTGTAGTTCGCAGATGACATGGGATTTTCGCTATGCGCGGCGGAATTTGTGGAAGCGATCGAAGTGTGTCGGATGTGATTTCGCGGAGATTCAGATGAGGAACTGCGACTTGAATCATCTGCCGACTCCGCAGGCGAGTCTGCCGCTAGACCAGGCATCTGTCTCAGGGGGGGTTGATCTTGGTGCGGCTTCGAGTGTCCCGAGGCGCCATTCGGATGCGAGTTCGTTGCCCGGGCGAATAAGTCGTCGAATTCAGCACCGCCATTTTCTGCGGACATTTCGAGTTTTGTGGGGTCTAGAAAGTCCATGTTGGCACCGCGGAAGGTGGACTCCATGTCGTCGTCCATGATGATGGGGTCGAGAGGGGGAAAGGCGGATGAAGAGGATTCCTGTGCCAGTCCCATGCTTCGTTTTCCGGTGGTTCAGTAGTCGTATAGTCCAATGTCACAGTTGATTGTAACCGCCACCACAATGTACGTGCTGACTCAATTGGAGTATCGAGCGAGTGGGAGTTTTGTCAATTCTTGACAGTCAAGTCTTATCGCGGGGAATACCAGGACCAGTCACCAATACCATGGCCCTGAGAAAAGCGAGGGGTTGGTGAAATAGGATGGGAGGATACGGAGTACACTGTTTGGTTATCTGTGGAGGAAAGGAGAGCGGGAAAACTGTGAGCGCCCAGACCGGCAGAACCTCAACGAAAATCAACGTGTAGGTGATTGCTCATAGGTCAGCCACCACTGCTGCCAGTATTTCATACTTTTGAGTTGATTCTCTTGCTACATGGAGAACTATCAAGTATCTGTGAATAATTTCAAATATACCGAATTTCCTACCACACACTTCCTGTGTACAGGAGTAAGGAGAGCCTTGACACCTCAGGCATCGGTAAGCGGTGACCAATCCAGTGGAATCTGGCTGACTATCGCCCCCACCTTTTCGTTGGTGATTTGCTGTTCAACCTCCCGCAGTCCTGTCTCTGTCTGACAGATCAGCCCTGGAAGTCTTCTTGCTTCTTTCCTGAAGTCCCCCATGACAGACGTTTGTGTCACTCGCTTGCTTCCAGGGTCCTTTTGCGACTTGGAATGACGACCATGTACAACTACCAGTGGACATAAGTACAACATGGATCACGTATGGAGGCCTGTGCCAACTGCACACAGACACATCGGGATCTTGTGCCTCACCAAGTACATATTGTACCACTCCGGTTATCGGATGTCCAATGCCTGCACGGGATGGGCGTAACTCACTTTCCAGGGACTCTGTTGGCTCTGTGTTGTTGCTTATCACGATACGGAGTACTCTGTAGAATCCCCCCTAATGGTTGATACAGCTTCGTGTCCGTATCCGTCCTGGGGAGGTTCAAAGTCCTGTTTGCTGTGGGGAGTCTCGCCAGTCATTACCCATCGCCGAACACCCTGAAGCAGGGTCGTAGAGTACTCCCAGAGATCCGGTCACCGGGCTTGGTGTAAATTCGACCGTGATCTCTGCCGAGCAGAACGAGGGGGCCTGCGTACTCGTATGTGCGATGCTAGTTCATTATGGGCAGCCACCTGGCTGAGACGGTCGGGTTTAGTGCATCTAGACCACCGATACTTCCCGGGAATCAATTGCAGGTGCACTGCCCTCGGCTTGTATTGAGCTACTTCTAGGGCAGCACTGAGCGCATGCGAATCCCAGTGATGGTGTGAAGTCTAGCGAAGACAACTAAACGTCGTCATGAGCGTCGAGGTGGAATAACGTGACCCCTGGGGGGCTTTGTCCAATTTCGCATTGTGTTTGGCGCCTTAATTTGAACAAGCGCCGCTGAGGTTGAATCTAGACCCCATGAAATCCCAGGTGCAATCCTCCGAGCCTTATGGAGCTGTCATCCTCCATGAGGTCCACGGTCCTTGGATTTCGGACTCCGTGCGGGCCGGCGTGCCGGAAGCGTTTCAGACTGCTCGTCTAGGCGCCGGTACGGAGTACAGAATGCACACCTCCTGACAGCAAAGGAGATTAAATTCCTGCATCTAATGAACCTCGTCCGAGTTGACGAGTATCGCCTCTATGCATAAATGCAGATGTAATCAGGGGCTTGGACCAGTTCAATTGGCAAAGCCGTTGGAGGGATTCAGCCCGGGTAGCCCTACTACCGTTTCAACTTGATCAGCGCCTGTCAAATCACTTTAAACGCACCTTAAAAGGGTGGAGCCTCGTAAAGTGACAGACCTTGCCTATCCCCTGAGGGAAATCGACGAGATTTCACCGAAGCGATGAGTTCTTGGCAGAGCGGAGGAATTGATGGATTGAACGGAAAAGTGGGTTCGGTTGTCGGCGATGAAACCTAGACTGTCGCAGACAACCGCCCACGATCGACAGGTACCAACAAAAGGTACTAGAGGGTACTATAGAGGTCTACACTATTGCCAAACGACCCCGTTTTAAATGGCCCTGATGGGGAAGAGCTTAATCAATTTTGCCTACTAGTGCCGTTTGGGAACACCCGGCGCTTTGAAGACATCGGGGCTTCATCTATCTCCTACCCTCTAGATGGGTGTGTCTCGGTCACTGCGAATTCTCCGCCTATCAGTGCACAGGTTGGCCAGCGGAATCCTGTCTCCTTTCGACCTTCGTACCTTGTCCGTGATGAATAACTCTTGGCAGCGTGCGGCTCCTGACATGCGGAGCCTGAGGAGGATGAGATATAAAGGGCCCTGGAACGACCAGGACCTTCTTCCTCATCATCAGTCCTTTGCTATTCCATTCTTTTCCAAGGTCCAGTACCTGCCATTCTCTATTGGGTAGATTTCATTGATTGAAATCCCCTTTTCATTCTTTTTTCCTCGCTCATCTTCGTCAATCCTTCGATTTAAATAACGCTGTGCGTTTTTATACAAACTATCAACATGTCTATCACCAAGATTGCTGGTCTCCTCCTCAGCTCGGCCTCCATGGTCGCTGCTCACGGTTACGTCTCTGGTGCCGTTGTTGATGGCACCTACCACAAGGGTTTCATCGTTGATACCTACAACTACATGTCCGATGTTCCCGAGAACATTGGATGGGCCGAGGACGCCACCGACCTGGGCTTCGTCGATGGCTCCGGATACTCTGGAGAGGACATCATTTGCCACAAGGATGCCACCCCTGGTGCCATCTCCGCCGATGTCAAGGCCGGTGGTAAGGTCGAGCTGCAGTGGACTGAATGGCCCGAGAGCCACCACGGTCCCGTCATCACCTACCTCGCCAACTGCAACGGTGACTGCTCCTCCGTCGACAAGACCGCTCTTGAGTTCTTCAAGATCGACGAGGCTGGTCTCATTGATGACAGCAACGTTCCCGGTACCTGGGCCTCTGACAACCTGATCTCCGCCAACAACAGCTGGACCGTCACCATTCCCAGCTCCATCGCCGCTGGCAACTACGTTCTCCGTCACGAGATCATCGCCCTGCACTCCGCTGGCGAGACCAACGGCGCCCAGAACTACCCCCAGTGCCTGAACCTCAAGGTTACCGGTGGTGGCAGCGACTCCCCTAGCGGAACCAAGGGTACCGCTCTCTACAAGAACACCGACGCCGGTATCAAGGTCAACATCTACACCTCCATGGACTCCTACGAGATCCCCGGACCCGCTCTGTACAGCGGTGCTTCTTCTGGCTCTTCCACCGCCGCAGCCTCCACCGCCGCTGCTACCACTGCTGCTGCTGCCACCCAGGCCGCTACCACCCAGGCTGCTACCACCGCTGCCCCCGCTGCCGCCTCTTCCGTGAGTGTCGCTCCTATCCAGAGCTCCTCCTCATTCTCGCACCCGCAATTCTCCCGCACCCGCACTCTCCCCCGCCCCACCCCCAGCAGCTCCCCCGCCGCTGTTCCCTCCGCTCCTTCCTACTCCAACCCCAGCGGCTCTGACGCTCAGCCTACCGGTGCTCCCGCCGTGGAGACCGAGTACGCCACTGAGACACTCTATGCCACTCAGACCGTTGGTGGTACTGAGACCGTCTATGCCACTGAGACCCGCTATGCCACTCAGACCGTGGATGCCACCAAGACCGTTCAAGCTGCTGCACAGGTTACTGACGAGCCTGATTCCCAGACCGCCAGCGCCGCCGCTGACAGCGTGACCGTCACTGCCACCGCCGTCGGTGGTCAGTCCGCCCAGAGCTCCACCCCCGCCTCCGGCAGCGACTCCTCCTCCGAGGCTAGCTCTACCGCCGCCGCTGTCGCCACCCCCAGCTCTACCTCCGCCGCCGACTACTCTACCTACCTCAGCTCCCTGAGCGCCGACCAGCTCCTCACCGTCGTTCGCTCCACCCTCAAGTGGCTTGTCTCCGACAACAAGGTTCACGCCCGTGACCTTTCCTCTTAAGTGTGTGCTTGCAGAGCTAGATTATAGAGATGTTCAACATCTATATATTTCTAATTCCTGGTACGGAATTCAGATCTAGATCTCGTTTAGAGACTCGGATCAGGTATCCTGTCTTGTCATGGGTTGTTGATTTTGGATTGAACTGCTTGTACCAACACCGTCTTACGGATCTCCTTACTTTTTCTTCTTCTGTTTCCTCCTTTATGTCATTGCACAAGGAGATGAGGGCCTTTAGCCCTTTTAAAACTTTATTTATGAATGGATTAGTTGGACTGCTCAATATTTTGTCTTTTGTATTCTACGTATATGTCCACTGGTTCACCTGGACAAGTCTACGTCGATCTAAAACAATAGCACACAGTAAATAATCAATATCCCCCGATACTTAAGAGAGGAGTCAATTCCTGAAGTCCAGGGTTGACAACTCTCTAAGGGCGCAGGCCACCACCCTTGGAAGTCTTAGTATCTTTCATGGTCGTAAGGAATATCCCACTTGTTGGCATGATTTTGCAGACCCCCTTCAGGGCTGCTGGGGATATGTAAACATGCCCAGGTGAATCTTGAAGAGTGCATCAAAATATGTATTTTCAAGTTGACCAGAGCTACAGATATGTAGACTTTAGTTCTTCTTCTTTTTAGTCTTATCAACCACCTCAATCAACTGCGGCCTCAATCCACGGCGGACAAGTGCAGTTTCAATAGCCTTCCGCTGATCACCCTGCACCAATACCTCCATGACACCCTTGGGAGCTCCAGTAGCCTGAGTCACACTAGTACTACCCGCACACTTCTTCTGTAGCTCTTGGGCCAGAAGAGTAGGGATAACACCAAAAACTTCTAGGTGTACGGCTTTGGTGACAGTTTTGGATCCTGTGCGCTTTTCGAGTGTCACAGTAACCTTGGGCGCAGCACCTGCCTTTGGCTTGACATCTGCGATGGTCTGGCCAGTCTTCAAGATGACGTGATGTGGCTGCATGAGTGACTTGTCCTCCATGATGCGTTTCAAAAGACCATCACGCGTGACCTTTCCACGGGAAAGCGTGCTGTTGTCTTCGGGGGACGATCCAGTGAAGATGGTGTTGGCAAGGAAGGGATTCAGAGTAATGATTCTCCGGTTTTCCTTGGACACAATTGGTGGGTCCTGTGATGTGAGGTATTTATCCAAATGGGATGACACGTCGGTGTGTTTGTAGTAGTTGTTCGCGTTGCCAGCAGCGAGAGCAGGGAACACAGTGGGCATCAATTTGCCAGAGGGCCTGTACAGATTTTGCACAGTGATTGTCTGGCCCACTGAAGGGTCAGATCCATCTGTTGCCGAAGGCTTCTTGCCCTCTGACGTGGATGCCTTACTGCCCTCGAGTGCTCGAGGTGAAGGTAGTCGGTATGGAACGAATCGTTGAACCCGCTGATCCTCAAAGTCCACATCCAAGATGACTGTCTCTTGGCCATTGCGATCTTTGCTTTTGACAAGCTTTAACTTGTCCAGATGCTTCATGAATTTCTTCACGTTCTTCCAGCTAGTCTTTTTGATGTTGTAGAATTGGACTTGCTGGGGAGTGTAGACTGGAAGGTACGGGGTGATGAGATTGGCCACCAGTGCTGAAGGTGTGATTGGCAATGGGAGGGCATGATTGGTGGCAGTAGGGTTATATTGCTTCAGTTTGTAGAGGGCATAAACAAAGGCATTGACAAAGGCGTCGTCAATTTCTAAGAATTGTCAGCGGAAAGTTCATCTACATCGTCGGAAGAAGGTGTGAAATTTTACCCTTTGTGGTCGGCTCCGGTTCCTCATCATTCACGAGCTCCTCTGCTGGAGCAGGCTTGTCGCTTGACGTCTCGAGGTTTTCCGCGGGAGAAACTTTGTCCTCGAGCGTCATTTCTTCAAGCTCATCAAGCTCATTATCGTCGTCGTCATCACCATCAGCATCCCTATCTTCGTCCCAGCCCTCCAAATAATCTGGTGATGGGCGACCCGGTCGTGATGCAGAGCTCCATGTCCAAAGCTCATCGCCCTCCCAATGCAGACCCCGGACTGCCTGACCCTTAGTACCTTGAACTTCCCCAAGAGCCGATACATCTATTTCACATATACCAACGAACACAGGCACTGAGTGCTTGTCGACACTTGCGACCGCAACAACAGCACCCTTAACCGCTCTCTGGGGGAAAGGAGGTTCATTCGCGAGACCGGGCGTCATAAGGTCAGCTCCGCCATGGAGCTTCCCCATGACGAACTCTGGGGTATAGAGAAGGGGGACCAAGTTGGGGTTGTGCCATAATGTGTAGACAGTCGGGTATAGTCGTTTATCGGCACCGGGGCCATGCTCGAGCTTGAACCATAACACTCGCTCTTCTCCATCCGGGTGTGTGCCGACATACACAATTCCTGTGAGCTCGCGCAAGTCTGGACCAGCGGTTGTCGTGAACCGAGCTGTCAAAGAGTTATCGGGGAGAAGCGCATTTCGGATTGACGTGAGGCTTGAGGTAGGCCCTGATTCCTCTTGGGAATTTGTGGGAACGGAGATCTGGTAATTTTTGATGATTTGGTCGGCGATCTTCCTTCGGTCAGAAGAACGTAGAGGCGAGAGGTTCTTGATCTAATTGGCGTCAGTAAGCAACAAAAAGCTGTGGCGGGGCACCGCGGGGCATGCGTACCGTTGGCTTCTTTTTAAACATGATGGAGAGGCCTGGGATATGTCGAAATCTGGAACCAGGTAATCGACCTATGTCAGAGAGCGCACAAGTAGCGAAGAACAGCAATGGGGTGGTCTGCACAGAGCTGAGGTGCGAACAGAGATTCTGGGTCCCCACATTTTGTACCCGGCCCAGGGTTTGTCGATGCCCTCGCGGTCAACTGGTGTTTGTACTCCTACACTTGCAACCCCCACACTTTGATACATTCCAGGTCTCCATGACTCAGGATATGATGCTGTCTGCGGGTTTTGCCGAATGACTCATTTCGACACACTTTGACATATTTTGAGTCAAAATCGGACACAAGTTTGTCAACTTAAGGCAGTAGACAGCGGTCCCACCTCTATGAATTTTACTACTTTCGGATATATGCCGTTGCATAGTTTGAGAGTTTCTTGAGGAGTTTCTTGAATACTCTCTTCCACATATCCAAATTCTACAATCAAGATCTCTAGATCTCAACTTCAATATAGAATTGTTGTTTGTAGACGGCGAGTTAATCGACAAATATACAGTAAGATGGATGAATCGCTGTGTACTGCCGTAGTCAACTACATTCATGGGAAGACAATGGTATTGAGGAAGTAAGCTCTACGGTAGCATCGCAGAAGATCCCCATACTCAAGGATGTAGAATCCATTTGAGACCGCAGTCGTCATTTAACCCATTGCCTGAACTATCACTGAGCAGTCAGTACATTAGCAAAGGGGAATTTGCAATGGCCCCCCGGAGTACAACAACTCCGAACCAGTCATCGGACAATTGCCGATGCCCCCTCACCTCACAATTACCGTCATTGACGAACATACCCTGCCCATTAACTCTTTGCTCTCACCATATCAACCAGAATGCCAGTCTACCATATTGGTATGTGATGAAAGTGTGAGCTTAATTCAGCAGACTAATCGGTCTAGTTTTGTTCCGCCTCAAGCCCGGAGTGACCCCGGCTCAGATCTCAACTTGGAAGGAGACATGTCAGGCGATGGTTGGGAAGATTCCTGGTGAGGCTCATCGGGAATATGAGTGATTCTTGCTAATGATCGGACAGGACTGTCGTCCATCCAAAGCGGAACTCCATTGCCAATTTCAATCCCCCGGGCAAAGGGGTTTGATATGGGGTTGGTTGCTGTTTTGGAGACACCAGAGCACGTGGCTACGTATGCGGTGCATCCAGCACACCTGGAGTAAGTCGTTACCAAGAGATTTGTCGGATGTGGCTGGGCTAACAATTGCGCTCATAGGGTCCACAAGATGCGTGAAGAGCTGTGCGATGATACATTGGCGTATGACCTTGAGTTCTAGATAGGACGAAAAGCCACGGTCAATACGAGAGCGGAATACTCGTGGGAAACGGTTCATTTAGTAGTCTCATTTGTACATATCAATATCAAACTTCTGGCCTCGGTCTAGTTACCGGGGCCCACGTCAATCCGTGTATGCTCGTGATAAATGGAAAAGAAAAACGCCGAGGGAGATTCACCTCAAGTAAATAACCGATAAAAAAAGGGACAGGTTGGATCTCCAATCCGCAATAATTTTAGGCCCCACCGGATTGACCAAAGCAAAGAACAAGGGAATCAAAGAATACAAGACGGAAGCTTGCAAGCCGAAGAGGAGACCTTACTCCTTGGTGTCAGCCTTCTTGGCGGGGTGATCACCGTTGGTACCCTCGTCGTCGCGGGAGCGCTTGGTGCTCTGAACAACGGGAACGCCGCTATTAGATGTTAGCGTCAATACTTTTTCTTTTCATTCTGCAACAAGTTCACTTACCGAGAATCCTTTTGGGCCTCCTTGGGAGCCTCGAAGCCATTCTGTTGGTCCTCGGTGCGGCGATCGCGCCAGTCACGGTTGTCACGGTCACCACGACGGTCACCGCCACGACCACCACGTCCGCGACCACCACGGCCACCACGGCCGCCACGGCCACGACCACCCATACGGCCGCGGTTACGACCGTCGGAGGGGTAGACCTTGCCGGCCTTGATCTCCTCGACCTTCTCGTCGCAGTACTCCTTCTTGCTCTTGTAGATAAGCTCCTTGCCTGCCCACTGGGGCTTCTCCTCAAGGGCGAGGAAAGCCTTCTGCTTGTCCTCGTCGACAAACTCGACGAAAATGCTACCCTTGAAGGTCTTGTCGATGGTGCGGCGGAGACGGAGAGCATTGACGGGACCGTAGGGGGCAAAGAAAGCTTCAATATCAAGCTGGGTGGTGGGCTCCTCCTGTCCGAAGCCCCATCCCTTCACATAGATAGAGCGGGCCATGGAGGCGTCTTCGAAGACCTTGAGGGCCTTCTCATCGAGCTCATCGACAGACTCGGGAAGGGGAGCCTTGCGCTTGACGGCGGTGTCATTGTCGGCGAGCTCAACGTTCTCGGCGGTCTTGAGGGCCTCGACGATGGCAGTGAAAGGTTGGAAGCGACGCATGCGCTTGAAGGAGTGAAGGAGTTCAAGGGAGACGGCGTTGTTGGCGCTGCCGCCAACCTTGGAGAGCAGGAACTTGTCCATGGGGAGGTTAGAGTCGGAGAAGTAGAATTCGACCTGCAGTAGACGCGTTAGATCGGGCATGTCACAACATTGTCAAGGGGCATTGATACCTGCTTGCGGATCTCGACAGGGTCATCGGTCTCCTCCAGAGTGGAAGGATCGAACTTGGTCTTGTGGCGAACACCACCACGGCCGCCGCGACCGCCACGCTGGAAGCTACGGGTCTCGCGCTTCTCTTGGGGCTCGGATGACTTCTCTTCGGCTTTCTCGGACTTCTCGCCAAGCTTGGCTGCTTCAGCGACGATGCGGGCCTCGTCGGCATCTTGTGCTGGCTGCTCGGAGGCACCTGCCTCACCCTTCAGCTCGGCGAGGACGTTCTGGACATCCTTCTCGGCCTCAGTGTTGGTAACGGGGGTCTTCTGTTCTTCGGCCATTGTAAAGTCTATGGTCTGCTGGGACAAATGAGATGATAAGCAAGGATCGTAGACACAAATTATGACTTGTAGATGGGCAGAAAACGGTCGCAATATGTGCAGCAGAAGAATCGAGAAATCTTACCTTCAATGTGATACTGAAGCTTTCTAAATAATAAATGCGCTTGGGATCGCAGCGGGGACTCGGATTTTTTTTGAGCTTTTGTCGCCTGAGGCACTACGCTAAGCCGTTCCCGGCTAGCGTAGGCGGTTCAGATTTGACCCTCTCAATTGTCCCTCATTGCTCTTCTATTTACAAGGTCTTGATTCATTTTCTTTCATTTCTCGTTTATGAACAATACCGTAGGCTGCCGTTTGTAAAATGTTCAAATCTAGCGCCATCTCGCGATGTAAGTTCTATTTAATAGAGCACCAATGCCCTTCAAAAATTCATCGCATGGTGTATTCATCATTGATTCCCAGACACTCCACAATGCGAGTTTAGGAGAAGAGATTGCTAGTTGGAGTACTTAGTATGCATGTTACATCAGGCTTATTTCATGTGGACATACAGCAACATATTGAGACCTATTGATCACCACGAAGACCATCCATCACTCACCCTATAACTGAACCTTGGAAGTTCCTTGCTAAACATTTTGGTACTTCTTCAAATGGTACTAGTAGCTCCGTCGAATCTACCGACCTAACCCTAGTCCCAAACTAGCTTTTAATGAACATCATCTTTCATAGAAGCATGACAATATTCGCAAATGATTTTCAAGGATATATGCCTCGATAGGAAGATATCGGAAGAGTACATAGTGGAACTGCCTGAGGAGTGTCCACACGGACCATGTTCAATGAGAAGTACAACGCCCATGTCTGAAGTCCTGAAGTTCTGTTTCTTGTCTATCCCATCATACAGATATATCAATATACGGGGATGTACCAGGCACTTTGTAGTGGAAGGTTGGACAATTCAAGTCGCTCCTTCTACTTGTCTACATTTCACTTGTTCGCTTCAGTCGCAAAAGGCAGGACCGGAGCACACCCGGGAAGTCTTTCCAGTCGCCTCCCTCGCAAGTTGAGTTTCCAGCACCTAGTGGTCTGCGGAATCCTCGCCCCCCTGAAGAAATTCCTTGTGTGGCTTCACTGACAATTTGACATTGCTATGGTCGATAGCTAGAATTGACTACACGACTTTGAAGATGGCGCCTACTTACTCGGACTCGCCCGACACATGGCCCACTAAAGATGTATTTTGATCTTCCAAGGTTGTTGTCAGGGTCTGAGATCAAATGCTGACGCTTCGCAGATTGTCTACCTGTCAATCATAGGTCCAATCATGCTAATGGCTGTTTTCGAATGGATGTTGTGGCTCGCGGCTTTTATCTACTGCCTAGTAAAGGTGTACGCCAAGGCAGATCGGTGGAGCATAAGGGTTCTGGCTGTGGTCATGGTGGTTTTGTTCTCACTGGTCCGGTATGTCAAGCAACTGCCAGATACCGATCTAAGAATTGCTTAATCCCGCGCATGTGATGATTCTAAGGTTACTAACGCCCTGAGGCTTCAGACTAGCTTTCCTTCCGGTATTGCTTGTGACGCTTCCCTTGCCGCCTCAAATCACAATCTACTTGCCTCGCCGCATGGTGGATGGATTTCAGACCTTCGCATTCTGGACCTTCTCGATACTCCTCATCGGTCCGTGGCTGTGTTGTGTTTACGTACTGACGACCAATGCTTTGGGCAGAAACAAAAGGATCAAGCAAGTACTTGATGACCACACTGCCCCCAAAACAGTGGTGGTGATGCCTGTATACAAGGAGGCACCAGCTATCTTGATCAAGGCTGTTGACTCGGTAGTTGATTGTGACTACCCCGCGAGTTGCATTCATGTCTTTCTTTCATACGACGGCGGTCAGGTAGATGAGCAATACCTTGAGGTCATAGGACACCTGGGCATTCCCCTTTGCCTGAGGAGCTATCCCCAGAGCATTGATTGCACTTACAAAGGTGCACGAATCACGGTCTCTCGGTTCAAACACGGCGGTAAAAGACACTGCCAGAAGCAAACATTCAAGCTGATTGACAAGGTTTACGCCCACTACCTGAGAAAACATGATGACCTGTTCCTGCTTTTCATTGATTCCGACTGCATTCTCGATCGAGTTTGTCTGCAGAACTTTATGTATGACATGGAGCTCAAACCCGGAAGCAAGCGCAATATGCTTGCAATGACAGGCATTATCACCTCGACCACTGAAAAGAACAGCTTGATCACCATTCTTCAAGATATGGAGTACGTGCATGGTCAACTTTTTGAACGATCAGTGGAATCTGGTTGCGGTGCTGTCACTTGTCTTCCCGGGGCTCTCACAATCCTGCGCTTCTCGGCTTTTCGCAAGATGGCCAAGTATTACTTCTCTGACAAGGCGGAGCAATGCGATGATATCTTTGACTATGGAAAGTGCCACTTGGGAGAAGACCGTTGGCTCACCCACCTTTTCATGATAGGGGCGAAAGAGCGATACCAGATCCAACTCTGCACAAGTGCATTCTGCAAGACCGAGGCTGTTCAGAGCTTTGGGAGTTTACTGAAGCAACGTCGGCGATGGTTTCTTGGATTCATCACCAACGAAGTCTGCATGATTACGGACGCTCGGCTCTGGGTGAAGTACCCTTTGCTCTGTCTGGTTCGGTTCATGCAGAATACTATTCGAACCACCGCGCTCATATTTTTCATCATGGTCATCGCATTGATAACCACCTCCAAGAGGTTGGATGAGCTTCCTGTTGGTTTCATGGGTGTCTCTCTTGGGCTGAACTACTTGCTGATGCTGTACTTTGGCATTCGTCTCAGGCGGTTCAAAGCCTGGCTATATCCTCTCATGTTCCTTGTAAACCCCTTCCTTAACTGGGTTTACATGGTGTACGGTATCTTCACAGCCGGTCAACGCACTTGGGGTGGACCACGAGCGGATGCTGCTACTGCTGATGACCAGACCACGCCCGGCGAAGCAGCGCAACGCGCAAAAGAACAAGGCGACGAGTTCAATGTGAATGTCGATACATTCCGCACTAAACTTGTGCGGCGAAGGTCTGTCCCTATTCGCCCATCGGAAGCCGTGGAAGGACGGTTTGCCCGAACGGATCACCTTGTGGATGGTATCTATGTCAACACATCTGGATCCGGGCCGGCGCTTGCGCGTATGGTGAACGCGCTGGAAGATTCCCAGTACCCTAAGCCTCCTCTCCAGCTCCGCGACTCGATAGACTCCATGACTAGCGAGCCCTCGGATTGCGACTCAAGCTCGATCGCCCTGCCACACTCCGTTGAGCAAATTGCGATCGGTGTGGAAGACCAACGAAGACTGGAATACGCCCGCCAAGCCCGGGTATCCATGAGCACAACGAGTTTTGACGAGCACGGCTTGGCAAGCCCATTCAGCGACAGTTACACTCTCCGAACCATGAGTTCGGGTTCCGAGCATGATGAACTCTTGGGAATGAGTCCTCCCGTAGAGATCTACCAGGCCAGCCGCTCGGCGAATGCGAACACGCTGCCCCGGTACACGGAGCCTTCAGGAATGCCTAACTATGAGTACGAGCAGTCGTACTTCCCAACACCTTGACCCACCTCAGGATTTTTCCATTGTCTAACAGGAACGCAATCGGGCGATGACGTCAATTTTCGTTTCAATTTTCTTCGTTTCAGTGCACTCAAGCGGATTCTTGCTCCTCTGTATTATTACCCGACTCAGTAGAGTGACACATATATCAATCAATGACTACCTTCCAAGACTTTTCCAAGACCTTTCTGCTAGTCCGATGTGTCAACAGTACAACAAAAGTACGGCCCAGCCATATACTTCTTTCGTGGGGTTCGTATAGATCCGATTTGATTGGGCGTTGTCCACGGGGGAGTCAAACCAGCCCTTTCACCCTGAAGGCGGTCACGCCAAACCCCGAAAAAAAAAGTTCTGCCGGCCGGAAAGAGGCGGTGAAAGTGGGCATATCTAGCAGGTTCGATGGGTGTCGATGAGCATCGAAACCACTTGAGCAAAAAAAAAAAAAAAGCAATATATTGAGACCGTGTACGCCCGGCGACAGGAAGGTGAAATCGC